GACTCAGGCAGTTGTGTTTAGATGTTCACCATGAAAATGTTTGCATGTAGGGTAGGTGTCTGAGCTCCCACTGGAGCTGGTGGAGTCTAAATTACTTGTCAGGTCACTGCAAGGCAGCCATTCACATTGATTCATCTGATTTGAGCTGTTGGCTGCCTAGAGACTCCATCCCCAGGGATGCAGTCCAGCTGCCATAAAGGTGCCACAAGGGGCCTCTCTGGCCTCCAGATGCTGATCCAGAAAGCAGAGGGCTCCTGTGTCTTCTGTGCCAAATCTAGCAGCTCCAATGACTTGAGGTACCTGTGTATGACTTATTCCTGAGTGTCTTCATCACTATTTTACATATGAGGCAACTGAGACATAGAAAGCTGAAGAAAAGTGTCTTCGGTCTAACATCTGTGCAAAACACCTACAGCCTCCCTTCCTCACTGGTCCAAACTAGTGAAGGAGAAAAAACTTCCGAGAGTTTCTGTTTCAGCTTCAAAGGAAAAAGTATATTTCCTATCATATATTCACTCCTTACAAGCCCCTTCAGTTTAACAATTTTTTGTCACTATGGAAAACATACAGAATATAAGTAGTTTTTGGAAAGGAACAACTGCAAATATACTGGGGAAAATCAGTGAAGAATTGTATCTTCTTTATATTACATATTTTATCCATAGATCTTGAATATGACACAATCGTATGATGTTTTTTAGGATGCTGAATGTTTGTAAACAGCAGGTCATATAGTCAGACAGTGCTCAAATTATGCCATTTCAGATCGATCCTTTTTATTTATTTATTTATTTATTTATTTATTTATTTATTTATCAGTAGGAAAAACTTCAGGAACAGTTTCACCCTGATCTTTTGTTCTTTTATGTATGTTTCAGTAACGTGGTAGCCTAAGGGAAGTAAAGGCAGACATAGTATCAGGATATTATGCTTGGTTCCTGGCACTGTTCCTGTATGACATGCACACGTGGCTGATTGGTTTTGTGCAGATTTCTCCATCTTTCACAAGGGCTTTTAACATCAGCATAATTCTCTGATGCCCTGCCTGTGAGCTACCTGTGGCTTGTGTGCACTGTGCTCCAGTGAAAGTGTTCTCAGTATTCATCATTGTGTAAAATTGAAGCTGAATATGTTTGGGCAGCTGACTTGTGTTTATAGTGTTTTGTTTTTGTTTTTGTTTCTTTTTTTTACTCACACAGTGCAAGCTTCTGTGATAGGAAGTTTACTCTTAATGAAAGGTATGAATAAAGCTAGCTAGAAGGCTAAAGGTTTTATTTCAATATATTAATAATAATAATAATAATAATAAAATAAATATTATTTTGACATCTGTGCCTAACTCAATATTTTCGCTTCTTATCACTGGCAATAAAACAATAAAGCAAGGAGCAAATGGTGTTAGGCCCAGTACCTACTAATGAATCTAAATTAGTACCTGACATACATGCCAGCAAAAAAAAAAAAGGCTTTTTGACTTCAAACTTCTGTTATGACAATTTTGCATTTAGCAGAACAAGTGTCTGATGGGAAAGCATCGAACACTAAATGGGCCTAAACCCCACGTGTGTTTGCAAGTGAAAAGTGATGTTGTGAGTGAGTGCTACCTGTGTCCCAGTTCACTGTGGCTGTTCTGGACAGGCACTTCTTTTTGCCTAGCTTCCTCCTGCAAGAAGGATGGTGGGAAAGAACTCAGGGATAATGTTCATTTTGATTGTCTCATTTCTTGTGATCAAAAAGTAGTAGAAAATGTAATTTTCTGGACCAGGAATAAACAAGAACTATTAATAACTTGTGAAAATTCACACCTGTGAAACCAGAGCAGAAAAGAAAAAGGGGTTTCACTTGCGGTTAACATTAAGACAGATTCTCAAAAGGAAGTAAATAAAACTTAGCTCAGTAGATTTCCAGTCCTCTTAACTGGTTCAGAATATTACTCATGTTACCTTACACCTTTCATTTTAAAGTAAGTTTGACAAAACAATAACGTAATTGTCCTACCTAAAAAGCAAACAAAATATAAAGATAAGGTAATCTGTTTTTCCACTCTTAATGTTTGAGTTCTATCCATATACGTAGATAGAAAATTAGAAAAGGTAGCTATGAAGAAAGGAAGATTAGAAATATTTTATATATTTTCCAGAGTCTCACATGGGTTTTTAAATAGTAGTTTCCATTCATATGTGACAATAAGAAGTGAGCTTCAGGGTCTAATGCTAGAGGAAAAACCCTGAAAATGTCGTCTCAAAACCCACATACCAGCAAGAAAATAAGAATCACTTCACAATTATTTTCATCTTCTGCTAGTTAAAAGTCAACTGTTTTAGCAACAACAATTTGTTTATTTCATTTGCAGATCCACTCATGCTATTTAAACTCTGTTTCTGACTATCTTGCTCATAACATAAAGATATCATATTTGTGCTGAAACACATTTTTGTGCTAGTCTACTTTTCTGAATCTCATCTAACCATCCTTAATTGCTCTAGACACACCCTAACTTACTTTTGTCTTTTAAGATGGCCATCTCACTAGATCAACATGCATAGAACTTTTCTGTCCATACCGTAAATCACTGCATCCAAAGCTCCCATCAGGGCACTCATTATTTTCCACCTATTACAGCTTTTCTTCTCTGTCCTTTATGAAAGTAGTCCTGGTCCTTCAGTTCCCAACTATGCTATGGAGCAAATTATTCCACCTGTTTCAGCATTTCTTCAGTGATGTCCTCCCTTAGTGTGACACCTGAACCACTTGTAAATCCTTTCACAGAATCCTTGTCAGTACTGTTCGCTGGTGTGCTGGTGTCATTATGCAGCCAGCACTTTGCTTCCACAGGTGCTATACAAAAAACGGTAGCCGGCATTACACAATTGCAGAAATTTCCAGTGGGCACCATTTCGCATGGGAGAAAGAGCACAGTGGTGTCTTCTTCCAGTGCACTCCGTTCAGCAATATTTCTGAAAATTGAGAGAGGTCACAGACTGGGCACTCGTTGCCCTCTTCTGTCATACCTGGATTGTCCATGCACCCCTTGCAGTTGTTTCTTTAATTGTAAGCTCTATACCAAAGAGATTCTCCTTTTACTACAAGTTCCTACTTGCCTAGGATATTAGTTGAGGAGTAACAGCTGCAGCAGGAATAACAGGATCCAACAGCTAATTGTGCCATGTAATAAATATGGAAGTATTGTCAACTGCTTATAACGTACTATTGACCTTGGAACTCTCTCCTTCTTTCTCCAACATTTTCTTCAACTGTTGCTGTTTTTGCTATTATTTCCCCATTATCACTGTTCTTATTATTTTCTTATTTTACTTATTGATTAGCAAGTTCTGTTCAAGTGTGTCTTTTTATTTTATCTCTTCTGTACAAGGTACATTTTTTTCATTACTATTATACCTTTGTTCTGTACTATCCTTCTGCCCCAAGGAAAAAGTTTTAACTCCCTCAGTCTTTGTTCTCTGGATTTTGAATACTGATACTTCACCTTCTGGGCATGAGTTTCTTGTGTCAGCTCACCTTAAATCAAAGCACAATTTAAATTCCTGAGTAAATAGAGCTGTACCAGTCTGAAAAGGGAGATCTTGGATTGAATTGACTTACCTTTGTAAATTTACCAGCAGAAATTTCCTGGATGCAACCCAGCTTGGAGTTTAGGAATGCCCACACACAAGCACTTACAAGCCAGTAGTGGGTTTCAACCCATGCCCTAAACGAGTTTGGTTTTCTTTATGGACCAGGCCTGTGGGTCTATAGACAAAGAATAAGCTGCTTGTAATGAAATATTACTGTAGTTATTGCCATTTAAAACATAAGTAATCTGCTTCTTTAAAGATATATATCTATATATATTTTTTTTCACAAGTATGAAATGCCTGTGAAAAGAAATAAGCACTGCAACTTTATATATTAGAGCATATTTTATACAGGTATCTTCAGCATGATTTCTTGGCTAACAGCCAGCAAGCCCATTAACAGCGACTAATGGCACAGAAAGAAATTTTCTTCCAGTCCTTCTTTCTAATTGCTAGGAAAGCAAAACAAAAATAGACTTAACAAGTTTGTGGGACAGACTACAGAAGCTGGGACAGCTCTATGAACTGCTGGATGCTCTGTGGCTTCACATTCTCTGAAGTTTTGGCTCACTGGTTTCTTAAGAGGAAAGATTAGGAATGAACCAAAAGTGGGAGCTGTGATTCCAGCCATGCACTAGCTTTATTTGTATTTTAGAAAGACTTATTTTTCTCCTCTTCTAATATAAATGGCCACTGCAAATTGAATCCTTTGCTCCCCACTTATTACATGTAGTTATGTAAATACTCAACAACTTTTATGGTGTTTAATAGAGAATAAGGTAGGCAGTTTTGAGCATTCCTTTCAAAAATACCCTGACAAAACTGGGATTTCACAATGCATATCTAGTCCCTTTCCATGTCACTCCAGACATTCCATTAGCATTCCTCATCTCACACAGAGTTTGTATCTGTCCGGTTCCCCCAGACAACCTGTTCATTAAATCTTCTTAAAAAGGAAATGCTGAATTTGCAGCTCACAGTAATTCCTCTGTTTAATCTCTCTTCTAAACCTCCCTTTGAAGACAAAACATTATCCCATCTTCACCCACCTCTGAGGGTACAACTTTCTGTTTATCACTGTGTCCAAAGATTGCCTCCAGTCCACATTTTCCACCAGCTAGTTTTGGAGAACTTGTCTCCTGACTTTGCAATGCAGAAGCAGGTCCTAACTCTCTGCTTCCTCTTTCCATGCATCTACATCAGCTGTGTGATCTAATGACCACTCACACAAGAGCTGATTTTGCCCTCCGTTAAATTTCACATAGCAACTGGGTAGCTCATAGTGCAATTCAAGACCTGATTTTGTATGATCACTCTTCTTTCTTAAAATAGTGTTTTCACTGAGATTTACATTACGTGATATAACTTGCAGTAGGATTGAGGGTTGGCACAGGGTTTTTGTTTAAAAACTATGTGCAGCACTTCTTTTGGTGTAGCTGAATTTATTTGTTGATTTTTATGTACAGAACTGTATTTGCTTGCTTGCTCACTGTCAGTACAAAAGCTAAAACCTATCCTTTCATAAAAGAAAGTTGAATAATTTCTCTGGCACAATGAGGAAACGCAAACAGAAGAGATTCAGAAATCTTTGTACAATTTCAATACAGATGATTTGTTATGACCTGCTAAATATAAAACTTCAAACCTGAGAAAAAGGGAGGAAAGTTATTTTATTTTTTTCCTTTGGTTGTACATTCCTAATCTGTTAGTTTAGAAGCTACCTATCTTGAATCAGAAATATATTGCTTGAAATGTGATGAAATCATAATTTATACCTCAAAGGTCTTCTGGACTAAGACATACAAGTGCTCATTACAGTAACATCCTTCCCCAAAACCAGAAGGGTGGCACTCTTATCACTGATTCTTGCCTCTTTGATTCTTGCAGTGCCATTTACAGACCTCAAATTGCACAGTTCAGTGCACTTTGAGTGGAGGAGAGAAAGTGAATTATGAAGAAAGCATGACTGAACTTTGTGCATTTCTCAGCTGCAGAGTTCAGTTTAGTGCAGCTGCAAGAGTGGGTTTATGGACTTCTGGACTCAAATCATTCCTTTGCATAAAATCTACTCACCTACAGTTTTAAGACGTGATGGTAATGATGCTTCTTCCACTTTGCAGAAAGAAGCTCTGTTGCAGGCACTAGGTGACTGGCATTTTTGGCAGGCATTTTAGACTTTATCCAAACTAACCTAATCTTCCACAGCTGCTTGTCTCCTGTGCCCTTACCACCATGGATTTCCACTGCTGAGACTAGAGCATGGGTACACAGAGCCAGTTGGAAGGGAGCTCGGTAGGAAGGCTGAGGAGTCAGGGGATCCAGTACATATGCCTCTGGTTATTTTTGCTTTTTTAGTAAGTGCTTCTCTGTGCAACATATAGACAAACACCCTAGAAACCTGGGAGCACAACACAGAGCCCTTCTTTCCTGCTAGCCAGCAGGCTACAAAGTCAGGCTTTCTTTCACCTTTTGTCCCAGCTTCTTGCTTCCCATCTGTGATGCTGGTCCAGCTTCAGTGTGAAGAGTGGTCTAGCAATTTGGGCAGCTCCAGCAAGGTGGGAGAGAGGGAGGGAGGTTAGATGCTCCGTGACTGAAGCCTCTTGCTCCCTAGACTAGAGCTATAACCACAGGACTACTGTTCACATTCCTGCAGACCCATGTTTGCAAATGAAACTGTTGAGCTTTGTGCTGGCCTTCCAATAGCACCCATGGCTGAAGAATCCTCTCTGGATTTGTAAGTACAGGATGCCTCCTTTCCTCATCCAAAACAACTGGAGATGGGTTACAAGTGTCTCCATGCTGAAGTTGGTTGAATCACAGGAGCCATGAACCTTCACAGCAATTGACTTGAAACATGCAAAATTTTTTTTTGTTGTTTTGTTTTGTTTTGTTTTGTTGTGAAAAATGAAAAGCCTGAGATGCTATTCAAGTGCTGCAAATATCCACTAAAACATCCTTTTGATTTAACTATCCTTTTAGGCATCTTCATTGACATTTAGGTGCCCTAAACATGCCTGTTTTTCACCTATATCTGAAATATCTCAACTAATCTGACATTCAAAGCTCTAGGCAAATTGAAGTTACCAATTTGGCCACCCATGTATTAACCATGTCCTTCAGTATTTCTGTCACCCAGATTTAAGTCATAATACAGAACAGAGGAAGACATTATCAGCTCCCATCTATAGTACCACCTGTGCCCAACTATTGTCATTTAAATCCATGTCCAAACCCCTACAAAGACCATATTCCCCTCTTTCCTACAGTGCTTTGTTGAAAAGTAAACTTTACATAAACATATAATAATTTGATTCTTCTCTGAGCCACTAAGTACCTTGATACAGTGTTTGAAAGTGATACAAGAATGAGTGCACTGGTCCCAAAAGGAAATTTGTGGTTTGGTTCATATAAGAGCTCTGTTATTTTCTCTGGAGCAGCGCGCAGAGGACCCAAGAGATGTGAACATCACTCTTCTCTGCTCCTCATATATCTAATGGCCTGGCTGGTGCCATTGTTTCTGTCTCTTCTGACTCATAGCCCTCAACTTCTCCCTCATTGAATCGAGTTTTTGGCATTAGAGCTAGATTGTCTGCTCTGGTTAAACGATGCTGACTGGTTGAATTTCCTCTTTGACCTGAAAAATTGGATGGGCAGACACACGTCTGTCTAAGTGTGCCATTGGAATCAGCTCCTCCTGGTGGTGCTTTGCTTCGAGCGGCCGTAGTCTGAGCGGCTGGGGTCTGAACCTTACTGGGATGCCAGCCTCAGAGTCGCTTCTGGGGTGATCTGAGGGAAAAGAACAAAGAATTCATGCAATGAAGCAGAAAAAAAGAGAAACACCATGATATTGGCAAGGACAATTGAAAGGTATTCAACATTATACAGCATTATGGTTTTAAAGCCTAAAATGGAATCATTTTAAATAATTACTATAGAATAAGAGAGCAGTCAAGAACTAAAAATAACCCTAGATCTTTATTTTCATACCAAAGCTGATGTTTCAGAGATGTTATTGATTTTGCCTCTACTCTGAAACCCCAGTGAAAGAAAAAATTCAGGTATCTTTCCACACCTTGTAAAGCAGCTCATGCCTTCACAGGGCAAGATCACTCCTTTATGTACCTTTCAACCAATATCACAAGTATATCTAGTGCCATAGTTGAAAATCATTGTCAAACTCACTAAGAAGATGACTCTAGCACCACTGAAAATCAAGATAACCAGTCACCTGTGGTTAACAACTGGGAAGAAAACAGTTTCACCCGAAACCAGGAGTTTGACTCTAGGGCGCTTCGATTACATTGGGTGTGTCAGACCTGCTCCTACCACCTTGCAGTGCTCCAAGTACACAATTAAAATGTGACTGTGATAGGTCCTAACTCTTTTATTCTGTTGAGTTTACAAAATATACTTTGTAACTCTTCTTAGGGTTACTTCTACTCTGACTACACAGTAGCATATTAGTCAGTTAATTTAAGGAACAACTCCTAACAAGCTGGGAAGTTTGGTGAGATAAAGACAAAGGACCATAAATAACAAAATTTAGACCATACCCTGCTGCAGGTAAAGCTCACGTGTATTGGATACAGTCACACAGTCAAAACTTATTAGGTTATTTCAGATAAATAACTAAGTTATTTTAAGCTTTTTTTTTTTTTTTTTAAAGATATTTTCAGATTTGAAGGACTTCTACTTAGTGCTATGAGACACTCAAGAAGGACATCAGTGTCTACAAGAAGAACATCAGTGTTACAAGTTTTGATTGATGTATACTGCCAAAGAAATCATTCACTTTTATGAAAGGCAGGAAGAGCTGTTGGTCAGTTTGAGGATCTATTTGTAGTCATTTCTGTCCTGTTGGTTACTAAAATTTCTGTGCATGCTATGTATGAGTTAAAACAAGCTTGCTGGAGGGTGCTTGTTCCAGGAGGACTTCAGGCATAGACAAGTGGTATTTTTCTCTCTAAAGATATATGTATTTACATGAAGTTGTCATTCTGTTTCGTGTATACTGAGTATTTATTTTCTCAGTTCCCAGCTGCAATTAATCTCATCCTAATATTGATTATATGAGGGGAATTTATGGCGGTTTCCTCCTGAAGTAGACTTTTCAAGTGGTGTGAATGCTACTCTAGGGTCCAGAGATGATCATGGAATCATAGAATGTTAATTGAGTGTTCTTTTCAAAGTAAATACAACTCTGAACTATTTGACTTATTTGATTTATATACTTTTATTACTCCCTACCCTGTTTTCCTTTTAATCTGATAATTCACAGCAAGTCCCCCTTAATAGTAGGAAAGCCTTGTACTCTAGTGGAAACAAAAAAGAAGCAGTAAGACAAGATTTAAATTAGTTCATTTTGAAGTATATGTTGTACAGAGATTATAAGAGAACATGTTCAGGTTTGAATTTGATATATATTTGATTTTCACAAGAACAGTACAGAATATTTTATGGAGTTTTAGGATGCCAGAAGCCAAACCAAAAAGTACAATTATTCAAAGAGATCACAAGGCAGGTCTGAAATGTAGGTCTGAGTATTACTAAAAATGTACCTATATTCACTGCTTCAGGATTTATTCCTCACCCTGCTGAAATAACATGCCTGTTTGTGATACCAGGACTTGGTCCTTTGAAAGCATCTGAAATGTTTACAGGTCTGAGGATGCTGTGTAGAACAATTTGAGTCTTTCAGAAAGACTCAAAGACACATATCCCCCACATCCTGACAAACAGAACAGAAAATAACCAGCTCTTTAAAATAAAAAATAAAAGAAATAAGAACAAAAATCCCCGTGAGTAACTTTGATCTTCCTCTCTGAATAGATCCTATGGGTTTCTGTTCTGCCTCTACCACGTGTGGGTGCACAGCACCAAGGGGATGGTTTGCCTACACAGATCTCTTTTGCTTTCATCTCTTTCAGAGCAAAACAGAAAGAGAAGAAAGAAAAATAGTTTTGCACCTGCAGGAAAGGAACTTCGTTGTCCAGGTTTTGATACAAAGACGATGATTAAAAATATACTTTCAATCACTGTAGCTAATTTTTCCAGAAATTAGAAGTAATTTTCAGAATAACCAAATATATTTCAGGGTCACATAAAAAAAAAACTCATAAAGGAGTCAGGAAAATTATATAGGGAGATAATGCTGGACATTCAAGTGTCCTAAATTCCATACTTTCTCTTACACTGTCCTGCTATGTCTCCTTGGGCAATTCGGTGTTGCTCAATCCTTTATCTCTGTCTTCTTAATTAAGGGTTTATGGATGGGTGGTATTCTGTAGTAATACTGGTATTTCTGGACAAACTTACCATCTCGTTTCAGTACCGTTTGAATTATTCTATGTCCACAATACAATATAAATACAATCACTATGGAAAGATCACAGAGATCAAGCTGGAAAAGGGAAGAAGAGACCAGGTAATTGCCAGGATGCCAGGGGAAAGTTTCTGGGGATAATACAAGACTTATGATGAGATCTTCAGGGAAGGAACCAAAGGTGGGTAAAGGAAGGAATTAGGGTGGTTTGGGGAGTATGGGACAAGTGCAGTAAAACAGAGGGAAAACGGGATGGAAAGGGGATGGATGCATTTAAACAGAGGCTGGTCAGGACATGTGTCTGGCCATGCCTTGCACCAGATCAGGACAGTTTTTTCCTGTCTTCTCATTAAACTCCACATGTGTCTGTTTTCCTGAGTGAGCAGCTCCCTGTACTCTGTGCACATGTGCATGAAGGTCTGAATGCCAGCAACCAGAGGGACTGGGGCCCACTCATATTATGTGGGTATATATCAGTGCAAAACCACTAGTAATCATCAAGCCAGAGGAGCCACTGAGTAGGACAAGAGGCTTGGGAAGCAAGTGTTGGAGCAACCATGACTATGGGACAGACACTGAAGATGGCAAGGCTGTGAATTAGCTATCGGATGGACCAGGAGATCCAGACCAGTGACTGGAGAGAACATGGGGTGGCTACTGGTAGGGCCACAGTCTAGACCAGGTACCAGAGAGACTGGTTTGTACATATGTATCTGCATACACGCCAAGGGGGACCCAGGAACCAGCAAGGGGGAAGACTGGGTGGCCAAGGCCACTTATGGAGGGATCTACAGTGCATGTGTATGCATACGTGCATGCATACAATTTTCCACTACCAGCTCTTCATCCTGATCAGTCAGAGAAGAGAACAGGATGATACTGTTGGTGCTTTGTGTTTGTGTGTGTGCTGTACTCACTGTGCTGCTCAGGGTGGTTGGTTGTGTGTGTGTGTGCGTGCATACACTGAACTACGGTGTGTGGGCATGCTCTTGGGAACTTCTGCTCAGCTTCACTGCCCACTGGCCCTGTAGGCATGGCTCTGTGTCAGCCTCGCCTCTATCAGGCTACCAGCATCAGCATCTCCCTACAGTTCTGCATGCAGCTGAGTCTATGGGGCTGCAGGAACAGACAATTTGCTTTCTTGGGCTTATGCACATGCCCTCATGACCAGGTCAAACTTCAGGGATCAGAGGAGAATTTGTGCAAGAAGAAAAAAAGAGAAAAGTAGGTGGTTCTGGAACAAGACAGAAACTGCAGCAGTCATGACCATATAAATGGCACAGATAAAAAGATAGGAGAGAAGGGTGTAACTCATTTAAAGAGACCAGGGATTTCCATGGTAGTATTCACTGAGTACTGTTAAATCCACCAAACAATTGTTCAAGTATCTTTCACTACTGGAGCGGGATAGAACATAAAGCATTTCCATTACCTGTAAAAGTAACGTGCCTGGCTTTTCGCCAAGTGGGCTGGCCATGGCCCTGCGGCAAGGAGAGGTAGCGTGCGCCCGTGGTGCTAACCTGTGTACAGACAGACATGGGTTGAACTCAGCTTCGGCTCCAGTGAAAATCTCTGTGTCTGTTTTAATAGGCCTAGGGGTGTTTTACAGTCAGTAGAAAGAAATATGCTCTTCTAAGATTCACTTTTCTTATTTCAGGTGACAAGTATGAATAAAATGGAATTGTATCCAGCAAGAATTTATTTCTATTCTTAAACAGTGATTATCTCAGCTGTGCTATCCAATGCCTACATATCGTCAAACAAATCTTACCTTACTGATCCAAAGCTCAAACTGTGGTGTCAGGGTGTCAAGACCTTTGGATCAGGCTTTTTGTGAGGCTACAAGCTCACATAGGTGTGATCATACCTTGCTTTGCACATGCCGAAACAATGAAAGTTGCATTATTTTACTACTTATAGACATAGTATGCAATTTTTAACTGACGTATAGAGGTAGGACATTAAAAATGTGGCTGTCTACATGCTAAGTGGAGCCCTTTCTTCTTAGGTGCTACACTGGGGAGAGTATCCATTTTAATTGTAAAAAGCATATAAAAATGTGTGTCTCTTTTCCTATTTATGGAAAAGCAGAGGATTTTTTTTTTCTCTGTTTTGATTACATGAACAGCAGTTTGCATAACAGGTACCGGTCTACCCCAAGGTAAGCTGTTTCCCTTTCTGCAACTCTGCCTCAGGCTGTGCTGCCGACGGATGAGGATTTCCTGGGCTTGTTTCTCTCTGGTGTTGGTGGGCAGGTTGTGGCGGTTGTATGACGGTGCCTGTAACAGAAAGTTCACTCTGTTAGTTTCCTTTGCACTCACAAAGTTAATTAGATAAAGCTGCACAGCCTTGTCGGTCACACGGCCAAGGGCACGCCACGGACTTGCCATGGGTCTTTTTGGCAACTTGTGGAAAAACACAGCCTCGCACTAACCTCACTGCACAGCAAGGTGTGAGGACGTATGAGCACAGCTGTAAGCCCTGGACAATATGCCCCCCCTCCCAGCTGCCTGTACTACCACTAGGGCTGCATTTTGATGCCCTTTTTGATGCCTGCCTAAAGTGCACCATAAAACATCCACCTGCACTAGCCTGTTAACACCTCTGAGCTTTACCTCTCCCTCAGCCCTCCCCTGATCATGCAGTTGGGAGCTACAGGTATGAGGCAGGTCCAAAGAGACAAATAGCTGATTAGCCCACCCCTGAGCCTTGGTACTGGGAGGTAAACATAATGCTAAGAGTACGTCTCTAGAAGGAGATGCACAGCTCAGTTTCCTTTCCATACTAGGGCAAATTACACTTTAATGTTACCTTAAAGCTCAAACTTTTTTAGGATAAAATTTTTAATTTATTGTTTACTTCTTGTTAAATGAAGGGAAAGAGATTAATTCTCTGCCTAAAAGAGAAAGAATCTCTTAACTCTATAAAAATGTCTTCAAATGCAGAATCTGATCTTAACTTGACTGGAATAGGCACTTGCAAAGTGGCTTGGACAAGGCAAAGCACAATCAGGCCTTCAAAGTTTAAAGTGAAGTATTAGAAGTAGTATTATTTTTACTTCCAATCTTTTATTTCCAAAGCACACAGACCTCAATGCCACATAGGAAGTGACTGGCACTAATGGTCATTACTGTAATTGATTTTGAAGAGAGAGAGGTCATTTCAGCTAAGAGGCAGCCATATATGCAAATTGTTGCTGGCAAGATAAGAAATTAATATCATAAGGATAATTGGCCATGGCAAATCAAACAATATTGGGAATGAATATCATATTAATACTGACACATTTAAATGAGCAGGGCCTAGCTTTTTCTAGCAAATGTGTGTTACACGAGCTAGTTTCGTTTATCTGCATAATTTCAAGGTTATATCCTCTATATCCTCTCCCACTCCTTGCTGCATGAGGGCACTCAGTTACATATTCAGGGCCCAAGACTGGATTAAGCAGATAGGATAACTTGGTCCTCACCAAAACCAGTACAAATTTCTGCAAAACAAATCTCTGCTAAGCTTCTTTTTTCTTTGTGTGTGTGTGGGGGGGAACTTGTAAAACGAAACTCCGAAGGAGGTGGAATGGTGGAACTTTTTTTTTTTTTTTTTCCTCTTTTGGCAAGGGGAAACTGTAACTCCCACGCAGGGGGAGGGCACACCAGCCTGCCTCTCAGCTGACTTTGGGCCATGGTTTACCACCTCCGCAGCAGTTTGGTGGCTGCTGGCGACCCGCCATCCTGCTGCCTCCCACGAAACCCTGCCAGCCTGGGAGTGATTGAAGCCCTGCCAGGCTGAGGGTGCTCGGATGTTTCTGGCCCCACTCGCCCCCATCCTGCTGCCACGCCACGTAGGCATCTGCTGCCAACCCAGCTTCCCAGGCATCAGCAAAGTAGGGGGTCCTTGAGGGGCCTTGTCACACCTTTGGGTCTTAAGGCTCTACTACGGGTGGGTTGCTTGGAAAATGTGCTGGGGCTGCTGCTGAAAATACAGTCTGAGCTACAGTGTGAGGTGGGTGGCCCGTGCGGCTGTGGGAGCACCCCGGCAGAAGCAGGTCACAGGTGATGCAGGGAGAGGACCTGGGAGGCCAGCCTTGGCCAGGGAGATCCGGCAGCCTCAGAAAGGCCATTTATGAGATGTAGGTAGCTGTACAGTGAGGGAAGCCTGACCTCTACAGCTCACTCCTGGATTTTCCTGGGTTTTTCTGCTGCTCTCAGTGTGAAAAGCTGATGGAAAAACCTGCTTTTTTTGTTTTTCACTGGGTAGCAAGCTCCGAGGCTGGCCTTCTTCCCTTCCTTGTACAGCCATGGGCTGGTCCCACCACTAACACTGCCCTTGCCATGAGGTAAGGAGGGCAAACAAGAGCTTTTGGTCCGCAAACACTGCGCAATAGAAGGCGACTCACACACCCTTTGTCGCACGTGGTATAGGTTATGTGTCAGGACATTTCTCATGGACTCCACCTCAGCAGGGGAGAGCCTGTGCACACGCCGATTTCTACAGCTCCTGTAAATAAAGGAGAAGTTTAATTATGACATTAGGTTGGTTAAATGCTGTGCTATGAAATGATGCATGAGCTGCTTTTTGTATTAGGACAGAAGACTGTGAAGAGTCTTTCAGTAATCAGTGACGGCACAAAATCATCCAAAGCTGAATGAACAATGTCAGGCTTGGCTCCTTCCCAGGTTTTATCAAAACAGTCAGAGCAGATCCACAGCCTTTATGGAGCTGACAGCAGACAAGTTTCCTTGTCCTTCAAAGTGCTTTAGAAGGAAGTTCATAATTAAGGATTAGATTGGGCAACCAACAGGAAGGTATTGCAATTTCCTCCATTTGAATCTGTTCTTCATCATGGCGTAACAGTCTGGGCTTTGCTGTCCTGCTGGTTTTAACTCCTCTGAGAAACTGTGGCACATCCTTAAGAAATAAAGCACACCCTGACTAGAGTCCAAAAGACCTCTCTGTGGCTAAAGGAACATATAGGATTTCCTTGGTACTAAACCTGTTTCTCCATTTAAAATAAAAGAACTACCTAAGAGATAGCAATCTTTGCATTTTTAGCAAACTGGGACAAGAAGCTGACAGTCGTTTGTAACTGCCTGTCCTTTTCACTAGCAAAACAATGCATGAAGGCTGCTGTGAAATGTTAACTGGACCTGCTAAGTTAGTCAATCTGTGTGAGAGTTAGTGTTCAGCTCAATTCCCAAGAAAAGAAAGGAAAACAGATAGTCATCATCCAGGATGAATCAGTCTGAGTTCATCTTGTTGTTTCTGTTTTTTTCCATTTCTCCATTTTTTTCTTTTCTCTTGTTTAAAATTTTATCCTAAATCTTTATTTTCAGCTCAGTGATGTCCTTTAAGTTCTGTCTGTAAATTGTGCAATTAAGGAAGGGATTATTATCAACATACAATATTGCCACAGTTTTGTGTATATTTATTTTTTACTCCTTCTGAAATAAAATAACTTTTAATGGCAAAGGAAGTTAGATTCAAACAAAACTAAGATTATACTGTAATCATAGGAAAAAGGTTTGAATTTTGCAATTGCAGCTAATTGAACAATGTTACCACAATTTTGTGCTATAATCTAAGAAGACACAGGGAGAGAAATGGACTCTTTTCCTGGCTTTGACTAGAAATCTTATCCTGGCTTTGAGAAATCCTTCCCAACAAATGTATGATTGACACATATCAGTTCTCAGCATCAGCAACAATAAGAAACCTAGATATTTACCAGCAAGGAAGAACGACAACCACATAATTTCAGTCCCGCTCGTGTTTTTGGTTGGTTGGTTAAATAGCTTTTTGCTTGCTTTCATCTCACTGAGAGGATCCAGGGATGCCTCCAAGTTCCCAGGTGAGCACTTTCAATGCACCTTTATTCCATACTGGGTCTGGCATGTCCTAGGCTGTAGGACAGCCCATGTATGCTACTTTCCAAGAAAGGAAGTCAGCAGCTCTGCTGTCAGCAGCCCCTTGCAAACACAAGCATAGCCCCTAGGGACTAATGGCAATCTAATTGCAATCAGCTGGTCAACCAGTAACTGGTATATGAAATGCAGCATTTATGTAATGTAAATTGAACATCCATAGTCAGTGCAAGTGGTGTAAATGTCACAGGGAGTAACTGCCCCTCACATCCTCACTTCACCGAATGTCTCCATAGGGTCTTTACACCTTGCTGTTGGGAATAACTAGGAAAAGTGGTGAGTAAAACTTCAGCAAGACATCAGATAATCTCTTTACCTTTCCAGCTGCATACCTGACCTGTCCACATGCCAGTACAGAAGAGGAGGCCATTCCTAAGCCATTTAAAGGCTTATTGCATATCTTTTAAAGTGACATATAAAATCAATAATATTCCCCAAGTTTTGCTGAGCTGGAATAGCAGGAAGACAAAGTGCCTTGTTTTGAAGAAGAAATAAAAAGTATGCATTCTTTTCATGGGATTAGATATTAACCTACAAAACTGATAACAAGACATATATATGGTAATAAAGAATGGGTTGCTTTGAAATTTTGCAATATATAATACATTTAAAAATCTTTTTTTTTTTTTTGATTGTATTTTACCAAACCCATAAAGCAACCATTATTGAAACTATTTATTTGTTCTTATTAAAACCTTTAGAATGTTAATGACAAAGAATGGCACAGGCAATATAGTTGCAAAGGAGATATTGAATTGATACTATGCCACGGAAACTGCCTCTCTCTGCATAATGAAGACCATGACAGTATCTCTTCTTAAGACATGGAGATAGTTGATACAGGGAGGAAATAAAATTCCTTCCGCAATGCTTGTAAAATTATTTTTTATGTATTTTATCCAAATTTTTGAACATTGTGAACTCTCCACCAATCTTCACTTCCCCTATGAAGGAAGTAGCATTCACCAGGCACAGCTCTTGCACAGCTGCACCATCACAAATGACAAAATGCCATTTTATTCTGTTCTCTACTGTATTGATACTCTGTAAGATTTACTTTTACACAAGTCCATATTACAGTAATATGAATCCAGCATTAATTAAACTCAGAGTTGATTCATCTCTGTCTCTCTAATGGGCATTCCTAGGGTATAATTCCAAAATACAACCATAAAAACACAGTTTTGATAATATTTGCTTGTCTGTGCTTTTGTCTTCAAAATTCTTATTTCTAAGGTTAATATTCTCCAAGCCATCATAACATAATGTTCTATTTTCGTTTACATGTGGATTTTTTGTTGCATGGCCTGTGGACAAATTTCTACAATCTGCCCTGGAAATGCTTAGTGCATATTGAACACCCACTCCACCTGCAGGACTCCCACCGGCATGAATGCAATTTCTGAGCACAGAGTTTATCCACGGTGATGGACATCCACCTTGATTGTTATAGAGTATTTCCCCTCATGTCCCTAAATGTTGTAAAGTGATCAGAAATGCTGATGAGTTTTTTTTTACTACTATAGCACCACAAATATTGCTAAACATGATATAGATTGGAATATAATTTCAAATCTCCATTGCTTATGGCCAGATTTTTGTATGCTGACTGAGGATAGCTTAGTTATAAGCAAGCTCAGTGAGAAAAATCAAATCATTTATGCATGCTTCCATTAAGAAACATTTTAGTCTTTAGCAGATTTACTTAATCACTCAGGAGAATGGAGTTATAAGAACTGCTGCATTGTCTCAGACCAAAGACACAACTATCTCACTATCCTGTCTCCTCCAGGGTTCCTCAGTGGACACCTACCGAAGAACAGAGCTGTGAAAACTTGTATTTTCCTAACACTCTCACAGCCTCCAAGGATCAGAAAGGTTCTGAGTCACTTTTTTTTTTTTTTAAAGGTGACATTTTATTTTTAAAAAGTCTGTCTCGAGAGGAAAATCTGTAAATGAGAGGCTGATGCACAGTGGAATTTTATTACAGTTTAAAGTAAAGATGGCAAAATCTAGTCTGTCATATTCTATTTATTATAGAATATTTTTCAGTCTAAATGCTTATCTCGGGAGAGAATTTTTGAACCACTCTAAAGCAATTTGTCTTATTTTCTTTTTCTCTCAAGAAAAGAAGAGGAAAGTGGTTTGTTTGCCATAGACTGTCTACCAGCCTTTCACATTTACTCTTGGCTCAGAGCAGTTAAGGGAATACAGCAGACAGAAAGGAGCCTGACAGACATGCAATCTCTTTTAATATCATCCATTCAGCAAAGAACAACTTAGAAAGAAAAGAGCTAGGTCTTACGCTGCAAGCTGACATCAGTTTCAAGAAAGCAGATGAATTTTGATGTGATTATGCCTAACAGTTTCAAGAGAGATTTTAGTTTAAATTCCTGTTGTTATTTGAACTTTCTGGTGTGGGGTGAAAGAAGCAGTCAGTAAAGAAAATATGCTGGGCCTTGCCAGAGGCTGCTGCAAAATAGAAAGGACATACACTTTGGGAGAACTAGCATTCATTTAGCACACTATTGAGAAACTAGACAACTGCATTGGTGTAAATTCCTCATTTTCCATACTGAAAATCCAAGGTAAGGTTTAGAAAGTGTTCTCTATAATCCTTTCTGTCTTTTTTTATTTTCTTCTCTGAAACCATGTTCTGACCAAAGTGGGTATGAAAGTATAAAAATATAGCAGAATGATTTGAGGGACAGGAACCTGAAATAGCAAAAACTGCAAATGCTAGAAGGAAAACTGTTCTCTTCTCATTGGGATATTGGAGTCAAGACCTTTTCTCTAGCCTCGCCTTCAGTTCTCTTACCAGCTGGCAGTGATGAATAAAACGCATCGGTCAGCACACTGAAGGCTACTGTCCCCTCAAACCACTGCTGTGATTCAAAACAGTGAGAGTGGCCTTTACACCTGACTTGTGTTTCTTCTGAATTGCCCATCACTTAAAAATAAATAAATAAATAAATAAAAAGTAATTTTCAATCTGTCAGCAAAGAGCCAATGTACAAATATGAGTGCCAGCCCAAAACAACACATTCCCATGACTTTTTTTTTCCCCCCATACTTTTTTTGTTAAAATCACAAAATCCTTTGGGTGTTGCCTGATTTTTATTGCCTTCCGTCCTATCCCACTCAGCTCCACAAAAGATGAAGAGGTCAGTACTCACTGTAAAGAAGCTGTGGATGATTTTGAAATTTCCATGGCATTCTCAGCCATCTCTATGGCCAGTTTTATCTCCATCTTTTTGTATAATGACACAAGGCTGGATTTGGGTTGATGCTCCCGAATTAAAATTTTCTTCAAATACTTATTGTCAAACTTCTTAAATCTGCAAAAGAGAAGTTAAAAACGAAGTGTAAAGAAGTGAAATGTGTTTTTATTTCTGTGGGTCAAGCTGATCTTCATTCAAATGTGCACATCTATAATTCACCAGTGGAAACTGTATCCAAATTAAAGGCACCTGTGGACTCCTGAAGAACAAGTGAACAGAAACCTTTAGGGGGACATTTGGCATGGTCTGGTGGTCCACAGAGATTGTAAAGCCCACTGGACAAAAGAAAGAAACAATCTGCAATCAAAGCAAAGAAGAGGACTGGATATGTGTTTATATAACACTGCCACATTTGTAAGAAAAGAATATGGCCAGTCTCCATGCTTTCATACAAATGTTTTATTCTAATAGGGCATAACAGCAGCAGCTGCTCTTACAGTAATCCTGGCCTATTCAGCCAGCCACCAATAATGCTTCAAATGGCCCAGTAGTTACAGTAGTTTGGGCGCATTATGTTGCTGATAATTTTGAATCCCAACAATTAGGCTGGATAAAATATACTTCTTTGTATTCTGAATGACAGAGAAATTGAATGGACCACAAAATACTATGTGCACGCATGCTGCAGATTGTAAAGTATCTCTGATGTATGACATAATTTGAATGTGAATGTATGTGTGTGCTTTGGAACAGGTATCTACTTTCAGGCAGATGTTTAGCAGAACAGCAGATCTTCTTACAAGTTTCTTTCAAAGGAACAGTTTACCACAGCAAGATAATGATTTCCACAATGCTAAGAAAAGCAATAGAATTTTGTACATTTTCTCTTAACATGACTGGTCTTCATTCTTCCTCAAGTAATAGAGAGAGGTACATTAATGTTTTGGTTGGGATTGAAGCTCTTTATATATATATATATATATATATATATATATATATATATTATTTTCAGAAATCAACCTGAAGTGTCATCACTAAGGTAATTAATTGTGATACACATATGCTAAGCATTTTTGAAGTTACACAGGAAAGTCTAGGGAATACTTTTTAATACAATCTTCTTACATTATTTTTTTTTACATATATGCCATTGGAATCTGCCCGTGAACAGAAACATTACATTTATGAAAAAAATAAATAAAAATGGAAAAATGTCTCTTATCAAAGCATTTGCGTAGATGTGAGATAAGTGGAAATAATATTTTATCTTACTGAAATTGGAAATGCTGTTATTTCAATTAAATTACTGCTCTAAGAGGGATTTGTTTAGCTTATTGACTGCACAGGCAGTGGTGTTGCCCCAGTGGCTGCTCTAAAGCTATCTATCTCTACTGTGAGAGCCAAGAAGGCATTAGAAGGCATTTAGTTTCTAGGTCCAGGTAAGCGCCCTAGATACACCAGCATACCCTGTAGAAATGAGAACTGGATACAGACCAACCTTCTTCCCACTCCTAATTTTTGATTTTTATAAGGAGAAACCTAGTCATGAAGGGAACTTCCACATGTCACAGCAAACACCCAGTCTAGATTACTGGGGTTCAGTGCTGAGTGGTGAGCTGGAGGTCTCAGACACAGAAGTCTAGGCATGATCTTAGGGATAACACTTAGTCCATAGCATCAGAATATGATGTCTGTGGAAAAGATTAGTCTATCTTCACAACATTAACATGTTGAGATGGAGGCCAACATGATTGCAGAGTGCCCTTCTGGAAGAAGGCAGCTTAGAATCCCAGGTTGATTTCTTCTGAGCAATGCCTGAAAGATCCACGAAACTTGACAATATCACCTCATCCTGCTTATAGAAGACAGCACTGGTCCTGTATTTTAGGGCTACTAAGATGATTAGAGGACTGGAGCACCTGCCATATTATGACAGGCTGAGAGAGCTGGGCCTGTTTAGCCTGGAAAAGAGAAGACTGAGGAGACACCTCATCAATGTGTACAAATATCTGAAGGGAGGGTGCCAAGAGGATGGAGCCAGTCTCTTCTCAGTTGTGCCCTGCACCAGGATGAGAGACAACAGGCACAAACTGAAGCACAGAAGGTTCTGGCTCAATATGAGAGGGCATTTCTTTACTGTGAGGGTGACAGAGCACTGGCAGAGGTTACCCAGAGAGGTTGTGGATTCTCCTTCTCTGGAGATATTCAAACCCCTCCTGGATGCCATCCTGTGTAATGTGCTCTAGGTGATCCTGCTTATCAGGCTGGTAGGACTTAGAGGTTCCTTCCAATCTTAGCCATTTGGGGATTCTGTGATTCTGTGATTTCCTGAGTGAAGACCAGAATGAAAGTATCTGCCTGTGCTACTCGATATTTAAATGCCAACATTTCCTCCACTATTTTTTTTTTTTTAATTTTGAATATAACTAATTACAAAGATTTGTAAGGAAAAATTAGTAATTCTATAATCTGTACTCACCTACAAGGGATTGTATTTGTCTTGGAGGCTTATAGAGAAAGACAGTGAAGCACTGACACCATACACATCTTCCATTCCAAATCTCAACCTAAAGGAACACTGCCACAGACCAAAGATTTATGCCAAAGCTATATGCATAGTCTGATGCCTGCAGCATGAATTTATCTGCTACGTTTTTTTCTTTCAGAAGGCTCATTTTATCCCTGTTTGTGCAGAAGCAATTTAGCAGACAATATATGGGCACTGCAATCCCAAGAGATAGCAATTACTCAGGAGTTCACTTTTTAAAAAGAGATATTGCACACGTCCCCAATATTTTCATGCTATTTTAGCCTCATGGGGCACAAGATGGATTTCTTATTCTATTTACCTTTTGTATTTTACATCACAGATGATAGGTTATTTTATTATAATAGTCTGCAGTAAGAGATGCTTACTTATCTCTCAGCTGATAATGACTCCAATGTCCACATACGTCTTCAATACCAGCCTTGAAGTGATCCATCAACTGGAGAAACAAACACGGAAGAAATTTAAGTGGCCATTATGAGAAAATAATGTCACCACAAATATGCAACTGTTGATAGGATTTTCTCTTTTTTTTTTTTCCTTTTTCTTTCTTTCTTTCTTTCATTCTTTTTTTTTTATATATTTTTTAAATGGGAAGGGTGAGTTAATTCTGAAAATAACTACATTTTTCTAAAAATCAAGGCAAATATCCATCCCACTGTGCTTGGCTGCAGTGGCAATATTTTGATTGAGGTGGCAGTTCTGTCTGATATCATCTCACCATCACTTAACAAAATATAAAACTGAGTAAAGGGCTGTACACAGTGGAAAACAATACTGAGCATCTAAATTGCATGGTCCTTTTTGTCTACTGAGACCAAAACCAAAATTATTGGATATGCCACCTAGGTCTTCTTTCTGTATGTGTGACATCCCTCTGCATGTGTGGGGCCAGGTACTCCACACTTTAGCCCTTGCCATGACCTGCAAATTCCCTGAGGATTTTGTATATTGTCATGAGAATGGCAAGTTCATCACTGCTAAGTATCAGAATTTTCAGTCATCTTCTGTCCATTTCTAGCATTACGGAAACAGACAGAAAATGACCAGTTCCTCCATATGTATAGCTGTAAGTGGTGCTTTTGAACAATTACCATTCAAAGCTAAATGCAAAGGTTGGAATAGCAAGAATCAAATTCAATTCAAATTCAAATCAGTTGAGATGCTCTGGTTTTGCTAATGGTTTTTGAATGTGTTTAATTTTAAGGCATGATCATTTTGTTAATTTCAGATATATTCCCTAGAGTAAAAATAAAAGTGTATGCATATTTTGCCTAGTGTTGCTAAGTTATTTTGAGCAGTTTTCTATTATTTTATACATAGGTAACTTGAGAGCTAAAGCAAATGTTTGAAAGGGAAAAAGACTGTTATTCAGAATTAAATTTGCAGACCAATGATTCAACCCTTTTCACTTCACCAAAACATGATTAAGACTTTTAAGGTGTCAATGTGTTTATAATCAATCAAAAGATGGCAACAAAGGTATCTAACAAATCTGTCTGGAAAGGATGATAAATGCATTTTGTAAATGCTGCTTTTATGTACCTGTCCCACCATGGTCACAAGTATCCAGATATAAGAGTCCTGCTATGCCATGTCAGTTACAGTACAGTATTATTATAATGTGACAGTCACTATGAATACAAATGAACTATCACATTTTAGAATATTATGCCTAGATTTCCCTCTAAATGTTCTAAAAAGCATAAGAAGCCCAAATTCAGTAAATACCAGGGCTACCAAATGCCTCCTTTAATCCATCTCTTTCTGAACACCCTACCTTTTCTTTTTAGGCTACTACTTACTGGTATCAAAAACTTACTCTCATGTGAATTTCTTCATTGATGGACTCCTTTTTGTTGGTCTTTTTAACATCTAGATATCTGACCAATGGTCCAATTGTGATTCCCTGCATTTGGAACAGTAAGTTGAAGTGTTAATAATATCTCAAAAATTAAAGCAGAAAACAAGAAAGCGGATTTCATTTTAATCACTCAGAAAAGCTGTCTTAGGATAATGATCGGTTACAACAGGAGAGGATTAAAACTCAAAAACAAAAACTAAAAAATGTGTACCTATATTTTAATCAAGACTGTGTTTATCAACATGTTTTAACCACATAAAGTAACTGACTCATTGCCAACTTTCACCAAAACAGCATTCAGTTGGAAGAAGGCATTGTCTTTGTGAGGTCCTTATGGTCTTGAAAACTCTTACTTCTATATTTTCAGAATTAAGCATTTTGGTTTGGTTTGATTTGGCTTGGTTCTTTTTTTTGTTTTGTTTTTCATGTAGAAACTATTTTCAGCTGTTCCCGATTCTCTATTGCACTACTAGAGAATCTAGCATTTAAAAAAAGGGAAATAGAAACAAAACTGGTTTTATGAAAACATTCCGATGGGATCTAAATGCCTAACCACTATTATGCTGAGGTGCATAGTGCTCTGTGGACACCCAAGAGTATCTGAGTTATTTGTAGGGGAAAATAAAGAGTACGGGACATCCAGAAGATCCAGTTCCTCCTTGTGCAGCAGTGTAAACCAAGTGGAATGACCTGGTCACCTTGGTTTTGTGAAAGCTATACATTAAGCAATACATCCACTTACCTGGATGAATACTGTAAAGTATATAACTACAAGTGTAGCAGTAATGAACAAATTTTTCCTTGGAAAGAGGTTCACTGGGAGCAAGAACGCAAGAGAGAAGCTGCTGGCTCCTCGAAGACCACTGTAGGAAATAATGAGTTGGTCTTTCACAGTGAAGGGATACGTTCGGAACTTGTTACTGATATAGAAGAGAGCAAATACGCCTAAGAAGGCAAAACAAACAAACAAACAAACCCCAATTGTTATTAAGAAAGCAGAAAAAGAAAATATTCAAAGCAAAACAAAGCATGTTTTGTCTCAGGCAGCAGTTGACAGACCTTTCTTTTCAATTTTTGGTTCTTGTAGCTTCTCTTTGACCAAATACTTAATCTTTGTGTGAAAAAGTCCTAGAAAAGTGTGTGTTTATTAACTGCTTCAAGTTTTAAATTCTCATATGGGTTTAGAAGTGTGATTAGGGGAAAAGATTTACTTCCTGTCTTTATGTTGCACTTCTCTGAAGTGTTCTGGACACAAAAAAAAAAAAAAACACTAGATGAGAGTTTTTTCCTGTGCCTTCCCTTGCAATGTTTCCTGCTTTCACAGTGTCTGCCCAAAGTGTTTGAACAATTCTTTACCAACAAATCCTGTGGATAGGTTCACTGAAAGGCAGAGTAATAACATTTTAATTTTTAATCCTCTGGCTTTCTGTCTCTGTAATTCTCTGTTTATTTCTCAGATTTCATTTTGCTTTCAATAAACGTCAATAAAAGTTAAAATTCATCAGACAGCCTGTGGCTATGTAAGGATTGGTGGTTTTTTTATCCTATGATTTGTGTGTGATTTGTGTGGAAACTTATATTGCTAAAGTAAGTATTGAAAAATCATGATAATTACTGGTGTTATTTTACTCTGTATTCACTGATAAATTTAGTGAATTATTTTGGGTAAGTTTAGCAGCACTAGCTTTAGATATGTATGGTAGTTTAACATTGATGGGCAGCTAAGCACCACAACACCAAATCTCTCATTGCCTCTCCTCAGAAGGACAGGGGGAGAAAATATAATGAAAACAAAAGCAAACTTGTGGGTTGAGATAAGGACAGGAAGATCACTCACAGTTACTGTTATGGGCAAAACAGACTCAGCACAGGGAGATTAATGAAATGTATTGCTTATTGCCCTCAGACTCGAGCAGTGCAAAGATAAAAGGAAACTACAAACACCTTTCCCACATCCACCCTCGTCTACCTCCTCCCCCCAAGCAGCAAAGGGGTATGGGGAATGGGGGCTGTGGTCAGTCCCTAAAGCTTCGTCTCCACCACTCCTTCACAGTCACTCTCTGCCCCTGCTCCATGTGGGGTCCCTCCCACGGGATGCCGTCCTTCCCAAACTGATCCTGTGGGGGCTGCCCACAGGCAGCAGCTCTTCAACAACTGCTCCCACATGGCTCCGTACCACGGGGTCCATCCCCAGGAGCAAACTGCTCCAGCACGGGTCCCCTATGGGCAGTGTCTCCCCCCAAACTCCTGCTCCTGCGTGAGCTCGACGGGCTGCAGCTCCAGCTCAGGGCCTACTCCTGCAGGGGCTCCTCCACAGGCTGCAGCATGGAGATCTGCTCCATGTGGGACTCATTGGCTGCAGGGGGACAGCCTGCTCCAACAGGGCCTCTCCACAAGTCGCACAGGAACTGCTGCTTTGTGCCTGGAGCACCTCCTGCCCTCCTTCTGAATTGACTTTGGTGCCTGCAGGGTGGCTTCTCTCACATTGTCTCACTCCTGTCTCCCATCTGCTGTTGCACAACAGGTTTTTCTCTTTCTTAAATATGATTCCAAAGAGTCACAACCAGAATCACATATTGTCTTGGCTCTGGCCAGCAGCGGGTCCCTTTTGGAGCCATCTGGAGCTGGCCCTGTTCTGACATGGGGCAGCTGCTGGGCTCTGCTCACAGAGGCCACCCCTGGAGCACCTCCCAGTACAAAACCCTGGCTGCATAAACCAATACATTATGCTAGATAATCAACTACTCAGACCGAAACTGTGTTATGTGTCACCCTCAAACCAATTCTTTTTACCTTATTCAAGCTTCAGAGAAAATGATGCAATCATTTTAGCAAACAAGTTCAGGGGAAATATTTTGACCATCCTCTAGAAAACTCTTGCACTCCCTTTGGTGTTTGAGAGACAAAGGGGCATGTAACAGCAAAGTGGTTTTACACACAGAAGATTTTTTATCTCTTTTTTGGAAGGTTATTCCTATATGGACTCCAAAAGGAAGCCTTTTAAAGACATACAGGGCACTGTTGGCCCAGGGTTAGCAAGGAAATATTTAATCATTGCCTTCTTGCTTTCAAACCCACAACAATCACATCACCTTTACAGTTGAGTAATTGTGTCATCACTATATAACAGAACTGTTCCAATGCGCCAGAGCTACCTGAGAGATTTAAGAAATAGCACCTTAACCTCAGCTCTTTGATGCCTATGCTTAGTTGGTCCCAAACTCAGAGTATTGCATGTTGGAAGTGACCGTTGGAGGTCATCTAGAACAAACTCCTACTCAAAGGAGATCTAATCAAATCAGGTTGCTCAGAGCACTAATCAAGTCTTGAGTACCTTCAAGGTTGTAGAGTTGTGCTGCTGTTGTAATATTGGATCACTCTCATGTTAAATGGGTTCCTACTATCTAATTAGAATTTCCCATATTCTACCTTGTGTCTGTAACCTCTTATCTTACTGATGTGCACCTCTGAGAAGAGTCTGGCTTCATCTTCTCTCTGTTCTCTGATCAGGCTTTATCTTCTCTCTACCCTCTGATCAAGTACTTGTAGACAGCAATAAGGTTTTCTGTGAGCTCTCTCTTTTTCAGGCTGAGCTCTCTCAGGCTCTCCTTGTATATCCAGTGCTCTAGGTCCTGACCAGTTTGGTGACCTCTTGCACTTCCTCCAGAACCTCCATATCTTTCCTTTAACAGGGAGCCAAGAACTGGACACACCGGATACTCTCACCAGTGCTGAACAGATGGGAAGAAACACTTCTTTGGGCCTGCTGGCTACACACTTGCTAGTGTAGCCCAGGATGCCGTTGGCCTATTTTGTCACAAAGGCACATTTTTGACTTGTGAAAAGCATATTCCACAGCTGGTTCTTCAATCACCTGCATCAAGAAATTGTCTTCAACATTTTTCAGAAATCTCCTGGATGTCTCGTACATAGCCATACTGCCCTTCCAACACATATCGGGGTAGTCGAAGTCTCTCATGAGTAGTGGGGCCTGTGACTGTGATACTTTCTACAGAGCATAAAATATGGTTCATCTGCCTCCTTCTGTTGATCAGGAGAGCTGCAGTAAACATCTGTCAAAACATCAGCTGTACTGGTCTGTCCTCTGATCCTTAAGCACAAACTCTCTGCCGATTCCTCACATTTGCCAAGGGAACTCCATACGTTCAATACACACCTTCACATAAAGCATAATTCCTCCTCTGTGCCTTCCTATCCTCTCTCTCCCAACTTTTCATTTTCTGCTGACCCATCCTGGACATTAGGAGAAGATGAGAAATTGTGTCCCACATATAGTCTGACGTCCTCTAGGCACTCCTGGCACAGGACCTTTAGTATTATAGACCCAGGACCAGAAGCATGCTTATATACATTTATTATCCAATTAGAAAGCTAATTACAGAATGCAATTAAATTATTAAGTCCACTTACCCAAGAGCATATAGTTAACTAAGATATCTGCTTCTATATAGGCGTAATCATGGTAATATTTTAATTTTGCTTAAAGTTTTCCGTTCTTGCTTAATCATAAAGCCTGCACTTGGAGACTGGCATTAAGATTTGTTTGAGTTTGTTTTTTCCTCTTTTTCTGCACATGGGTATTTATGAAATTAAGTTGACTGTAATGCATGCCTAGGAAATTCGTTATTAAACCGGTTATACCAGTCTGCACAGGCTTTACTAACATACCTTTGCACAAAAAGTTTTCCCTCAGAGATGTAGCTTGCCCACAAAAGCTGACTTACTCAGTGCTCGCCAAATGAGGCAGAAAAGCAGAGTGAAGCAAATGAAGGCCCAGTTCCACTCGTGGTTTTTTCCCACTGTAGACACTCCCATGAATACAAAAATCAGGGTCTCACTGACGCTGCCCAGCATCTTCATGAAGTATTTTATTGTCGTATAGGAATTCTGAGAAACGTTCTCCTCCACGTATTTCTTCATAGTCACTGCACATGCTGTCATGCTATACCAGGCAAAACATCACAGATCAGTTACAAACAGTTTTTTAAATTATTATTTTTAATTTTATTTTATTTAAGAACAGCTTTTGCCTTCATTACCTGCACTCTCCATCACTGACTTTTAACCTTCCTAATATCATATAGCATTTTACTTCTTCAGTAACACTAGCTATTTCAGTGAGAGCATCTTAATGCAGCACTGTGAACCAATTTTGTATACAGGAAAAAGGAAGCAAATCAGTCAGCCTCCCTGGGGAGGAAGTGAGGGTATCATATTCCTGTTCAAAGTCCATTTTATTTTGAATGTCTAACACACAACCACCACACAACAAATATTTGAGTCTCAAACAAAGGGCGGTCAATTTCGTACCAGCCTGTGGATAGATCAGTTAGAGGGACATAACCTGCCTGTCAGTGATCTTCTGCTTCAAGATGATGGTGGGAGAATATGGTGGTAGTCCTCTACATTGACCAAAGCCCCCACTGGCTCCCTTCCAGCTGGGTGGCAGATCAGCAGGACCATATTAAGCTTCAGAAATTCCCATCCCAAAGAAACCCACTGTGGGGAAAATTAATTACCCTACAGATGTGTCCTTCACCCCTTTTAGTTGCTCACGGTGTGAGGGATACTCCTAAGGAAGGAAAAGAATCTTTTTCCACATCTTTGCTGTTAATCAAGACTAGAGCCTGCTTCAGAGGTATTGGCCACGATCCAGCACAGATGCTGGTCACATTCATACTGAGCAGTAGTCTTCAAACAGGACTACTGAAGATGGTTTCTCTTATCCCCTTTATTTTCCACAGTAGTATGTAGATAGATTCAGTGCTATGGTAGTAATATATTCCATCATCTGTCTAGTTTCTGTTGATACTCTTTTAGTCTTTAGGGGCTTCTTGGGATTATATTTTTCTGAACTTGTGAATTCAGAGAATGTTGACTGCTCGTTAAATAAACCTTCATCTAGTTTCTGCTCATTTAATTTCCACTGAAGAAATCTCAAGGGTATTCTGGTAGAAATGAGACATTTAGCAGGTCCAAGAACACTTTAAGACAATGTCATTAAGCATTAAAGTTTAATACTGTTGACTTTCAAAGACACACGCATAATAGACTTTCATGATCCAAGTGACAAATGAATGAATTCCTCAATAATTCAGAAGGGTGACAATAAGTTCCCATCCCTAAAACAAGTAATAATTTCCTCAATGAAGCAGTAAGAATAATGAATCCCAATTATATTAACATTTTTTATTACTAATAATTTCAATACTCTAATGAAAATAAAAAGTAAGAGGAATAAAGAGCTACATAGTCATGTGTAACAAATAGGCAGGGAAGCATTATTCTGGGCAATACAGGTAGAAAAGGGTCCATGTAGTATTTGTGATCATTATACAGGTGGTCTAACCCTGCTCATCTAAAGTCACCAGTCACCTTAAGGCAAGTGTGCTGGAGATGCAAAACAAAGCCTAAGATTCAATTCTGTTGTCTAATTGCCCAGAGAAACGTATTTCCTACCTAAATACTTATTTAATATGGTTAAATATTCCAAACTAACTTCCCAGAGCAATCCTGCAAAGGTTGCTTGTACAAAGCCAGTTGTGCTGTACAGCTAACCAAACCAGAGTTTGACAAGTAGACATGAGCAAATGTACCTGTCTGGAAAGCAACAGCTACACACTTTAATTTATTAAATTTTAACTGGTTTGTTCTCAATGTGTAAGTAAGAGTTTTCTGGAGATCTCTCTCCTCTGGGAGCACCAAAGCCTGTGAGGCCTCACTGGCTTGTGAGCTCAGAGCCAATGCAAGCCACACCAGCTCCTGCCGCCCACCAGCTGGGCAGCCCACAGCACTAGCTGGAGCATTTGCCACCTCACCGGGTATACTTTCTTTATACTTCACCCTTCTGAGAGGTTGTTAGGTGCAGGATCTTTTCCTCTACCAGCAGTCTTTTCCTGATGTTTCTCACTTTTGTCTCCTATTCCTTCCTTTCTCTTCTTCTACTGATGTTGTTCTAGAGTAGTGTAATTCCAGTAAACTACATTAGAACTTATGTTCACAACTATACACAAAAGCAATAACTCTGACATTTTTAATTTTTTTACTGTTTCCACACCTTACTTTTTATCCCTATTGTAGTTTGGCGGTGATGATGCTTACCAATAAATGCAGACACACTGGTCTAGTACCAGTGGCATCAGATCATTCTCTCACTGAACTGGTTTACCAAAGGTAGCAGACTGCTCCTTCATGCCCCAAGGAACAGAAAACAGCCAGCTGGTGTCAGCACTGGTCACATTATACAAGTGCAACCTTTTTTTTTCTTTTTTTTTTTTCTGGCAGGCAAAAGTCTCCCCAAAACACCAGCACAGATATCCACTCCTCAGTACTACATTTATGCCTACACTGAGTATAGGATTGCTTTTCCTAATTATCGATCCACTTACAGACCCCTTAGAAGCCATTCACTGCAGGTCTCTAGGCCAGATGCTGAAAATGATGGTGTTACACTAGCCTCAAGCAAACAACCTCCATGAAAGGTTGCCTGTTCTCTCAAGAGTACATCCAAAAAGCCATAAGGAATACTCACGCCAAAATTCCTGAGATGTAAAGGGTTTCAGCAGACAAGTATGACAGGTAGCTGAACATGAAGACCAGCAAAGGTTCAATAGCAGAAACGTTGTGGGTGAATCGAGTCATGAGTGCTGAAACAAATCCAAAGACGATGCCAAACAGCATACCACCCAGCCCCACCACGAAGAAGCGAGCAAAGCCAGCAAGGATGTCGATGGATTCAATCTCTTCATACCTGTGCATCTGGGTGAAGGCGATGAAGATGTTATATAATACCTATGTGCAAAAATGAGGATATAGCAGTTATATTTCTTTCTGAAACTTGTAAATTTACACATTTTATACATACATATATGTGCATATACGTGTGTCAGATATTGCTTTGGACAGATCAGCAAAGTAGCAGTTTCAGGTTGCCTCTAGCTAGATAAATACAATTATTAAAGTTCTGTTATTAGTGTTAGAGTAGAAATCTTATTTAATCTAAGTTTTAATGAGTTGACTTATTGATACAATAATTATATCCTATCATGATTAACAATGAAAAATCTAGAGTGAATGGCTGTCACAACTGCATTTACACAAATATTCAAAGGAAGCTTTTCCAATCTGGCTGAAAAAGGTGCCAATCTGGCTCTACACCTCTTTACTTTTAACATTCTATTTTGGAGTTTCCCTCCATTTCCTTGCCCACCCTGTTCCCTATAAATCCTATGTTAATGTAGCATCAGTGTGTGAAGTTCATAGTCTCTCTAACCTCATACATGTATGTTTTCGGTTTCATGCCACTTAAACTCATTCCCAGGAATTCTGTGACTGTACTCTCAACTTCAAAGTAGGAACTAAAAGATATGGCACCATAAGGGGCTTAAAGACACTTCATACTTACATTCTGACTATAAAACCTGAAATGTCAAAAATAAAAAGAAAACAATGTTGTATTACATGACAGATTGAATTCACTATATATTATAAATTGGTCTGTAAAGATAATTTCATTTATTTTAGATCAGATAAGTTTACCAGACTTATATTATTAATAATTTCTCATTCAGAAATTCATGATGAAAAATCTTCAGTATGTTCCTCTTTCATCCATTATTTAAAAACTAATCCAAAGTCTCCATGGGAATGAAGGGAGTAGTGATAAAAATTTCTTAGAAGCTGCTGACAGTTGGTTGTCATTAAATCCTGACAGATTTATTTATAGGAAATGTCTAACATATGAAAGTCACCTTTCAGTTTTCAAGAGACTTTTAGGAACATCTAAAGACACCATTTCTCCATAGCTGTTGCACCAAAGTATATGTTCCACAACACAAAATAGAGAAAAATAATTTGTTTTATGTTTTTCTTTTGTCTATCTTCTTCATATAGTTAATTTCAGAAGAGTGTTAAGAAGATTAAAGCATATATTTGCAGGTAGAGGATTTAAGCTTATTAAAATAATAATTATTCCCCAGCTACTGTGCAATATTAAATTGCTGCTGGGAACATATAATCCTGAGCTCCAAAGTCTGTTCTCCAGGAGGCTCATTGATAATATTTCTGGGGGACAGACACAGTGCAATAAAATATTTCATGTGAAAGCATCCCAAAGTAAAACATCATAGATGTTTTTTTCTGGGTGAATATGTATGAAATTGGGTTCTTCAATGACACATAAGGAAAAGAGGGTTCATGTCTTCCCACAGCAAGCAAAATTTCTAGTACTTACCATGCAGTGTTTAATTACAAAGCCTGCTCTCTCTTTCCTCTTTCTTGCTGACTTCAATCTCTTTCTAAGACGTGATTCTTTATAAATGATATCAAGGTATTGATCCATGCTCACTTTTGAATAAGGCTATTTATCATCAGGAAATGATTTATTAAGTTTTTCTCTCTTTTTCTGCCTCCTGAAGTAGCTATATAACGTAAGAGAATTTGCACAATAATGGTAGCTATTGAAATACGATGCAATTTCCATCTTTTGTAATGTGATTTGTGGAAGTGAGCTGTTCTTCACAACAACATTGGACATCACACAAGTAAGACCCCAAGTAAATGTTGCTTAGCTAAGTTACTTTACAGTGTTTCCAGCACATGAGGTACTATAATTCTTTACAGAATCATAGAATAATAGAATAGTTTGGGTTGGAAGGGACATTAAAGCCTTTCTAGTTCCAGCCCCCTGCCATGGGCAGGGACACCTCCCACCAGACCAGGTTGGTCAAAGCCCCATCCAGCCTGGCCTTGAACACTTGCAGGGATGAGGCATCCACAGCTTCTCTGGGCAACCAGGGCCTCAACACCCTCATAGTAAAGGATTTGTTCCTTATATCTAATCTAAATCTCCCATGTTTTAGTTTAATTTCTTTTTTTTTAGTTTTGGTTTTAATTTGTCCTGTCCCTACATTCTCTGACAAAGAATCCCTTTCCAGCTTTCCTGCAGGCCCTCTTTATGTACTGGAAGGCCACTATATGGTCTCCTTGGAGCCTTCTCTCTCCAAGTTGAACAACCTCAACTACCTCAGCCTGTCTTCATAGGAGAGGTGCTCCAGCCACCTGATCATCCTCGTGGACTTCCTCTGGACTCTCTCCAATACTTCCATGTCCTTCTTGTGCTGGGGGCCCCAGAGCTGAATGCAGGGCTCCAGGTGGGTTCTCATGAGAGCAGAGTAGAGGGGGAGAATCACCTCCCTCAACCTGCTGGCCACAATACTTTTGATGCACCCTAAGATATTGTTGGCTTTCTCGGCTGCAAGCACACATTGCTAGCTCATGTCGAGTTTTCCATTAACCAACACCTCCAAGTTCTTCTCTTCAGTGCTTCTTTCAATCTGTTCTATGACAAGTCTTTGCTATTTATATGGAAAGGAAGCCTGAATCAGCTTGACGCCTTGGTTTGCTCACAAGGAAGGTATAGATTGATAGTTGGCCTCGTTTAACAAATTTGTGAATGTTATGTTTCAGTGCTTTTTCTTTTTTTTTTTTGGACGTGGCATTATCATGTAGTGGTGTGTCACTGGATGACTGATAGAGCCAGGGAGAGGAAGAGAGAGTGTGACACTGTTGCCCATAAAGTACCACCTCCTCTGGGCTGGGTTCCTTGCTTGAGCTGCTGTTTTGTCAGCCTACGTGACACATTGCATACAGTGTTCACATCAGAAACATTGGAAGAAAAGATTTTCAAGTGGCTACCTTAACCACCAACATAGACAGCTTGAAAACTTTCTTTTTTTCCCCTCTCTGGCCACATGATTTTTTTTATATTCTTAAGTTCAGTGGCAGGTGCAGAGAGTATCTCCATCCTTCTCCCTAATTCTCACACACCAAGTGGTCAAAGACTTCCCCAGAGACATCAGAGACATAAATTCAAGCCCCCTCAAATAGAGAAATTAATTTTACTTTGGTCTCCATTATGTAGGAGATTTCTTTAACTGTTCTGTGGCTGCATACAAGGAAGAGCTGACACCATTGGAGGAAATGGTCACTGCAGCTTCATTTGGAGTATGTTGTGGTATATAGGTGTTCTCAGAGTTTCTAAAATCAAGCCCCAGAGATGAAGTAGTCAGGGGAAATGTTTAGTTTTCTGATGCACACAGGTGCTCAGCTCCTTTCAAGATGGAAATGGTCTAGTCATAAGCAAGGACACAGCTTCACAATCTTGAAAGACTTAGCAGCAAGATCAGGGTTCTCCATTTGTGTTCAACATTTGAATGAAATCTGCACTGAATTTACCAATAACACTGTTTTGGATGGGGTTTTGAAATTGCACTAATGTTAAGATACACACTAGGACCAGTCCTGCTGCTATCTATGCAATGATACTGATGTAGACATTCTAATGATAAAAGTCTGCTCAGGAGAAGCTATTGGGAAAAGAAACAACAGGACCTGGAACCTTCTTGTTCCATTGACAGATATAGCCCATCTGTGGAGAATGAGAAAAGGTACAAATGGGTACAAAGGGTACAATTATCATCTTCTGTTCCAGTACCTTCAGTCAAAGGAATAGCTCCTAAATAAATGCTATAATTCTACAGTGAATTAGTTTAGGAATTTTTAATACCAAGATATTAAACTAAATACAGGAGAAGGGGAACTATTGTTGCCTCAGATATAACGTACAAGTTCAGCAAAAATCATACCTGTTTGTCCTGCTGGGAGAAAATGTTTAGCAGGCTGGAAAGAACCAGGGGATATTTGTATTCAAACAGTAGAAAATAATATGTATTTAATATATCTTGGTGATATTACCTTTTAAACACATTGAGTTAACTCAAAGGGAACTGTTAAGAGAGAAATAGTGAGGAAATGGTAAGATAAGACAGCTAAGGTAAACAGTTTTAAAGACTTTAAAATAGCAAGTGGAGTATTAGGGAGGAAAAAGCAACCTATCGGGATCCATCCACATGAGAAGTTCAGTCTTCTCTGACACAAAGTCAGGTAGAGACTTTGGAAACCTGCATGCCCAGAAAAACTCTGAGAGGTGGCTGATGCAGGGATGTGCCTGCAGCAGCTGACAAACTGATCGCAACATAGCTGCCGTGAGAAGAGACCAATGATGAGGTGCATGGGGCAATGGGAACTCACTCACAGCGATGTAGCAAGCCCTTTTATTTCTTTTGCTAACACCACCTTGTACTGTGGAGGAATGCCTAAATACCACTCGTTTTAAAGACTTTCTGGTACTGCAGATTTGTGCTGTAACAGGATCCTGACTGAAAGCTCGTGTAAATGCCATCATGACTAGGACCCACACTGTAAACACATGGGAACAAAAGGAAGACTGGGTAGAGAGCCAGTCAGAAAATTGACCAAACAAGTTCTTCCAGAGTGAGGAACAGGCATTAAGTTCTTAAGCAGATAGATAAATTGTGCATTATTTTGTTTGCTTGTTTGCTTTACCGCTGTAACACATTAGCAGTATGCATGCAAAGTTAAGTAACATTTGTCCTTTAATCAATAGCCCTACATTTCTGATTTACCAAGATACGGATTTATGATCGATAGGCTGTGAATTTACTGAAATTACTTTATTCCTTTTCCTTTTCACATTACTCATGAACTTCACTTCTCCCATGAAGCCTTTCAGCAGTGAACTCTGTACAGATTTAACAAGTGCAGGTTGTACTGTACCTCATATATAATAGTATCTGAATAGTTTTTGTGTGTTTTAGATTCCTGTGATTTAAATTCTGTAAAGATGCTATCTAGCAAAACTCCTTAACCTGCAGTTAACTTTCAGTGCCTGAAGAGTCCTTTTGATTTCTGTGCAATGAATTTCCTGTTTGAAATGTCTTGCTTGAAAAACATTCAAGTTCTAAGTGTCTTGGTCAAATGTGGCCCACAGCTAGAATTTCATGTGGCTCCAAGTTTTAGTATAACTATGCAGAAAATGATGAATATATTAGCAAAAGGACCTTTGTTAAAAAATAATAACAATTAAATAAATAAAAATAATAAAACAACAACAACAAAAAAACTCTTTTCCTATTAAAAAAATAATAAATCTATTTTTCCCAAGTATTTTTTCTGGACACTTGAGATGACACTTGATACCCAAAAGAGATGAACACTTGTCAGATGTCATGACGTCATTTTTTTACTGACAGAATTAGACTTATGTGAAGCAATTCATGGGTTTTGGAATTCCTGTCCAGGCCTCTGGGAAAAAATCTCAGCAGTAGATGGAGGAGGGATTGAGGCCACCAGAGATTGTCCATACTAGGCTTTTTTTTTTAATGAGTGCTCTCTAAGACATGGAATATTGAAAGGTCTCTTGTATTGCTACCCCTGCTGTCCTCAGTCCTTAGGGAATACATTTTTCTGTTTATTTGCTTGCACAATATCAAGTATGTTCCTAGGTCTTACACTGGTTCTACCAGCAAAATAAGCTTCTGTTTATCCATTCACCTCAGTGAATGCAAGAATAGGGTGTGTTTCCAATGTCTAATCAGAAGCAGTATCTCTTCCAGAAGCTCTAAACCAGCACGTTTTTGTAAGAGTTAATATAAAATGTAGTGTTTACATATATTAAAATTAGTTTGGGGTTGACAGTGGAATACATGATAAATAATGTGTCTAAGACTTCCACAGGGCTGCTCTTGCCCTGTGTCCGATAAACCTACAAGCTATAAGGGCCCTAAGAGAGAAAGACAAGGAATGGAAAGAAACTCACCACAGTTATGCCATCATTTAGCAATGACTCTCCAAAAATCATCATATAAAGCTGCTCATTAACAGAGGCTTCTTCAAAAACTTCCAGAGCTGCCACAGGATCCACAGCCGAAATCATGCTGCCAAAGAGCAGGTTCTGCAGCAGGTTCAGGTCAGTCAGGCCAAAGGCTTCAATTTGGCACACACCATAGAGGGAGAGACCAATCCCAAATGAGTTCAGCAGAGATCCCAGCACAGACCACCACAGAATGGACCCAAAGTTTTCAAAAAATGGGCGAGTTGGCATGAAATAGCCCTCTTCCAGGACAATAGGTGGAAGCAGATACAAGAAGTAAATACTTGTGTTCATCACTGGTGGGGATTTGTGATCGGTACCAAAGATGATCGCTCCAACCAGTGCTCCGATGGCAATCAGGATGCAGCTTTCGGGCATGAGTCTTGGTAATCGGTGGTAGAGATGGAAACCTTAAACAAAACATTGGGGTATTACTCAAGTTTAAATTAACCTGGTGTTAGACATGTTTTGCCTGCTTTTGAATACTTAGTCTGCAGATGGCCAGGTTCTGCTCTTAGGATTGCAGTTGTAATTGTACAGACAGTGCCATTCCCTTCAAAATGAAACATGACTTCTGTCATTACAAGAAAGGAAGAGTTTGGCCACAAATCTCTTTTTATCCCCCTTCCTAGCTGTCAATTTCTGAACAAGTGTGCTTCAGTCTAAGCTTCATTACTAGAAACGTAAAAGCATCTTCAAAAAGACACTGCGCAAATTGGAAATAGTATATTCTTAAAATTTCTTCAAGTATCCTTGCTGAACAACAGCTGCTACCACCAAGCCTCTGGGGCACAGTATGTCCTGCCATCTCAAAGAGCCTCTAGATCCCTGGCCATGTGTTCAAAGGCTGCTCCCACCAATGCTGAGGAGGATTCCTGGCTGCAGAGCTACTGCTGGATTTAGACTGACCAGGAACCTGGAGAAGCCCAAGGCAGCAAAACGGATGCCAAGGTCTGTTCAGCCCTTTTCAATTCCAGAAGTCCCCTGAAGCATTTCACAGACTCCAGATGACCCACAGACTGAGGAAGTGAATACTCATGAATACCACAATATACAAAGTAGCTCAGTAATCAACAGGAACCAAGCCACAGCTGCATAACACTTTCTACAAGCTGATTAACCTAGCTTTTCTGGGAATTGTTTTTTCTACATAAAGTAAACAGCACTCTGTAAAGAACCTGATGAGTTTAGTGAAACAAAACCACGGGTAACAGCAGAGCTGAAAGAACTACTGACAGCCATCAAATAACAGAAAATAAAGGATCCCTATTTTTTTTCCTCACTAAAAGTAAAGCTTCAGGCCACACTACAAATGAAGTGAGCTAAAGTCTTTTCCACTCAGAAAAGTTTATCTTGCATGTTTACAGCCAAATTCTCTTTTCTACTCAAGAAAAGAAAAAAAAAAAAAAAAAAAAGTCATATTTAAACTGCCTGTGGGAACAACAGCTGGCCAGAAAGAGTGGCATTTAGCATATAAAAGTCATCATGTGAATCTCCTCTTAGCTACCTTGATGTCCTACTACTGTGTGTTCATATAATCCTTCACAGTTGACATGAATATTGATACCAATACTGAGATAACATCTAATAGTAGCTCATCTAGTTGCTATATCAGGAACTGTATAATCATATTGTGAATGAGAGATGCCTCATCTAGAAATGTAGGGAGTTGCTCAGAGTTTACGAGAATGAGAATAAGACAAATACACCCATAAATAGGCAAACAGCTTTAGATGGCCCTGCCTTAGCCAGGGGTTTGGACCAGATGACCTCCAGAGGTACCTTCCAACTTCAGCCATTCCATGATTCTGTGTGAAATCCAGTGCCTCTGTTTCCATAGCTGAAGCTAGATCAACTTTCATCCCATAACTCTAGCAGTTAATGACATAACTGCATTTCTGTGATGTTAGACTTATCCATGCTCAAAAGTAAAGGAAAAGAAAAACATTCTTTTGAATTTTAAAATTATTTATTTGGGAGACTGTGTTTTTACAAAAAAAAAAAAAAAAAAAAAAAAAAAAAAAAAGCTATAATCATAACACTACTTATCTTCTATTTTAATTTAAAGAAAATAAATAAAAATCATGTTCAAGTCTTCTGTCAGTTTTGCAGAATAAGGGAATTATTTCTCCTTTCAAGATGACAGAAATGTTTCCTACCTTGAAATTCTGAAATCCAAAAAGGAGATTAAACTTGAAGGTGACATTGAAAAAAATATAAAAATTTGAAAGTCTTCTTCCATGGGCAGCCAGATTATTCAAACTAATTCTTAAATTTGAAGTCAATAGCTCCAAAATTTTCAACAACAAAAACGTTTGTTGGAAAATTCCCAGCAAAACAAGTCTGGCTGGGAGGTGTCATAAAATTCTAAAGTTACCTTATTTCTTGCTTGGAACAAGAATATAGAGGAGATGTGCCTTATAGCAATTCCTGTGCTTTTGCAGCTGGTGAATAAAGAAATTAGTCATGCTCACCGCTAACACAGTCTGCTGATGCAATAACAACAAACCTGATTTGGAAAAAAAAATAAATAATATATATATATATATATATATTATTACTCTAACAGTGAAGATATTTGTTTGTAGGATTTGGACTCAAACCGTCATCTACTGTGAAACTTGTGAATCATGGTCAGTCGCGATGATATTTAATAATTGTGTGACTATGACATGAAAATAGTACATCTTTTGTCCACCTCCAGAAAATCATCAGTACCACCTACCAGCCTATTTTACAGCAATGTTTGAAAATCCCATTGAACTTCAAAGGGGCAGGGAAATCACGTGTATGTAGCTATTCATGTTACTGCCATCTTATTCGTTTATTTCATATTGCTGCAGTAGTTCTGAAAGGTCAAATCCAAGTTAAGCCCAGCCATATAGATGCAGAAGACACATGGTAAGCCATTTTTGCTGTATTAATTGCCATCTCTACATCTCCATGAGTTGTCTCACTTCATTCAAATACCTACACAGAGCCCCCATAAAAGCTAGATGTATTGGTATATCTTCAAAAGGCCTTTTAATGCCTCCAATGACCTACGCTTCTCAGACTGACTCTTTCCTCTGATATTACCTTCTGAGCAACTTTAAACAGCAACCATTTAAAACTAAGAATCATAGGGAAATTTTTCCTATTATTCACATGACAGAAGAGTTCTTCCCACTTTCCTCTTCCCCAAAGTAAGTACGCCTGAAGTTTCAGTCATCGTTTTTTTGATTTCTACAGCTGTGTCGGATTGTATAGTCTTATATCTTATGATATTTAATGAACGGAACAAAGAATAGACAGCACTGTGTGGAGAACATCTATTGCAACTCATTAACTTAGACAACCCAAGAGAAGGCTAGAGGTCATATATTTACTTAAATAAGTTGGAAGCATTCAGAAGGTGAAATTTTGTCATTGTCAAAGTAATGATCTGTTCTTTCCAGAATGGATAAAAACAATCCTAGGCACAAAAAAAAATGCACGCAGGGTACTTGGTTACATGGTATGTTTTTAAACTTTTGCCAACAAAGAACCCAAGATACCATTTTTTACTTACCTATTTTTGCAAGAGAAGCAAGGAGTATCCAAAGAGTAACTTCATAGGGAATTTGCACATAGTTATAGTCCACGGTGAAAACTTGTAACCTCTTCTCTTGTAGAGAACCAACAGCATCCTCATGGCCAGGTTCATAGTGAGGCAACAAACTACTGCTCGACTTGGGCTCATCTAAATAAGCAGCAGCAGGAGGGCATAGCAGAGTCAACAGCAGCAACAGCAGCCAATTCAAAAGCTTTGCGTGTGTGAGTGCAGGAGAGCCCATTTCTAGAGTTGTGACCCTCCTTTATTACAGTTGTAGCGTATGTTGTGTTCGTGAAGGAATGCAGTACTCACACCTGTCGATTCACACTTCTAATAGACACAGCCACTTCTTCCTCAGGACTGCTTCATTTTCCTGTTAGAGGTAATTTAAAAAACCCTCATGTGCCTGCGCTGTTCCTTGTGTTACAGATGGACGTGAAGTTTTTATGAAGATACCAGTTCTGCAGGTTCCTCAGACCCGAATAAACCCCAGACAGCATCACTATGTTAAAGTGTAAAGTCCTTCCCAGCTACATCATTTTTCCAGCTATTCTGACTTATTTTTATTTTCCCCAATTAAAAAAAAAAAAAAAAAAAGTGCATCAGTGTGCATCTTTCAGGCAGTAAGCACAGCACAAGTAAATAGTATCAGTAGGTAGGAGAGGCTCCATACCTTCCTCTCCTGCCTTCACTCACCGTCTGCCTCCCCAGAGCAGCTGGCACCTCAGGTACCACACTTGGCACTGCTCACTGCTCCTGTCTCACCTTGTAACAAAACCATTTGGTGTGCAAATAAATGTACTCCCAACGGTTTACAGTAGGGACATCTGGTGGAGGACTAAGCAAATTACGTTCTCATTTAGAATTTTTTTCTCTCTCTTAAATGCACGTATTTAAGTTAACACATAACAAATTTTGTTCTAAAAAAAAAAAAAAAAAAAAAAAAAGAAAGAGGAAGATGTGAGTCAGATCACATGCCTAAAACTGTATGCTGACTACTCTTGTGTTTAAAATTTGTTTTAACCATGCTAGCAAGGCATATACTGGACAACCACATTATCCTCCTCCAGCAAGACACTTGTCATTATGGAACATTTTTAAAAGGTCAGTACCTCCTCCAGAAAAGCTATCATGTTTAGTGTTAGGCTAACAAAGCATACAAGCACAGTAGTGCCGAGTAAAAGCTGCTAAAGCCTGCGCTGCTTACATTAGAAGTGAGAAAATTTCATGTACTGCAAAAATTTCATTACTCCTTTTACACCCACTGATCTGATTGTGTTGGAAAACAATGATGAATCTCCCTGAATCTCCCAGGCCGTCGGGTTACCTCTACATTAGCATGCTCTGCAACCTAGTGAGAACAGAGATGAACCCTAAAGCAACCAGTGCCGAGGACTCTGCATCCGCACCTCGTGTTTGGGAAGGGATTTCTTTAAACTAGATCTCAGCTGGTTCCACAGGTCAAAGGTTCCCTCATAGGTGGACAACTCCACTTGATTTTTTTGTGGAAAAGGATCCAGTTTGTGCACTCTAAAATGCTCTGAAGTACAAAGCAAAAAGCAAAAGGCAATGAGTGGTGGCAACTGGGAAATTTGCTTCAAAAGCTTATCATGATCTGAACTAAAACCCCAATGCAGATACAGCTGCAATGTCAAAATTTTCTCCAGTGCAGCCAGTGATACTGGTTGATGCTTTATCTCTATGAGAGGCACTATCTTCTGCTTCTGCCCCAAAGTACCACCAACAGTCCTCCTGAAAGCTTTGAACCCAATACAAAATTAGGTAAGGGAATCAGGCCTGCTTGCAAAGCAGTCTTTTTTTTCTCTCTCTCTTTTTTTTTTTTTTTAATCCTGATCCTACTCAGATTTTCTTAACTGCATTTCACTTACTTAGAGCCATACACACAGACTGCAAGCTGTTTTGCAGGTAAGCGATATGAACCCTGGTGAGCTAGCAGCCAGACAACTGTTAGGGAGAGGTAACTACTTCAGAGTCCCTGGAAGCCTACTAGCTGTGACAATCATGCAATTTACAACCGTGACGCACCCATAGTACCAACAGGTTCAGTGGGGCCCATGAGTGACCACTGCCACACAGTGCAGACATTTCTGAGAGTGAAATATTTCATGGCTTGTATAAACACTTTCTCTCATTCCAGGAAGGATGGAGGTGCCTGGGATCATTCCTTACACAACATTCCTTCTTCTCTCAACTGCTTCAGCATACCCAGTTGTGGCAACCTCCCAGAGCTTTCATCCTTGGTACTCTCGCAGGAGGAGGTAACTCCTTTATAGAGTTTGGATTTGTTCCACAGGACTGCACAAGAATAGCAAACTGCAAGATTTCTCTGGAGTTCCCTTTTTTAATCCTTTTTGTAGAAAAAAAATAAATATATATATATTAAAATGTTTCAGCAGAAATACAGTATAAGGAGCAAAACATTCTCATGTCTCAGCATCACAGTAAAACAAAATAATAAATATAATAATAATAAATTACTAAAAATAGTTCACATTTATGGTTGTGTGAAGTGCCATGTAGTTTTACTGTGTGCTGTAGCACATTCACTCTGTAGTCCTTCTCACTGTTTTGGAGTGAGCTATTACTGGTTGAAGTGACAGTCCACAACAGTCAGCTGATGTATAAAAAGGTCTTTAACAATCATGTCATCACTCCTGAGACTGCAGTCATCCCTCTGTGATATTTCTGCTATCGATGTACCAGGCTGAATAACCTTTGAAAAAAGCCCTTTAGGCTGCATTCTCCCAGCACCTTAGTAGTATTCACAGGCATGTGGTAACACAGATATTTCCAGAACTTCTTGTTCGGAGCAGAAGATGCAGAGGGCTTCCAGGTAATGGTTGGTAAAATCCTAAGGGCCTTCTTAACTACTGGAGGCAAAGTCTCTGACTCTTGGAAAGCCTGGAACTTTATTAAAACCAGTTTGATCTTTTTGTCTTCCAATGCACAGTTCACTGCTGCCTGCAGTTCAAAGATGCTTGGTCCGCTGACATAGGCTGGGCTCAAAATAATAATTATTCTTCTGCTTTGTCTAATGGCTGTGACAACTTCATCTGTGTATGCTGGAGAAGAAATTACAATAGTTACTGCACTGTATATTGGACTTTTATGAAATCAGTTCCTTTAACAACAGCTAATCACCATAAATGCAGGAAAACAGAAATAAGGATGTCGAGCAATCGCATAACACTTAGAACTGTGTTTGCCATCAAAGGGTACCACTGCCATTTTTACTCAGTGTGCAGAACACAAGTTCATGCTCAAAAGGCACAGCTGAGACCACAACACAATCAAGCAAGGTCTCAAAGGGTGCTTGGATTTGTCTTCATCTCTCCCAGGGACAGGTACTGAGGGCTTTCTAATTACTGCTGGTGGAGCACTGTCTAAGGTTTGTCAGAAAGTAACTACTGAAAAATTCAGGGACTTCTTTTCATGGAATGGAGTCTGCCTGCAAAATTATTGGAGAAGAAGCTTTGTCTCATCTTAGTATCTCCCCAGAAACCACACTCAAATATACATATTTCTCAGGTGCAGGGACCAGATACAAAAATCAAATGTGATATGATTTAATCAGAAACTCCAGAGCCAAAATATATCATTTGTTGAACTAACACATAAGTGTTTTTTGGAAAGTGAAAAACAATTTTATAAGAAGCAGATTTTCAATCATCCACTGGAAACTTACCTCCTCCTGGAAGAATATCTCTTTCAAGAATACATAACTTGTACCCATAGTTGTTTTCAAGCACATCTGGAAGAAGCTCCAGGGCAAATTTTTCCTCACTAATAAAAGCAGAGTCGCTTTCAGAAGAGTCTGATTTTGCATAGGACACAAATGCATCAAATTCTTTGCCATCTAAAATAAATAAACAAGGAACAGTATGTACATTAACAAGTGTCTAAAGCATCCAGTTTCTTAATACAAAGTTTTGATTTATATTTTATACATTTACCTTCTATTTAAGCAGACCCAAGACAATCTGAAAATTATCAGCTGTTCATGAAGTACAGACATTCAGTCCCCCAGAGCCAACCCTTCCTCCCCAGTCTCTTCTCTGCAGACATACAGTACCAAAGTGAATGAGGATACTACAGATGACTATTGGAAAGAAGTTTAAATCAGGCACATTTCTGTATTTTCAATAGTAAGTGCCAGCTTTCACCAGTGGAAGATCTGGCCACTTCGAGGCAAATTCCTTGTTGTAGGGAATGATTCCCAATTTTTTCTCTCCTTCACCCAAATGCTAATTCCAAAGACAGTCATCAATGTACAACCTACTTTAAATATGGTGAATTTTGTTTTAAAAAGAGGGAAGGAATTAGTATTCTTGAATATCAACTGTTTGTGAAAGATACACAGTTTTCATTTACTTATGTTTCTAGTCAGAGAGATGGGTACAAGTAGCAGTGCTTAAATCTGATCCAAATATCAGACATTGAATACCCACCAGTTCCTGAACTTCGTTCCAGTTTCATTAAAATAATTTGTTTTTCAGGGTGTGGATTACAAATATATAAAGAACTTCTCTCAGCTCTGAAATACCCTGGTACCAGTGTCCCAAATTATACCTGTATCTAACGACACGATAAAAGAAACCTTATCTATTTGCTAAACAAAATTTAAACTACACTTTAGGGAACAGGAAAGAAAACGTAAGAAATTGCTTATGAAAGCAAAAGGCACACTGGTCTCATTACAGTTCCCCATATGTATGTTCCTAATGCCATTTGAGATGCCCTAAGGTGCCCTTTTGAGACTGTCAAATTTTGCACAGGAACTATTGGAGACCCAAACATTTTGGAACAGCAGGATAACCTCAGGCAATTCAAACAATATTGGACACCTATGTTTCAATACCTGAGTCATTTCATGTGTCAATACAGACAACAGAAACCAGACAGCAATTCAGCTGTTTAGCAGAGGGTCCTACTCCAGGGTCTTTCTGCAGGGTGAGCTGAGAAGCTCTCTAGATTTCACTGCACTGACTGCATCTACACTGAATGGGAATTGAGACACCTAACTCTGGCACATACACCTAAGTAATGGTACTGAATGTCACCCCATGCCTCAGTGCTGACATCCTGATTTCTGTTCCTAGATGTTAGATTAGGATCACAAATCTGAGCTAGCCCCATCACATTCCCACAGGATCAGAAGAGACCCTCTCCCTGGGAAGAAAAGAGGCTCAAACACAAACAGAAAAGGGTTTCAATACAAATGGAAAACTAATGACATGCGTGAGTTGGAGTCAAAAAATTCATAACCAGCAGGTTACATTCATAACCAGCAGGTAGCAGAAAACACATAATCAAAAGAAAGCGTAGGTGTACAAATCCGTTTTAGAGGCTGAGGATATGATTAGACAATAAATGTTATATCTCTGCTCCTCCCCCTGCTCCTTGCCAAGTGGCATACACTCCTGCCACTTCCTTGTATGAGTGCTGAAACCTTTGCGGTATCAGAGGAAGCTATTACCACAAAAGTAGCTCGCTAGCTAATTATCTTGTGCTGGGCTGTTTTACTGCCAAGCTGAGCCAACACAGGTCCACAAGAACAAATCACCAACAACAGGCATACATGTATGGGGTGGGGGTTGGTGGTAGAACAGTGGGTCATTAGGCTAGTGTAGCCAAAATGTCCAGCTACATCCTAATTTGAAGCTGCTTTGAAAATGTTTTTAAATAACAAAAAATCCTTTGCACTACAAGCCAGGTATTCCTTATTTCACCCACAGAGGTCACTGCAGTCTTAGTAGACAATGGCCATTGATTAAACGCATCATTTTTTTCTTTTTTTTTTTTTCTTTTCAACATCACTATTACAATATCAAATTAAAATCACATCCATAGTAAACACAACTGATTATTATTATTATTTTTTTTCCCCAGAATTCTACAGGAGAACTGTTACACCTTGAGAAACTTTTGAGACATACATCTAAGATGCCCTAAAAGCTGAAAATGAAGAACACCTCAGTTAAGGAAAGCAGCTGCATCCTTTGTCTACACATGTTAACACCACAGCTCTCTTTGTCCTTGTGGGAGAAGGTGAGATTTTTAAAAAATATATCTTAATTAGGTAAGGAGGAGGCCCAAGAGTTAGAGGCATGAGAGTATGACCTCACTACTCAGTGACCTAGTATGAGGGTACAGAGGAGATGGTGATAGATATTTCTGAGGTACAAGGGGTAAGAGGAAAGGCAACAGCTACAGGCTGCAACAAGGGAATTTCTCAATAGCTGGTAGTTAAAAAATTTTCACGGTGTGAGTGGTCAAACATTGGAGCATGTTGTGGATTCTCTGTCCTTGGGGGTACACAAAACTCATCTGAACAAGGTCCTGAGCAACCCAGCCTAGGCTTGCTATGATTAGAGCAGAGCCTTGGATGAGATGACTTCCAGGGTCCCTTCCAACCTGTGTGATTCTGCAATTCTCTGGTTCTGTGCTAAGAGGGATAGGAGAGAAGCAACAATGGAAAGGAAGAAACAGCAAAATGAAGTCATAAGTTCTGCTTGCTCTTTGAGCAAGCCATTTCAGATCTCAAGTGACTTGATACGTACTCGCATGAAGTGAGAAGTACATATTCTTGCAGCTGGGAACACCTTTTGTAGTGAGTCATCTTCAGGCATAAAACTATCTGGATAGGCACAGCAAGTCCACACATTTCATGCCCTCGTGCTGCAAATGGCACTGTGCACATGTGGTATATGAGTCAGGTATCAGGACAGAGGGTACAAGAGACCCAAAGGTGTCTTAAAACTCAATGCACAAATCTCATCAGGTCTGTCTCTGTCCTACTGATATATGTTGCAAGGTCTAAGGGGACTTTCCAGAGGCTCTTAAATCAATTTTCTACCAAACAGAGGGGAAATTTTGAGTGATTTCCCAAATAGTTTTTGCTAGATGCCATAAGGCTTACAAAAATATTTTCCAATTGTTTCATTGTGTATGTATTTATAGATAAATAGATATAGCTATTTCAACCTCACACATAGTTAACATACACATATGAAAATGTAAAAGCAGACACATTACATATCTCAAGTTGCATCAAGAGCTAAGGATTTTTAGAAAAATTTCCTTGGGCACATACTATCAGATTTATTTAAACCCATGCAAGAAAATTAAATGTTAATTTTTTTGAAGTAGGCACTGTGATTTCAGATACATTTCTACACTGCCTACTGTGTTGGCACTCCTTTTTAGCTGAGATGATTTGGCAATGCTGCTACAGAGATCTGAAATGTGAAAGAGTTAATCACTGATGTAAACGTCAGGAAGGTCAACATAATTTTTGAAAAGGAAATACTGCCCCAAAGTGCACTTCTCGGTGTCCTGCCATCATCTTATTTCACAGAATCACAGAACCACAGGATGGCTGAAGCTGTCAGGGCCCTCTGGAGGCCACCAGGCCCCAGCCCTGCCCCAGCAGGGCCACCCAGCACAGGCTGCCCAGGCCCATCTCCAGGTGGCTTTTGGAGATCCCCAAGGAGGAGACCCCACAGCCTCTCTGGGCAGCCTGTGCCAGGGCTCCTCACCCACACAGCACAGAAGTGCTCCTGGGGCTCAGGGGGAGCCTCCTGGGGGCCTGTTTGTGCCCAGGGCCTCTGGTCCTGACACTGGGCACCTCTCACAAAGGCCTGGCTCTGTCTTCTGTGCATCCTCTACTCAGATATTTAAACACATTAATAAGAGACTCCTCTTCTCCAGGCTGAACAGTCCCACCTCTCTCAGCCTCTTCTCACAGGATATTTCAGTCCTTTCATCATTTTAGTTTGCCCTATGTTGGACTTCTTCCAGTATGTCCATGGCTCTTGTACAGGGGGCTCCAGAACTGGACACAAAGATCCAGGTGCAGCCTCACCCATGCTGAGTGGAGCAGAAGGATCACCTCTCTTCACCTGCTAGCAATGCTTCTTAGCATCTTCAGTGTACTGCTGACTCATGTTCAAGAGGGTGTCCACCAAGACCTCTAGGTCCTTTTCTGCAGAGCTGTTTTTCAGCTGGGTGGCCCACAGCCTTTACTGATGCCTGGGTCTTTTCCTCTCCAGGTGCAGGACTTCAGCCTGCCAAAGTCCCTCTGGATCCCAACATGGCCCGCTGGTGAACCTGCCACTCCCCTCAGTTTTGTGTTGTCTGCAAGTTTACTGAGGATGCACTCTACTCCATCATCCAGATCATAAATTAAAATGTTAAACAGGACTGGACCCAGTATTGAGTCTCTGTATTTTTCTTTTCTGTTTTCTCTTCTGAGATATTATTTGGTTTACACTGAAAAATACGTTAGACCTTGGACTCCTTCACTTAGTTCTGCAAGGACATTTTATTCTTGTCCATAGGTTCAGTTGCACATTAGAAGTCTGGTGATGCTTTGTTATTTCCTGAAGATGAACTGGTAAAATACAACTTCTTATTCTGATCATCTATGGATAAATTAGGGATCTTGTAAAAATCTTACTGTGGTATTTCAATTGGTGTTTAGATATTTCCTCCATATTGCTTGGCTTTTTATTATTATTATTAATTTATTATTATTTTATTCTGAATTTATTATTATTTTAATTCTGAATCCACTGAGCATCTTGCTAGCTTTAACAACACTTGTATCAGCTCAAAGAGAACAGGGTTATTAAGAGAATTGAATTGATTAATTCACACTGGATTAATCCACATAGAAAAAGACAATAGTAAATGAGAGAAAAGTAATATTACACCACGGTTCTTACCTCCTGTAGTTTCATTGTGGACCAGATAGCTTCGGTACATCAGCACTATTTCAATCCAGTGCTGGTAAATAAAAATAGTGCACGAAAGGAATGCAAAGAGGATAGAAATGGCACTGCATAGTATATATAAGAGAAACACTGTAGAAAGAAAATCATAATTCATTCTTTTCAAAATAATGTTGACACTTAGATGAAAACATCAGTTCACAAATGGGGATAACCCAGCTCACAATCATCACTCTTGCCCCTCTGGCAACCCTTAGCAAAGTTGGGGATTAATTGAGCTGCAAATCTCAGCATAGCATTTCAGTCTACCACCAGAGAGCATGATTAAATTGCATCTCCTTGATGGTGTGAAATGCCCATCTGTGATGAAAGGCACAGAGAAATAGTCTATGGTACACTCAACAGAGATGAAAGTAGTCATTTCTTGAGATGGAAAAGAAGCAAATAGCTGCACACAGTGCCCTGTTGGAGACTTCCTGTGCCACCCCAGTGATGAATCTTCACTGTGAACTATGGTTAAAATCAGAGAGCCGTTTAATTTCCATACTGATTCTGGTTTTGGCCTTTGCTTGAAAGGCTGACACATTCATATCAGTTATGGTAACTTCTCAGAAACACACATGCTATAGACTGGGGAAACAAACCGAAAAGTCCTATGGAAATCAAAGAATACTATTGCTTTCAGCAGACACTCTGCCTCAGTTTAGTAGATTGCTTATTACCAGTCAGAGATGCTGCTTTCCTCTTTCCCCTACCACTTACTCTTCAGCTTCCACCTGACTGCAGGAAGTCCCCATATATCTCCATCCTCTTGAGCAATCATCAGAATAATGTGTGTTTCTGACAAAACAAATTTTTTCTATCCAGCTTCAAGAAAGTGCTGTAGCTAGCTAAAAAGCCACTGACCATGTCAATGGAAAAGAAATATGTAGCAGTGAGTAAAGCAAAATATATCTGTAAGGGCAAATAGTCCTCCATCTGGTTTTACCTCTCCGTTTTCTTTTCAGCTGGATCACAGCAGTAGCATTCCCCACAGAATTTTGAGCAAAGCACGTGAAGTTGCTTCTGAAGTCCATCTCAGAAACTTCCTCCAGTTTGGCAACATGAAGAAGTATGTGTCCTTTTAAACCTTTTGCATAAACACTAAAGAGAAAAAAATATATATTTGCATGACACCTTTGCTGTTTATTCACACAATCCCCAAATGCCTTAAAGACATTGAAAGATGAGCTTAGCAACTTCTTGACATTCAGCTTTAAGTTTTAACAGAGATGCAATACTCTGATTTAGAACGTCTATTTGTTTTTTCATTACATGTTGACGAACAAAGCCTCAAGAGTTTCCTTCCATAAAACTATGTATTAAACTGTTGTGGTAAAATTTTTACAGTTGCTGACAGTGTAACCACACTACTGTGTTTTGTTGTTGTTGTTCTCCTTACCTTGTTTTCTGGTTCAGTTTCTCATCTATATTTTCTTTGTTGTTTCTTTTCCATGTTACACTCCTTATAGAACCTCTTTCAAACCCAAACTGTACTGGGCATTCCAGCTTAAGGGGCTTTCCTGGAAGAAATTAATACAGGAAAACCATGTATAGAGGACACTGGAATATTCTTCCCTCAAATAGCCTGGGATCTGTAATAATATATAGTCCTGCCTTTAATATTCACAAAGATATGTATGAAGAAAAAAAAAATGTATAGAAAATTCTCACGCTCAAAGAGAGCAAAGCTCTTTTGTTTTATCAAGATCTACCATTATCTCTCTAAATACTTCATTTAAACATTTTCTTTCACTTTCAGAGAAGAAAGTAAAACTTACCAAGCTCTGCTTCAAGGAAAACCACTCCACTGGGATACAAAATATTTGGTGGATGGATAGTATTTCTTGCTGCAATTAACAATAATATTATTAATGTTCATTTTAATATTAATTATTAATATTCTTTTTAATAAAACTATTGTCAATGCCAATGACCAGAAAAAATATTTTACGGATTTTTCTTTTTCAAATACTGGATCAACTTTAGACACCTCAGTCCAAGAGGATGATCTATGGTTGCTGAAGTGTCTGAGAGTTCACAGATACAAAAGTTTTGACTACAAAATTTATGTAGCTACTTAAAGACTTGCTATCTCAGTTGCTCTGATACACTGCCATCTTACCCGAGCTGGGGAGCTCAGCATCTGTCCCGCACTTAAGGTTATTTAAGATTCAGATATTTGGGGCCCCTTTGCAAGACCCCTGAGGGAACTTACCCCCACACCAATCCCCTGCCAAGCCCCATTCCAGTAAGCATACATGCAGCAGGTTACTTCCATGAGTTTCTTTTCATACCATAAGTTTATTTTCAAAACAGAGGTTGTCAAAGAGCACAGACAATGACACCCACAGTTTGTGCAGTTGTGCAGCTAGGCAATGACCCAGGCTACAGGAAAACAGCCTGAAGGGGCTAAAATCCACACCTCTGATACTCTGATATTCTAGAAAAGTCCCATACTGCAGGAAATTGTGCCACAGAGACACCAGAGGCACTTTTTTTTTATTATTTTTTTTTTTTAATCTAAGCTGCAGCAGAGAAATGTATCCAAAGTTCAGGTGTAGTATATATGTACACAGTAGCTTTCAAGTGTTTTTCTGACTGCTGTGGACTGAAGAACAAAAACTGAGAAACATAGTTTATTAGTTCATGTTCAGCCAGATCAGAATAAAAGCAGATCTAGTCCATGCCTGGGACCTGTGATTGACTGGAGTGACAGAAGTGTCTGATAAGAGTGTCTTGCAGCACTCAATCACATACATCTGTAGAAAAGCATAGCTTTTTGATTACACAACTTAGGTAGCTATCTCTATTATCAAACTAAACATTTCCTGATACTGAGTCAAAAATGTGTTCCCTTGCCCAGTGCTGATGACGCTCAACTGCACTCTGCTAGGCAATGTACATCGATTGCTGACAGGTCCCCTGTTTCTTCTGACATTAAAATATCACGTGGAAGATGATAGTAATACCACCATCACCTTCCTCATCATTGTCAAGAGAAAAAAAGTGAAGTTCTCATTCATGTCACAAGAAAAATTCTGTCACCTAATTTCAGAAGAGGATTCTGTAACTTTCTGTACTTTCTGTACTTTTCTGTACTTTCACACAAGCCTCTACTTTAAGATTGAGATACACTGCTTTTTGCTACATTTGCCATGCAGGATTAGCATGCAGGATTCTACCCTCCCGGTGTTCAAATACCTCTCTAACATTGCACATACGCTAAGTACATGGAGAACATTGGCACCAATTGTGGTTTCATGAATTCTACTCACAGATTGAGAGATTTAAAACCTTTTTTTTTTTTTTTTTCAGAACTAAAGCCTGAACAAAAGACATAAGTTGAGTAGTTGGGTAGTAAAAAATAGAGGAAACACTTTATTTGAGGCATTTTATTCTTAGTTATTATATTACTCACCAATGACTTCTACTGTAACTGCTGTTCTCATTGTCCATTTAGTAGTATTGTCAAATAGAGTGTAATCACATACATATATGCCAGCATCTTCAACATAGGTTGGATTCAAATAGATTTCATTATGCTTTAGCTTTAGGCTTTTTCTGTTTTCCCTGTGTTTTACTCGATGACCATCCTAACGAGAAGAAAAGAGTATCAGGGAATTAGATGTCCTTTTGTTGCTGCTGCTGTTAAATAAATTTTATTTTAAGACATGTGGATGGGATTGCCATGACAACGTGGCTAAGTCAAACTGTTTCCATTGAAACCTCAAAAAAAAATTATTAGCAGTCTGAGGACTTTTGCAAGTTACATTAAAAAATATGGCCTATAGTGTGTGGATATCATTGCCTGTAAAATAAATAAATAAATGAAAAATATTTAATAGTTGTGGCACGTTAGAGAAATATGAAATCATGAACCTAGTATAAATGAAATTCATGTTACCAAAGAGACAAGAAAATAATCAATATTTTATTTATTGACAAACTCTTTGTATTTTGTAAATAAATGATTTTGAAACTAGCTTCACATTCTTTTATGATAAGATTATGGTTTGGGATTGTTTGAGGTTGATAATACCGTCACTATATTCAAAAGAAAGAATGAAAAAGTAGAAAAAAAAAAAAAAAAAAAAAAAAAACAGCATCCCTATTTCTCACAGTTTAGTTTAAGCAAAATCTCCAGGTCTATTACAATTTTTTCTTAAATCAAATTTCTGAAACAAAATCCACCAATGTAAAATAAGGTAAAGACATACCTCATTTAAAACTTAAATGTAAATGAAGAATAATTTTGACTAGATGATCATTCTACTTTATAGAATAAATACTGTAAATAAATCAAGATATTAAAATGCACAACTGAATTTTCAGTCATATTCATTTGCATATATAGTGCAAGTTTAGATAATATATTACAGTTATAAACAGAGTAGGAATAAATTTTAGATTGCTAGTATTTTAAGTTAGTTGAAAAAGATTAAGTCAATGATACTCCAGTGGACTACTCTTTCATTAAAAACAACAGTCCTAAAAAGAACAATCTGAAACATTAATCTTGAAATTATTTTGTTTGTAACAAAGCCACTTTTTCTTTCATATATCTGACATTTCCATAACTTATAATGTCAAAACAAAACTTTCAAATTTTAAGTTTCAACCATGTCAATTTTGTAAATAACTTATTTTGATTCTCAATTGCTTAAATTAGTTGAAAAGAAAGCATTTCTAGACTTCTGTTTCATGGAATAATGTTGCAGGTGTTACCAGTTCCATCAAAATTCTTCCTTATGGACTTGATAGACAGTAATTCAAGATTTTGCTTTTGGGCTGAACACCTCAGTCTGTGTTGTCTGTCACAGAAGACGTTCAAGAGCCTACGGGACATGAGTATCAACCAGGTCTATCCCTGTACATCCACCGAGCTTTTTCAAATGCTTAAGAGAGTGACTCTTACCTTGTACCATTTTACATCTGGCTTTCTTATATGGCTGTAGCATTTTGTCCCAGGACAAGATATGGAATTCCCATTGCCAGCAAGAAGATACAGCGTATTTGTGTCGTAACCCGAACATTTTGCCTCCTTTTTTGTTTGAACCTCCAGAACAATTTTGAGACATGGGATTTTTTCCCTGAGTGATGCATTAAAAAAATATATAATCTTTTAATACACAAAACAAACAAACAAGAAAACTGCAACCAAACAAAATATATTAATTCTTACACAGAAATATGAGCCTTTTCCCCATTACATACCGTATCATACAGATGTAGATTCCAGAAGCATTGTCCCTTACTGGTTTAAACCAAAGTGCATCCCCTTGCAGAGCAGGGTTAGTGCTTTCCCTGATAGCTTCCAGATGCTCTTTGTCTTTCTGACGCCAGAACCATTTCACCTCATGTTGTTTTACAGGTGAATTTTTATAAATGTTGGTGGCATCTTCAGCTGGTAAAGCGCATCGTAAAACAAACTCCTCATCACTAATAGTGCGATACCATAATTGAGGCTTTGCATGGAAACACCCTGAAAAGCAGGAAAATAAAATACAAGTACCACATGAAAAAACACACAGCATTCATGTTTAAAAAAAAAAAAAAAAAAAAAAAAAAAAGAGAGAGAGAGAGGAATACTGAAATACTGAAAAAAATAGTTTTGCTTTTCTTCATGCTAAATATTTTTATGTGACCTTATGCTCAGCTAATGACCAATTTCAATTTTCTTAAACACAGAATTGGTCAAAGATTTCAAACATTTAATCAAAGGCTGTCAAATGTTTATTATGCCTTTTTCAAACATCTAATATGAAAATAGTGTAAGATTTATAGCAAACCAAAGATTTTCACAAAGATTTTCACACTGGGTTCTAACCTGTTAAACCTCAACATTGTAGGAAAGCCAAAGCTCTCCTCATTTCCCTCATATTAATGGAGGAGAGATGGACGCAAACCTGAAAAACCAGAGCCTGCCTGCCTCACTCCCTAATGAGGATGAGATTGACAAACATTTCATTATCCTATCATTGCTTTCAAATTTTTCTCCTTGTAAATTAGTTACCTTCTCTAAAGCTAAATGATATTTTGGATTCCAAAAGCTGTGGTCACACATCCTAACCCCCAATTCTCAATTCTCTAAAGGCTCACCGACCTTGCTGCATAACCCCTCCTGCTAGTCAGGATGTGGTAACCCTTGAAAGCAGGATGAAGGCACGATTTCACTTCAGCAGAAGGGAGCACATGAATTCTTCAGTTCCTCACCTGCCCGTCTGAGAGTTTCATTGTACTTTTGGTTTCTCTCTGCAATTTGATCAAGCTTTTCCAGACAGATTGTGTGGGTAGGAGACTTTGAAATATCGGTCTCACTCTGCATTTCTCTTTCACCTCCCACTTGCTTGGAACAGCTGCTGGAGACTTCAAGGAGTCATGAAAGCAATTCGTTTGCTCCATTCGGTTATAAGAAATTCTCCTTTATATTTGCCCTTTCCTTTTCATTGAGGAACTGAATTTTGCACTCCATGTAGGGTCAACTGATCTGTACTACCAACACTTAAACAGGCTTCAGAAAGGCTAAAAAGCAGATATTTGCCTGAAACAGCATTAACAGGTGCAGGAAAAACTCATAAAGGCATGGCAAAATGTACACCCACTTTTCTAAGTTGTCAGCAAGCACCACAAACACCAAAAACAAACACCCCACCAAAGCAAACTCTTACCTGGCAAATTAATCTCTCTAACTTCTGCTCCAGTGACAAACAATGCTAGAATCCAACAAAAAGTGAGCATTATTTTCTTTATCAATTTTGGTTGACATTCGGAGACATTTTCTTTAAGAATCATCTTACTTTCTGTAAAAGAGGAAAACAGACATTTATTGCAAATAATAAACCAAAAAGATAAGTAGGTAAATATGTATCTCATGTAGCTCTACAAACATTAGCAGACAATATTTCCAAAATATTGTGTGTTTTAAAAATGGGGTTTGCAGCACTCTTCCTGCTCAAGCTATTACATGCAATTTTAGGATAGATGGTATTCAAGAATACACAAAAAACTCTTTAAATACACCTTGCTTACTGTTGCTTACAGCTGTATTTCTGGGTTATACCTACAGAAATGCAGAATTGCCTAAATGGAGTGGAAATGCATTTTTTTCAGCAGCTGTTGTTGTTACAAGAGGAGCCTAAAGTGGGTCATAACATACCAGATAATGAGATCAGCCTTTAGTTAGTCAGTGAGAAAGGTGTAAGCGGTACCAAGACCCATGGAGTTCTGTCGCAACTTAAGGCCAACAGCCCCAGAGTGTGTAAAGTGGTTTCCTCTGAGATCAAACCAAATCAGAAGGCATGCTTATAGCTGCAAATGGCAAACGGCATGGGGCAGGCTGTCCAGCATTTATCTTCAATAACCTTAAATTAGGTATTTAGTAAGAACATATCCAGTGTCTGTGACTGACATGTCTGGACCGCCTGACTCAGGATCTCAGTGAGTAAAGGCTATATCCTTTATTGATGTTCACATTGTGCAAATGAGACCTCAAGTACTTTTTCTTTGTTTATTGGTCTAAAAAGTGACTCTGCATTTGCACTGCTGCCAGAGAGGCCCTGAGTCAGCCCAAGGGCAAAAAGGAAAAGGTCAGGCAAGGGCCAGTCCCTACTCTGTTGGCACCTCATGCAAATCAGACATGACTCAGGCAGGCAGCAAGAGATCATCCAGTGCACACTGAGCGGGCAACCTAGGAGAGGAAAACTCCCACTCTACAGTTTTTTCAGGCAGTTATTCTTTGTAGAGAGGAGCACTTTAGTCACTGTTCTGTTCAGCATGTCTCTATTCCCTACAAGTGAATGGAACAATCTATTTTTACACTCAGAGTTCATATTAGGTGTCTTGCCCCATACTGGTATTTTCTTACACATTGACTGCTGCCAACTGTCATCACCCCATACACATTTTATAATCATCCTGAAACTTCAAGCCAATATGTAAGTCTGAATAAAGAGAGAGAGTTTCACTGGGTGAAAAACCGTCTAAACTTTAGAAAGACTGTCCTATCCACTGCAAAAGGATTAATGGATCCTGACTCTTTTGAATCTGGATTTAAGACAGTCACAAAGATCTCTCTCAAAGTACCCATTAGTGCTGCATCTGGACACATTCACACTGCATAAAACAAAAGATAATGCTTTCAGTTATGTCACCCCCCAGCCCGCATGGCAAAGGCGTACTGGTGCCAGCAGCAAGCAGAACCCAAAGGCCTTGTGTGCGATTCAAGCTGGATTCCCTTGAGCAAGTGAGCTGATGCAGCGTGTCAGTGTCACCAAACAGGGAAGGTCTCATCTGCTGTTCTGTCCTCCCGCTTCCATCTCCCTTGACCCCAAACAAATGGTCCAGCCCCTGTCCAGTGGCAGTTTGGGTCCTCTTTTGTGACTCAATTCAACTTTCTGAGCCACTAGAAACTATTTGAGGAGTTCCTGACCTGATACAAGATAAGCTGTGGGACTGTTGACTCTGTTGACTCTGTTGACTGTTGACCGTGACTACCCATTTGTCTGTGTTCAGGGACTAGCAGCCTATAAGTAGTAAAATTATATTAGGTGGCCATTCACAAAACATTTAACAATGCCACTGACATATAATGTCTCCAGTTTACTGCCATGCTAACAACCTGCTCTTCAAGTTCAAAGGGTCATCAGGAAGGGGAAGAAATGGGAAAGGGAGGGATTACTAATTAATTTAATAGCTTAATTTAATAGCTTTGGTTAACAATCTGTATAATTCTCTGTTGTATTTTGCTAGCCATGGGAAGACACACCACTGCCAAATTTTGGGGCTAATTTACAACACTCCAGTTAGAGAGCTGCAGAGCCTTCACATTTTTATAGTGCTTGCAAAATCATTACAAGATGTGAAATTCAAAAGTGTGGTCTTGCAAAAGTGTTTGACGAGAAGAAGGAAATTCACAGCTGAAGCAAAAAACAATTACCAAAGGAAGGGGTTATGTGAAATACTTAATGACCATCCATGTGTATTTGCACTGCAGGTGGACTCAAGGTGATTCAGTGACTCAAAATATTCAGTGACTTGCTTTTATCTTGGTCAGTATCTGCCAAAAAAAAAAGAAAGCAGCCTTTCCCTGGGCAACTTATTAAAAGGAGTCTCTCTGCCTTCTGCCATATCTGCGCCCCTATTATCATATCCTTAGTCCAGCAATTTAGTATGTTATTTCACTGAAACGTAACTTATATGCAAATGAGTCTAATGTGATCTTAACATGGTAAAACAATGTAAGAGAACAAGAACTGTCTTATTTTGCCTATGTTTAAACTCCTTCAGGACTCTCACAAGGAAATGATAAATCTCCATTTGACAGTATTTGGTATACATTTACATAAAATATAAGGAAAAGAAATAAAAATCCTGAGAGCGGCACAAAATTGCACAGTATCTCTGAAATATACTAAAAATCATCAAACAATTATCTTATGTCTAATATTCTGACGAAAGTTACTTCAGACTCGGAGCTACCAATTTCTATGAGTTGTTTTGGATTTACATCCAAAAAAAAAAAAAAAAAGGCAAAGATAATCTAATTCTAAGAGCAAGATTACAAATAGTCACACAGGAGAAGAAAAATAGGTTCACCACGCCTATGAAACCAAAAATATTCTGATGAAACTACTTATTAAGGAGCCACTGCTTTGCCAAAGTAATTAAAACCAATTTACTTTAAAATGCATATTCAAAGACAATAAAAACAACTCATTTGTCAATCAGGTAGGGGGAGGATTTAAATTTGAAGCTAAAAGCTAATTAAAAAAAGAAATTATCTGAAAATCTTACCTGCACATCCTACACTACACGATACAAATTGTGGTTAGCTTTAGCTGAACACTGTTGAGTTGTTTCCTTTACAGGAATTTCCTCCACCTCAGTGTCATCATCCCTTCCTTTTTCAGTTTAGGTACACTAGGTTCAAAGTTTCCGGGTAATTTTCTTGTAAAAAGATCAGGGGGAAAAAAAAAAAAAGTTTGCCTCTAGTAAGAGGTCTAAGCATTCTGAGTTTTAAAATCTTTTACTTGCTTTGTGTCAAAAATGCATTGGGCTTTTAAGTTTGCTTCATTTAAAAGCAGAAAGGGTAAAAGATTTTTTTATTTTTTTTTTTCTTTTACAAATGCTGCTACTGCATGGTTCATAAAAGTGTGTAATGTCAATAATCTGCAAGCTAGCCAATGCACAATACACAACACAGACCAATATTCACTATAACAGCAAGTTCTCCCTGCCTGTAGTCTCTTTCCACATGCACTGGAAGCAGGCATTATATGAGGGCTATTACTTTCTTTCTGTGCCCTCACAGTTTAGCTTTGTTGGCTACCTTAGTGGGGCTTTTGTAGGAGATAAAATGAATTGTCACAGCTGCCTGTGACTTCCCCATTGGACTGCCAAGGCAGGCAAACCTTTCAGCATATACAGTCCCAGAGAGTCCAGTCCCTCTTCCAGGCTTCCTGTATGGACATGAAGCCCTTAAATGACAGGTTGCACAGTGACTCTAACTACAAAAAGACGTCTGACAGCACTTTCTTATTAATGCATTACAATTCTCCCCATTTCAATAGAGGTCATGTGGATACGCAGGCCCCTCAGATTGCACCAGACATTTCAAGACCAGTAGGACTTGTTTCTGCTTCCCTGGTGTCCTGGTTTCAGTTAGCACAGAATTAATTTTCTTCCTAGTAGCTGGTGGAATGCTGTGTTTTGGCTTAGGATGAGAAGAGTGCTGATAACACCCCGATGCTTTAATTGTTGCAGAGCAGTGCTTATACTAAGCCAAGGACATCTCAGCCTTTTGCTCTGTCCTGCCAACGGGCAGGCTGGGGGTGCAGCAAGAGCTGGGAGGGGACAGACCCCGGACAGGTGACCCAAACTAGCCAAAGGGGTATTCCATACCATCTGACGTCATGCTAAACAATATATAGGGGTGGCTAGCCGGGGGGAGGGGGCCGGACTGCTTGGGGTTAGGCTGGGCATCGGTCAGCGGGTGGTGAGCAATTGCATTGTGCATCACTTGTTTGTACATATTATTATTATTTTCCTATTATCACCATTGTATTATTATTATTATTATTGTTATTTTTTTGTTTGTTATTATTATTTTCCTGTCTTATTAAACTGTCTTTATCTCAACTCACGGGCTTCACTTTCCATTTCTCTCCCCCGTCCCAGAGAGGGAGGGGGGAGGGTGAGCGAACGGCTGCGTGGTGTTTAGCTGCCGGCCGGGTTAAACCACGACACCTGGTGAGATCACTCTCTTTACTGCGGACTGAGGCAATTACTCTACTTCATTCAGGATCCATAGGAAGAAGCTAGGAAAGGCTTTTTGCTGCATAGCAAGTGAACTCAGCATTGACTATGTTCATGTACATATTCCTTTAGGCAATGTCCAGTATTAATATTTGACTATTATTTTATTAATAATATTAATTATTATTGTTATTAATATATTGGCATATATTAATATTAATATATGGCTATGTTGGGTTCTGAGCATTTGAAGATACAGGATATGTATTCTCAGATTCAACCATGTGTTTATCCCTTTGCCCCTTCCCAAACGCAGCCCACTGATGAATATGCTTGCTGACTGTCTCCTCAAATACCTTCAGTATTTTGTCCCAATACAAAGTATATCTTTGGTTTATAAGTTAAAGAACACTCCAATGTATCTTTGTAAGTTTCAGTATAAAGAGTTAAGCCTTTTGAAGGTGTCTTTTCTGACTGTGGAAAAATAATAATAAGTTTACTTATCTTTTTCCTTCAAGCAATTATGGACTGAAACATAAACAAAGTCAAGACTTCAGACTGTTGGTAAGAGAAGATGGATTTTTCCCAAAGACACACCTTACAAAGATAAACACACTTCATTCTTTTCAAGTGCTCATTGCAGTACTCTCTAGGTAATAGGTTTATTAAATAAATTCTAAAACAATTAATAGGTCAGTCCAATTACTAGAGCAGAATACAACAGAAACACCAGTCACATACAGTTTTGAAAGTCATGCTGACAGAACCACACCAGATGAATATCTTGTCAAGTAGAATCAAATATTTGACTGAGCCTCTGCCCCAATTAACCCATCCTGTTTTGTAAAAGTAATATATATGCTAAAAAAGCAGTCTCACACAATGTTCTTCCCAGGCTCCTATTTTCCCCTTGCACATTTACAAAAGAGAAGGTAAAAGACTGATCCAGAAGTCCCTCTCTGCTTCCTTTCCCCTCACTCACTCACTTGTTCACTCATTCAGCATACTTTATGCTACAGCTACAGGATACTGCAGGCTCCATTCTCAGGAATGTCTTCCCAGCCCTGTGGAAATTCAAGTTGGAGGTCCATGTCCTACCTTGTCCATCTCACTTTTGCTTAAGCATTTTGTCAACCAAGAAGCAGAAGGGGAAATGTACCATCTCAGTATGTAGTCTTGTACTAGTGGGAGGAATTAAGTCTCTAGTTTTCTGGTACTATTCTGGCTTAACACATTCACACATACATCCTCCCCTCCCCAGCTATGGTTAACACTGAGTAGGTAAGAAAATTTCCACTCCAATTATTTTCTACACTGAGTCGGTGGTGTTGATTCTGCTATCACAGGAGGTGTTAAACAATATCTAAACATGAACTTCTGTCTGGTTTGTACTAGTTTATACAGTCAGTGGAATGGCATGTTGTCAAGTGTGGCTTATGGAACAGTGAGGTAATTCACCTGTTACTCCCCTGGGAAATAAGAGAAGGTCTTGTTACTTAGCACAAATCTGCTGCACTACAGTACAGTCTGTCTTGTGTATTAGGGTGTAATAATACCAGTGTCACATGGAGGCACTAATGACTGAATAGAACACTTGCCAACAGAAAAAAGAACAAAGAAAATGCTCATAACTCAGACCTTCAAAACCTTTTCACTCTTACAATCTTTATCATTGTTAATTTGGAAAGATTGCCTAGTATTTATATAGTAGTTCTTATACTAGTTCAATAGCAATCCCTTCTTGACTTTCTTGGTAGTCTAGTCCACTTACTGGAAGCCAAGAAATATAAACCCAAGACAGATGACCACCACCATATTATTTTTCTAAACTCACTGTCACTTTTAAATTTGCACAGTAGTTTTTTGTTGTTGTTTAAATAAAAGTCAGATTCATACTGTTTTACAAACAGTTTTGGATTCTCTTACAGAACAGCATTCCTTTACCATAGTCAAAAAAACTCAACCAGCTACAATTTTCTTGCAATACATATAGTCAACAGTTTTGTAACCACATATTGAAATAAGGTCTCCAGCAAATGACTGAAACTGATTTAACTATGGAAGTTGTCAAAACAATTAGAACAATAAACTGTGAATTTATTTGATTGTCTTCCATAAACACTTTAAGCCATCAAAGCACTGAACTTTATTACTTTTGTGTTCGATAGGTAATAATAAATATATTACACTGGACTGTTGTGTATCTCACTGATATACATGCTATATCCCAGTAATAGAGGCCAGACAGAAGATAAAATAATGCAATCTAAGAGACAAAACCCTGTAATGAGATAATTATATATTTAGTGAAACTCAAAAATGAGACTATTGTGGTCTATCTGCAGCTGCTGTCACTGAAGTTCAGGAATTTGCATTATTGAACCACATGAAGCTGTCACAAGTTGATCAAAACTGGAACAGATTCTAGTCTTTTTTCAATTTTGTATCTTATGTAACTTGTGGCTGTTGCAGAAAGCTTAGAAAATACCATTTCACTCAGGCACCATGTTTAATTATAGCTACTAAACCAGAAAAGTATTTCCCAAAAATGCAATCACATTTTCTGTTTCAAAACACTGAATGAATACGTTTTAACTATGTCACAAACATAACACTAGAAAGGCAATGTTTCAAAAATTGTATTAAATTAACATAAGATTTAATGAGTTAAAAGTTGCCTCTTCCATGCAAGCTCATTTCTAAGTAATTTCTAAGATTTTTTTTTATTTTTTTATTTTTTTTTACTTTCACCAAGAAAGCATGATTGAGAAGTATGACTCTAATATATAAGCACAGTTTTAGAGTACTCTTCCTGGCTACACTCATGTCTGCCAATCTTTACTTTCTTGCCTTTTTTTATGGCCTTTAATGAATCCAGGAATCAATCTATCAACTTCTGGATATGACACGTAAAATTCTGGACCTTCCTGCACAAATCAATTGCGTCTTTCCTCTAGGCCCTGACATGTCCAGCATATAGTAACCTTGCCCTGCACATGTAATAGACACGTGCCCACAGTGTGTTACCATGTAGGACACCTCATTTTTGAGCTGACTGAAAAATTTCTGTTTAGTTTCTAGCTTGGTAAATGTGCTATTGACAAATTACTTCTGCACTCATCTTCAGTATATCTGCAACATAACCAGCAAATCTTCTACCAGGACTCTTGCAGTTCCCTATATACTCCAGCCCTTCTGCAAACCTCCTGCTTTCTTTACAATCTTTCTTTACAATCTTTCTTTACAGGTTGAAGAGATAGGATTTGTCCTGAAGCTTGGATACAGGGTGACATATTCTACCTCTCACCACATGTATGTAAAGAATGCAGATGACAATAGAGGAACAGAAGTGTTTGTAGAGAAAAAAAAAACACAACAGATATAAACAGATATAAAACTTACAGATATAACCCCCCCCCCCTTCTTTTTTTCTTGCCTGAATTGTGTTCGATAGACAATAGTCAAACGTGAATGGTAGTCAAACAAAAAATACAGACAGATTATATTCTCATAGTCAGTACCATGTTGTAGTATGCACAAGAAAGACAAGAATCTTCAAGACTGCTGTCTTACACTAGCTCTCCCATTACTGATCCCAACTGCATCCTGCTTTAGGAAATTAATTATTCCAAAAACTTGGTTGGATTAGGTTTGGTTTATTTTTATTTATTTTTTTTTTTTTACAGTACAAAAGAGATATTTTTTGCTCATGGAGAGCAGGTCTAATCATATTTTTGATTCTTGCATTATTTTTCTTACTAGAGGTACAATTTTTGACACTTACTGCTGTCTAACTGCAGCAAAAATAGAAGCCACTGTTGTGTGGAGGGGGAAATAAAGTTTTATTAAGAGCAAAAAATGTAACAGAAATACTACAGAAATCACTGGAATGACCCGTTACTTCAAACCAACTATCACGTGAAGTCACTTGTAAATTGACATATACAAGATTAGGCAAATCAGCACAACTACATTCTATAAGTCACATTAGCAGCTTCTTTTCTCTAGAGACTGGCAAACAGAAAGCAAGCATTTCCAAGCCCTGGTTAAAGTCACTAATTCTGGATATAAGAGCACTAAGAACAACATCTGGCATTAACGTAGACTTAATTTCCTTTGTCTCCTTTTACCAAGGCATGGGCAGTGAGGATTAGCTATTAGCTATTCACCTCTCCAAGCTGAGGTGGGGAGTTCACATAAAATCCAATCTTGCTTTATAATAGCTGATTCTCATAGAGGGCAAGCTCAGTCCAAAGCTTTAAATAAACTCTGTGCACTCTTCATATTCACATTTGACAATTTAAGTTGTTAGGCAATGTGTTGATGACAACGTATGAAAAACAATGTGGCTGAGGAGCAAATATAACATATTTGTTAAATACCAGAAAGGTTACCACCATTTCTTTTAGTTTTATGGCCAAGGAATGGAAATGCATGGTACAACCAATGGCATTTCTGAAGTAGGGGCAATCATTAGTCCTGCTGAAAAATGTTAAAAAGGAAACATGTTAAATGTTAAAACAGGAAACACTGGTGGAAAAGAACTGAACTTTGAGAAAGATTTAGAAATATAAAAGCACATTTATCTACAGAGTAGAAACCCTCTTTGGTAAAAGCTTAAGCCGGAGGAAGGCTTTTGCCTAAGTACCACAGTTTGACAGTTCTTTAGTTGCATGACAGAAATAGGGAGACCTCGTGAAGCTGCTATGAAAGACACAAAAAATGTCTGTCTTTTTCCTCTATTCCTTCTCATTCATGTGATTAGGGGATATTTGAAAAAAAAAAAAAAAAAAGGTATTTCATTCTCATAAATCCCGAGACAGTTGTAACATCCATCACTACAACTGTATTCTCAAGAGCACCAAGAAGATAACAGAGCTGCATGAATTAAGTGTCAGTATCAAAGATATATCTCCTCAGAATTAGCATTAGTTGAATAAAAGACAGTTATGAGAGTGGGACGAGCCTTGATGGTCTCCTAGTAAAGTGACTGACGTTCTTCCAAAATAATTTTCCAATACTTGTTCTGTATTGGCATTAGGAGGAACTAGAGTTCCATTGTTTCCAGAAACTTATGTCTGATTGTAATCTTCTGCCAGGCAGCTAATAGTAACAGAGTATGATCATGATTTTGAATGACATTGCTAGGTTTGTTATTGAAAATAATGCTAGGTATTAATGTTCTAAAGGGTTAGGAACAGATGTGTGTATACTGAAGATCTCATTTTTGCATAAATCCTCTGCAGCTATCAGCTGAAGATACCTCCGGATATGACGGAGATATTGGTGTCCATGGACAAAGTATTATTAGCTCTATCCCATTCCTCTCTTCTCTCTGCCAAAATGACAATTTACAGTATTCTCATTTAAATTAGAGGATGAAAGCAGACTTTACCATTCCTCCAAATAACTGCCACTTAGCTTGTCTACACCACACACTACTCAGGAGTGAATGCAGTTAGCCTGAGTAAATGTCTGATTCCTTTTATCCTTCCTTGTCTTCATTTTCACTTGACTTTTCTGCTCAATGTTGCCTAAACCCTATATGCAAAGCTCCCTAGGGCAGGAGCCATTTGGGTCAGCTCCCGAGCAGGGTTCTTAGGAAATATCAAAACACAGAACTGAAACCATCTAAATCATAATACTTTGTAAATACTGATAAATTCATTGAGGGGTCTCAAGAAGTATGCAAGTATAACTAACATCATTCTACAAGAAGGAAAAAGTGAAACCAAAAGGTTACGTGTTGTTCTGTTGTTCTTGGTGCCAGGTGTTGACTTATGCAGAATCAAATTTCAGCTCCTTGTGTAGACTACTGAGGAAAATGTCTCTGGAACATCATTTAGCACTGGAATTAACATCATCTTAGCCACTGTGACGTTTCTTATACTCTTCTTATATCTCAGACTTGGCCTTGGCCTCTTATGAACACTATCTCCCAAAAATAAGCACAGTTTGTGTTTTCTATTTGGATTTAGCAAAACTACCAATTTTCAGCAGCATCTTCCATCTCCATAATTGCTATATGACTGCATTACAGTCACAACCCCCAATCCATGGTTGAGTCCCGTCTGAGCCTAGACCTAGATTGTTACAGTGCCCTTTGGTCTTTGACTTGGTAGGTTTCGCTGGCATCAGGTACCGAAGGTTCTTCCAAAACCTGGAATTCATGGGAAGAGATTGATCCTTTTTCCACTTCACAACCCTCTTTGATGGTAAAAGAGACAGGGATTCTGGCAAGAAATTGTAGTCACTTATAGGCATATATTCAATTAATATGATCTTAGTTTTCCTTTCAACTAGAGCTTTATGTAGTCCACTCTCAAGTTCATATATGGCTGTGTCAGAAATGTAGTTTTGGCTCAGTACAATGATTAATCTTCGACTTTTATCAATGAATGAATGGATATCATCAACAACAGCTGCAAATTAAAGATAAATGTATTATTAAACTAAATTGAAAGGACAGGCATTGAATTGATTTCCTTTAACAACTGCGCATGTACCAAAAATGTTCCCCTTATAAAGTGACAGCAAGGAAACATCCTGCCCTTAAGATATTAATATGCATTACAGATCATGAGTCTGTGAAAATGAATTCTCACAGGACCAAAGCTTGTTCTCTGGGACAGATAAAAACCTACAGTCTCCAGCTACCTGAGACAGCTGTCTGTCAGTAGTCACATGGACTGAAGGTGACAGCAAAATTTATTCTTCCAGCCAGATGTCTCTTTGTTCTTTCATAATGGATACCGTTAGAGAGATTCCACATAAAGTCACCAGCAGCCACCTGAATATTCAGTAAATCTCAATGTACTCCTTCCTTTATTTCACTGAATCCCCAAATCTATTGCCAGTAATGCAAGGCTGAGAAGACCATCATGTGATGACAGAATGAGTTCCAACTCTGTCCCACAACCATGGGACAATGAGATCTACAGAGACAACAGGTCTAGAAAACGTGCCTTGTAGGGACAGAGAAAGCAAACTGCAGTAACACAATACAGAGAAAACAGAGAGGAGAAGAAGGCTGGAAAGGGTATTGCAATATACCAATGGCTCCTGTAAATAGAGGGAAACAATCTGTTTTCCATATTCACAGTGGATCAAACCAGAGAAAAGGAAATAAGCTAGAACTCCTGCAAGGAAGAATCAGACTGAACACTTAGAAAAGCCTTTTTTAATACTCAAAATGGATGGGGAAAGTTGTGGTATCTCTCTCAGGTTAGAAGAATGTGTCAGGAAAGGACACATGAAGAGAAGATCCTGCCTTAGGAAGGAGGGTGACTAAGCTTATTGCTCTGTGTTTTTAACAAGAAAATCCAATGCTCCAAATAGGCCTTCAAACTAAATGGAATCCCCCAGTATTTATTTTTTATTTTTTTTAAGGCATCTGTAAAAGGCCATTAGTAATATAGGGAAACAAAATGCCATGTTCTCATGTATATTTTCTTACCCCTATGGCTCCCAGTGCATTCACAACATGCTATCAACTGCCAGACTGAAGATACAGACAAACATGCAAGTTATCTGAGGATCTGAGTAACAGAACCATCAACTGCTCAGTGCAGTAAGCATGAGTTCACACACAGATGCCTGCCCTCAGCAAAAGCAGAGCAAGAGTGCTATTACCATAAAGCACATTATGTTCTGTGTTCTCACCTTAACTTTCTCCATGATTGCTTTTTCACCTTATCTTGATTGTGTAATTAAAGGTATGTGTACATGTATATATGAATTCATAAAAATATATAAAAAGTATAAAATGTGTTTATGCTGCCTTAGCATGCAAACACAGCCTAGATAAAATGAATATGTACCATTGCAATGCATAGAACTTCTGTCAGATTTCCTTCTCATTGCAGACTTTTACATGTTCATGAAAAGGATATGTCTATTTAATGACAAGAATGTTCGATACACTTACCTCCTCCAGGAGAGACATCTCTCTCAAATATACATAACTTGTACCCAAAATTTTCTTCTAGTATCATCGGTAATATCTTCAAAGCAAATTCTCTCTCTTCTTCACTAGTAGAAGCACAGTCTTTCAGATAAGACACAAAAGCATCATATTCTTTTCCATCTGGAAAGAAATCACCAATTTTTGTCTAGTTGGCAACTGTTAGAAATACAGTATCTGATCCACCATTCTGGCTTACAAAATTATTGTCTCAGTATCAAAGCACCAGAAACGTCTTCCTTATTACAGACTAGTATGCTCAACATGTCTGCAACTTGATAAGAAAGTTATACAAGTCCTATTGCCCATTTTCACGATGATTTTATCTTTCATCTAATGCTACCAAGTAGTTCTGTAGAACTGGTACTGAAAAAGTAAGCTAGTTTATTATTTTAATCACTTAGAGTTATAAGAATATACTGTGTCTGGTCATATATTGGCCAGTAAATTATAAACACAAAATCCAAGTAAGACCAATTTAAAAACCAGGCTTACCACATTAAACAATCTTTAATTGAAACTTGCAATAAAACTGTCTGGATTGATGCAATAGCACACATGGTTTTGAATCATAAACTATGCTTCTTCCCTAGCATGAATGGAAAAATAAATAACCCTGGCAGGCATAAATGACATTCACCCATTACTGAGAAAACTCCAACCACTGCAGCTCATTCAAGGTATATTCAAGCAGATTTATAGACTGAGGAGGTCTAAGAAAATTAGGTACATATAGACAGCAAACTGCAATTCTCAGGAACACAGTCACAGAGTGAAAATCATACCCAGAGTTAGGTAATTGTCAGGCTTGCTCCTTAAGTCAAGGTCCCAGCAAAGTTGCTTGGTAAAACACTGGCAGTGTACTCTCTTTAAGTGCATTTAGTGACAAACCTATAAACACTGCAATGACCTCTACAGACAAGGAAGCATTTTAACCTCAAGCAGAAAAGCATCAGTGATGTGAAAACAAATTTGAAAACAGAAACTAAAAACAGTCTGTCAGTTCCAGGGTGTTCATCCTCCCTGCAGATAGATTACCTATATACTTCCACATCTTTGCCAACAATTCTTCAGCTTCTGTGATGAAGAGCATTGCACAATAAAGCATGCTGGATCAGCAGCCAAATATGTCCTTTCCACTGTCTGTTCCAGAGGCAACTTCCTGACTGTGTTCATCTGCTTTATTACCCCAAGGTGGATAACACACTAACTTGACAATCAAGTTCTCTTTCACATATTCCTCGCTGTTTCAACTTACAAAACTCCTGGACTTATTTTGCCCCTTCCTCTATGATGATTGTTTTTTAGAGCTTACCAGAAGCTATTTTTTAATCAACACTCTCTTTCAATGTCAGCATTAGATAAGTCATACCTCCAGCAGTGTCATCTCTTCTGCATATGTTCCTGTAAAGTAGAACTATGTCTACTCTGAACATCACACAGACAACTATCATGGCTATTAAAACACATGGAAGTAGTACAGCAAGAATCATTCCGGTTGTAAATAGGTGCACTGGCAGATCTCGGGCATTTTCTGTAAAAGAGAATCCCAGGAAATTAAGGCCTTAAGAAAGAGTATTATAGGACAAGATTAATTTAGTAAATTCTCATGGCATCTTAAAATTACCCAAACTAAAACGTTTGTGTGAATTTTCTCCTGCCAGTATCTCAAGTACACATGCATCCCATTCATCCTGAGATGGAGAAAAACTACAGAACACAGATTACTCTAAAAAGTGGAGATCTTGCATGTCTGCACACATTCTGCACATACATAAATGAGATGTATGTGGAATCAGTACTGAGACTACAAGTCCTCAAAGATGTACGGCATCCTAGACCGGAGGAATATACTGGGTCAACCACTTTTATGATGAGTTATCTTCAGGATCTCTATCATTTTTTGTTATTCTTTACCCTTCTCTCAGCCCATTCATAACAGCCCTTAATGACACATTTAATCTCTTTGCCCAAGATCTTCTTTTGCTTCTGTCTCTATTCTCTTTCAGGCTTTTTAAAATATTTATTTTACTTTTTATTTTATTTTATTTTATTTTATTTTATTTTATTTTATTTTATTTTATTTTATTTTATTTATTTAAATTGGTTTGTTCTATTATCCTCCTCTTTTCAATTCCAAATACAGGTTTTTAAGTATTAAATCTTTGTGAAGTCCTTTGTGAAGACATCATGTCATGCTCATGGTAGTCTGTATTTCATTTGTTTTATTATATACTACATCTTTTAAGATCGACTAGTCTATTTTCACACTTATAGAATTAAATATTTCTTCTCAATAAACTTTGAAAAGGTCTAAGAGAGATGGAAAACAAGCAGAGTATGCCCATTTGCCATGAATCTCCAAGCTGTATGGACTACAGATGTGAAGTTTTAGTTCAAAGTAGAGTTCAGCTTTCGTAAGCTAGAAAGATAGAGTCCCTGACTGTATCCTTCTGAGAAATTATCAACCAGAATGTGTGAGACATTAACAGGAATATCAAAGACTATCTTTTCCATGAATGAAAGAAAGAAAAAAAAAAAAAAAAAAAAAAAGAGCTGCTTAATAAGCAAAGTGGCCCAAATAACAGACTCTGGGTTGCACTGAGGTTTGCGTAGTCAACCCTGATGATCCCATCAATGTGATGTGCTGGAGATGACAGGGGATGTTTTATCATGGAATCTAACAAACTGCTGCAAAGAGATCTGTCAGACAGAGCTTAGCTCAGCCTCCCCCATCTTTATCCACACCATCATCGGTTTAACTGTGGAGCCCTCGCACAGTTAGGGCTGATATAGCAGAAGGAGAAGCAATCCCCACTGCCCCATCTCAGAGCATAAGGAATCACCCAAAGAGCTTGTTAAATCAAACCCCAGAAGAACCAGGGTCTTTACCAGCACACACCCATGTCTGGATCAGTACCCTGCTTCCTCTGTTGAGAAGCTGGCATGATTAGTAATTAAAAATGAGAAGTATGGTTCATAGATAATACTGTACCTTTCTTCAGTTTCACTATTTTTATTTTCGTTGCTTCATCAGCTTGAAGCTTACAGGTGAAATTGTGATGCAAGTCCTCATCTCTTACTTTTTTAATCCGTAGTAGCCTTGTGACATAAAACTTGTTTCCCAAACTGCAAGGAGGAATGGTGTTAGCAACACTATCTGCATAGAAATCTACAATAAATTGAGAGGCAGATTTTGAGGAAAAGTATGTAGAAGAACCTCAAACATTTTAATGAGTTTGCAGTCCACAAAATATAGGAATTGATCACATACATCAGAAGTTCAGTATTTTCTGGAAACCTACTGTAATTTTTTGAGTTCTTCTTCACATATCGAAGGGTCATTCTTGGGGATATCTGAGCATTTTTCTGGAAATGTTTCATTAATCAACCAGTAGAGGCTGGCATCTTCTTGCATATCATAACCCAAGAAACCTGTGCAATTGAGTATCTCTTCTTTACCTACACAAAGCATAACATAAGAAGATGTAGTCAAAAGTGACATTCATGTTCACAGTGCAATAAAATGTCAGCTTTCCAGGCTTCATATCCAAGCAGATAGGTTTCCTTATGGGCTTAGTAGCCCCTTTCATATGTGTGCCATGATGGCAGTGGCTTTGGCAACGAAGCACAGGGCTCTGTTGCACTTCACTGTAGAGGGAGAGTCATCCACTCTTTTATCTCAGATTAACTGTAACAGCCAGAAAAGTTTAAATAGGCCAAAGCATTTCAGACTTCAGAGAACAAAACTGTGTGCTGCAGGCAGAAAACAGGAGAGTACCACCGGCACCAGTGCCCCAGGGACATGTAAAATAAGTAACTAGTAAGGGGAATTATAACTGATTGATGATGATAGCTAAACCGTATACTACAACGTAAGAAGTAACAAAACCTGCTAGCACCCATGCTGACCTCTCACAGAGAAATTCTCTTCCCAGCACCACACCTGGAAATCAGCATAATCCTGAATGCATAAATAATATTTTTATCCAGTCAGCTGCTCTGTACCACTCCAAAACACTATTTGGAAGTGTAAAGGAAACACGCCTTAGATTCTGGTTAATTATAAGAAAGAGCAAAAGTAAAAAGACAACAGTGCACATGGGAAAATAAAAGGAAAGGTCTGGATCTGTGGAGTGTGAAATCTGATGATCTGCAAGGCATTTGAATTTAAACATTGTCATGGAAAGCTTGTCCTGAGGTTAGCTACAACATTGCATCACCATTTCTAGGTTATGCCAGCACCATTTCCAGGGAACACGTCCAGAACACATTTCAGTAAACCACAAAAGCCGCACACTAGTTCTTGTTCAGGACACTATGCACAGATGCTTTCCAGTAAGTCAGCATGTCCAGGAATACTTTGAGAACATACATTGTAAACAGACATCTCAAGATTTAACAGCATGGATGCTTCCAGTGAAACTGCTTAAGAATCTTTAAAGCTAGATTGAGATGAAAATGTGGCACCCTTAGATTCAGACCTTACAAATCCAAATCACATTTGCACAGATTGAAGCATAGACCTAAAAGAATATTATCATCTACCTTACAACTCTAGCCTTTTCACTGTGCACAACAGCTACAAAAGCTTTTTTTTTTTTTCCCCCCCCAAGGATATCCTATAGAGCACCATCCAAACCATGAAAGGTTTGAAAGTCCAAAATTCCCTTCTCTCTCCACCATCCCATCTGTCTGATCACCATCAGGTAGTTCAATGATCTTATCACAAATCTGATCAAAGCATATAAAATGTAGAAGACTTATGGTTCATAATCATTTGATGCTGAACCACGTTTCCATGTAAGGGTTTGGATGAGCAGAGTAAGTGATAAGAACTGTGTAGGAACAATGCTCTGGGAGACTGGGAGACATAAGGCGATATAGGATTGGGGTGTTGGCATTAGAAAAAAGGACCTACCAGCTGGTCTTTGTGGGGTGGAAAGTAAGCCAACATCTGGTGTCTTAGCTGAGCAAACGAGATACACATATGAGCCACAGAGGTGGTGAATATGTGTTTGCAGAAATGTGCAGTGGAAGACTAAGTAATCAAATTGGAGAATCCCTCAGACACAGGAGAGCAAAAATACAGGTGAAGTTATATTCTTAAGAATTACATACAGCCTCTTGGATGCTTTGTGGTCAAAATCTTGGATAGTTTCCAACACTGTGTGAAGCCTGCAGACCATGTTATCTAACCTTTTCCCAGATAAGAGGACAGTCAATTTTTTGGCTTTTGACAATACGACAAATTCTTTGAAACAGTAACAGATCTGCATGCTTGCATTGCCAGGACTGTCATCCTTCATGTTTCTCATTTCTCTGCAGAATGATGTCCTTGACTGCATCAAATATTAAAGAGATTACTTATTGTTGCTCACTGGACAAACCAGGCATATTTCACACATCATTCTGTGGGGTTTGCTGTCTAAAAAGGGAAGTCGTGGTTTATCATCACTGTCACTTTCTCTTGATGGTCATAACAACAACCTAATCTTCGGCCTCTGTAAGGGTGAATTTAATGTATATCAATAATGAAATCCACTAAGCAAAACATAACCATATGTGAAGATAGATCAGATCCAGAATGGTGCACAGACAATTAGTTCAATCAGACTTAACCAGACAATCAAGTATAAAGAGATCTGAACAAAATCTTATATATGATGCAGCTAAAATAATTAGTTCTTGAACGAATCTGATACCTATTTCTGTTTCAATTTCTTCATCGCGTCCAACTATCTCCAAAGTGACAGCCTCTGGTGCATCTAAAAAAAAAAAATAATTACTGATATTGAAGTAACAGCTTTCTTAGATTCTACCACAGTAAAAATGACATTTGCATTATTTCTAAAACAAACCATATAGATTCCATTTGATTCAAGGAGAAATATCTTGACTTGTTATCTGGACCTGTCATTACCAAGCAGTTTAAAAAGCAGTCTGTCCTGTTGATTTTTTTTTTCACTTGCATACATGTACAATATAAAGTTTGCAATGGTTGGAAAGACTCTCTCACAAAACTCTTAGTAAGTTTGTCTGACTTACAGCAAACAATTTTGAAAAAATTACAACTTCAGGGAAGACATACTAAATACATTTTTCCAAACTGGTAATATATAATGTAAACTTCTGTTTTTTATTTTTAAATTACTGCAAAATAGATCAGATTTCCAGATCTGATCACCTTTATATATTTATTTATTTATCAAATAACTATAATTAGGGGATAATGAACCATATCCATAAACAAATAAGTTTAGCAGGGAATTTTTTCCATTGTAAGGAGAACCAAAAGCATGCTTCAAAGTTTTCAGAAAGTTTTCTTACCCTCTTCTACTACCAGCTTAATTGTACTTGTGCTGTGGTATATCCTTCCATTATGACTGATCAAAATTTTACAGGTATATATACCAGAGTGCTGAACTGTTAAGGTTTTAAAATCCAGTTCCCGTTCTGTTTCATTTTCATAGTTCTTACAGTCCTACATCAATAAATGCAGAAAATATTATTCTGTAACAAAGATATATTCAAAACCTTAAAAAAGACAAACTTTATTTTTGAAATAAATCGTCACCATCACTCTTTTCTTTTCTCAACGCCATTTACCTGACACAAAGGAGGTGAGGCCCAGTGTTTAGTCAGGGTCATTTAAACACAATCTCTGAATATTCAACCCATTAAAAGTTGAGAGCACTATAATATGGTTCTGGTCTGAATTACCTTAGATTAAGAAGGGAAATGGTCACTGGTGGAATCAGGGAATTAACATTTCCTGGATACATATGTTTGTTACCAGGCTCTTGTACAAAAAGATGTGTTATCATCCCTCTTTTATCTCAGCTTCAAGTGTAATATGAAAGCTTTCAAAAATTTCACCCAATCAAAAACCCAAGGATATTTAACTCTAAAGATGGCTGCTTCACCTGTCTCATACAACATTAGTCATAAAAATATTAGGCATCGATATAGTCAGCCATGAGCGAGGTCAGTCCAAGGCACACCCCTTTACTGAGGAAAACATATCCATCAATGGTCCTGCCCTCTCAAGGACAAGGAAGGAGGGTTGTGTCAGGCAGAATACAGATGCCAGCACTTAATACACCAAAATCCTTTCCTGAAATTGATTCAACATGTACGTGAAGGAATGGTGTCTGTTACTCCAAGCACGACATAAGGAGCACTGCTCAAGGTGGTGAGTAGGGACAGGGTGGAAGAAACCTAGTCAGGGTTCCAATGGCTGAGCAACAGTTACAAAACACTCAACACTCAACAGTTACAAAAGCTTATACAGCTATTGTCCATGCCCTGGCAAAGACTGGTCCAGAGAAGACCAATGATTTGCCTAAACTGAACAGAACTAGATCTGCTACATTTTGGAAAAAAATGTTCAGAAAAGGCAAAATGTAAACATTTTTCAATTACTTTACAAGCACATGCCAACTGTAAAAGAAATATCTTGGCACTTAATTTAATGTCAGAATACTACATACATTAACAAAGTAGCTAAATCAGCACATCAGATCTATTACCATTCCAAACTAACAGTAATTTCTGATTTCAGGTTCATTTTGCTAACAAATCTGAAAGCACATCGAAAAATTCTTCTCTGTATCTGTCAAAAACATGAGAAATTAAAGTGTTATAAGATTTGTAGATGTTTCTAAAAATCTTCATAATTAATTTTTCCTGCAGATGTTTTTGATCTACAGCCAATGATTTGAGTGATTACCTTGTACCATGTTACACTGTCATTTTCATTGACAGACAAATCACTGCATTTCAGTGAATGACCTGTTCCAGCATTTTGAATTTCGGTTGTCAAATGATTTTTGTTGAAACAGCTGCTTTTATTCCTTTCAAGCACATTCAAGGTCCACTTCTGAATTGTGAAATTTTGTCTTCCATTGCTATGAAAAAACATTTGTGAAATCAGTGTTAGGAGCTTTTTAAAGGAATATAGCTCATAGCAAAACAAAAACAAGTTCTTTAATACATCTGTTAGGTAAAAAAATGCATCAGTAATGAACTGATTATTTACATTCCCCTTCACTGCTTTTCCAATTCCAAATGCATTATTTCTCACAATGAAATAGGTTATCCAAACTAAATCATCACAAAACACTTGACAATAAAATTATACCTATGAAATATGACAATATATTCCATATCTGCCAGAATAAAAATTTAACTATCTGTGGCATGATATATAGTTACAAGTGAGAACAAAAGAGTTTTAGTAGCTTAAATCAGCATGTGATCTGGCAGGTTTGATCTCTTATGCTAAGGTTTAAAGCAGTAACTAAGAAATACACATATATATTTTAAACATAAAAAATAAAACAGGCTATTGTGTTATTGTTCAAAAAGTCACATTTTTCATTGTTTGATGCTGTGTAGATAATTACCAATATTTTGGAACTATTTCCAAACTATGCAATTCTCATGAATTTGTTAATCACTTCTGGATTCAAGCATGATACTTCTGGATTCAAATTTGACGCTAAGATGAGTGGTGCAGTTGATACAACAGAAGGAAGGGATGCCATCCAAAGGGACCTGGACAAGCCTCAGAACTGGGCCCACATGAACCTAATGAGGTTCACCTCATGAGGTTCACAAGTTGAAGTGCAAGGTGCTGCACCTGGTTTGGGGCAATCCCAGATATGAGTACAAACTGGGAGAAGAACGCATTGAGAGCAGTCCTGCAGAGAAAGACTTGGAGGTTCTGATGGACAAAAAGCTCGACATGAGTTGGCAGTGTGCACTTGCAGCCCAGAAGGCCAATTGTGTCCTGGGATGCATCACCAAAGAAGTGGCCAGCAGGGTGAGGGAGGTGATTGTGCCCCTCTGCTCTGCCCTTGTGAGGTTCCACTTGGAGTACCGCATCCAGGTATGGGGCCCCCAGCACAAGAAGGATGTGGACCTGTTAGAACAGGTCCAGAGGAGGGCCACAAGGTTGATCAGAGGGCTGGAACACCTCTCCTGTGAAGAAAGGCTGAGAGAGCTGGGGATGTTCAGCCTGAAGAAGAGAAGGTTCAGAAGTGACCTCATTGTGGCTTTTCAATGCTTAAAGGTGGTTTATAAAAAAGATGGAGAGCATCTTCTTTCTTGGGCAGACAATGACAGGATGAGGGGGAATGGCTTTAAACTAAAAGAGGAGATTTAGATTAGATGTTAGGAGGAAATTCTTCATTCAGAGGGTGGTGAGGCACTGGCAGATTGCCCAGAGAAGCTGTGGATGCCCCATCCCTTGAGGTGTTCAAGGTCAGGTTGGATGAGGCCCTGAGCAACCTGATCTAGTGGGCGGCATCCCTGTGACAGGGTATGGGAACTAGATGATCTTTAAGAACCCTTCCAACCCAATGTGTTGCATGATTCTATGTCTGCCCAAGAAGTCATGTTGGAAGGAATTAATCTCTTTTTCTCTCATTCTCTACTGATCAGAGGTCTACAGTTTAATGACTACCCCAGGTTGATGGAAAAGCCATGAACTCTTTCTTCTAGAGCATGTTCATCACATCCCATATCTATAAAAAGTCAGGTGAGTATGCTCCAAAAATGCCTCTTCTGACTATTTAGAAGCTGAATGTGATCATTCAGGTATCTAATATATTCTATCTACATATTTCCCTAATGACTCAGATTATAGCTGTGAATTATTTCATTGCTGGATATGTCCAAATACATGGCTACAAAGGGAAAAGAACCTGAAGGAGTTTGGGCTTAAATTTGGTGAAGTTAGTCTCACTTTGGCAAAGTTAGGGCTTAAGAGAAAGTTTTTTTTCTGCCTGTAAATTAATGGGTGAGGTTTTACAATTAATGCCTAAAGCTCAGCTCTCATTTTTACTAAACAAACAGGGTCTGACAAAGCAAAAGTAGTAATCACTGAACACTTCCTTCTGGTGTCAGACATGTCTTCATAAATAAGTTTGAATCTTCCTGCCTCCAAGAAAAGAAAAAGGAATTGCTCCCAGGAGAACTGAAACAAGCAAAGAACTATTTCACTGAAAATGGCTAAGGGACAAAGAGGTTGAAATGGAGAAACAAGTCTGACAAGTGTATCAGCTTTCATACCCTTCTAGCGTGATATACCTTTTACTGTTAAAAGAGTCAGAAGAACCATTACAACATCACTTACAGGATGAATTTGGCTTGAGATTTCTTTTTTTTTTTTTTCCCTTATCAACTCCCCAAAACAGAATTGCTTTGCTCACCCTCTTCATATTGCAGTCCTTTTTCAGCCTGCAGATTTTTCTCCTTACTCGTAGTATTCATTATTCATAGTTGCAATTGACTATCTAAATCTAAACAGGGTTTGGTTTCTTAATCGGTTAACTGCAGTGTCATAAACAGGAAAAACCTTATCAGAACATTTTCATCAGAGATGTATTCGCAGTAGGTGGAGTCCTTCTCATCTGTTCTTCAACATCACATTTACACATTTAAACCAGACCTACACACCACAGTCAGCAGTGGGATAACACTCAGTAACCTCTCAGAGAGCAGTTTACATGACCTATTTCACAAGTGTTTTTTAGGACAAGATAATCTGTGCCCCAGAGAGACTTCTCTCTCTCTATGACAATAAAGGTACCTAAGGTAAATAGCTAAGGTGTAGTCATATATATTAGTTCCAATGAATTTCACCAAATCTGTGTGCTCTTTTAGACATTACACTTGTATCTGAATAATGCTGGAGATGCAATTATGGATCTGGCCATAAAATAAATATAAGTTTAGTACCTAGATTCAGCAAATGGAAGAAAATGATCAATAAAACCACATGCTCTCCTCAGCAACATTACTTCATAGAGGATTTTTTCCATCATTATTTTAGGGAAATCACTTCCAAAAAATGAGGATTTCAGCCAAAGTGGATCACAATATTCTAGCTGACAAGACAAACTCTGGCAAGGACCAACACTCTGGAAGGTGACAAAAACATACCTATGCAAAACTGAGATTAATTTGGCTTATATAATTTCTATTTGTCTGCAATACACATGATTTTCTACACCACCAAAAAAATAAAAATAAAAAAAAATTAATTGTATTGCTTAAACTGCTAGTGTCTGAGCTGTTATATTCCTGTCTCGGTCTTCACTTGCTGCAGTTCTTTAGTGATACTTTTGGGGCTATAAAACTGGCTGCTGGCTTAACAGCCTTTCAACTTCACTCATAAAACCCACCAAGAAGGAACAACAAAAAATAGATTGACCCAAGAGAGAATACAAGGAAGTGAAAGACCTTAGAGAATATAATCTGAGTTTGCCATAAAGACTGCATATATATCCAATTCTGTCATCCTTTAGTTATTTCACTGCACAAACCCAGTGCTGTATTTCTATCTACATCAAGAAAGTGACAATCAGCCTTCCAGTGCACAGTGCACAATATTATTGTTCTCTCTATTTCAAGTTAATAAATACAGAGCAGCAAGATTTTCAAGTTCACAAATATAGAGCAGCAAGATGACCTGGTTTTTTGTTGTTGTTCTTTTTTTTTTTTTTTTTTTTTTTTTTTGGACAACCACAGGATATAAGTTATGAAAACCCATATAAATTAGAAATACAAATATGTGTGACACAGATTTTCTTCTTACCACTCCCACACCAAATACATATGAAATCCTTCATTTTAAAGATTTTTTTGATGAACACGCACACACTCAGGCTTTCAAGTGAAGTCTATTAATTCTGAAATAATGGCTGAACACTACTCTACTAAGAAATGTGAAAACACATCAACGTATGCATCTTGTGCTATATATGCTATGTTTCAGCAAAACACTTTAACTGGAAAAAATCTTACTCTTCTTTAAGTCAAAAATAAAAATAAGTGAATAATACACTATACACTGTTACATCATTTTCACCTCTTTCTTGTTGCACATTGTCAGTTGCAACATAGCAGGAAAAAATAGTTTGCAAAATCTGTCAGTGCTATGTTGTCATACACTTCCCGAAAATCTGCAGTAAATTGGATTGACACTTTGTTCACTAAGACTGCCTAAGCAGCTAAAAAAAATATTTTGCTATATTGTTTACAAATTATCATATATAAATTAAATACTTTAAAATAAAATATATAAACAAAACTATCTTAGAATGTCTACTTTAAAACAAAAGGCTATTATAAATGCTCTGAAACAAAACAAACTCCATTCTGTCAGTCTTAGTAAGTCTTAAACCAATTCATTAGTCCACAATATTTTCCTCTCCATAGAGACTAATAAAAGTCCTCCTTCACTGCAGTAAACTGATTTTGAAAATAATCTTCTATATTTTCTGAAATGTAACACCTTTAATATGTTTGCCAACAGTGGGAATCATCAGATAAAATAATCCCAAGATCCCATGAAAATCACAAGAAAAACAAACAAACAAACAAACAAAAAACCACTTATGGGTATTATTTCAATGACCTTCATTCTGCATTCTGATCCTAAGAAAAAAAAAAAAAAAAAAAAAAGATATCCATATATGTCTAACAAAAATATATTCTAAATAAATAAATAAATAAATAAATATTGTTTCATGCTGGTCGAAATATTTTATTTCAGAAACTTTTATCTTAATAAAAGTCCCTTTTTTCAAAACACATTTTTATAAGATAGTATCATAATGTAGCATCTAAGAAAATGAAAATAGAGTTTCATAACTGAAAATCAAAACTCTTAATTGCATATGAATACTTTGATAAAATCAAAAACTTTTTCTTCTGTTTCTTGCTTTGACAAATCAGCAAATCAAAACATTTCACAAAGGATCAGACATTTTTGTGTTTTCTAACAACTAATCATTTTAAGAAACTTTATCCTAATAATTTTACTTGGGGTCTTTTTCCCTCATCTCTTTCTTCTAAATAAAAGACTTTTCCCCTCAATATTGAGTTTATATTTTTATCATATTAGTTTTATATAGTCCTTGTAATTTACTGTATATTTACTACCATTATTCCAAATTCTCAAAAAAATCACAAAACCACAAGTATTGTGAATTAAGGGTTATCACAACTTTCCTCTGTTGTGCCTTTTTTAAGACTTGTTATGGCAACCTCCTTTTGCAGGTGATTCAGATATGTTCCTTGCTCCATGCCAGAGCGTGCATTTTATCCTGTTATTTAGATGCTGGCACTAGAGTGAGTTTTTAAATTTAATAACTTTTTATCACCATATTTAGTGAAGTCGCTATATGGATGACTGCTCAAGGTCATCAATAAAGCAATAAAGCTTTAAAGTCAAGTTCAGACTTGATATGAAAAGTATAGGTCCATGACAACCCACAAGCCTATATCAGGTATTGTCTAACCCTGAAGTACCACAGCTAGGCAACTGGCTTCACTTCTGCTAATTTAGACAGATATCTGTACCCAATAATATGCTAAATCTGTACTACATTGCAGAACAAAGTGGCCATACTACCACAGTCATCACCCCTAAGGCCAATTCTGTTAATATCACATTCAACATACATTAGGAATTTTTTTCTCAAGCATTATTTACTAATTGGAGAAAGACTGACCTGCCATTAATAAGAAATCACATATAACCAAAAGAAATATTCATGTGCGTCTTTGTTCTACCTGTAGGCTTTTCTTTTATAGCATTCAACTTTTCAAATACGGTGACTCATTTCTTTTTAAAGTAAAATCAATACAACAATAATGATACATGGAAAAATATAACATGAGGTTTTCAGCTTCTAACTTGAACATTAACTAGTTAACAGATCAACAATTGAAGCCTAACTTAAAACTATACACTATCAAAATAGTGTATGCAATGTTGTTGGAGAAGTATGGATAGCATTTTACAGTATATGAAGCCCTATAACAGCCAATAACCTTTACAAACCAGGCAAGAACCTTAAAAATATTACCTCAAGAACAGCGCAAAATAATACATGAAAAATAATTTGTTTAAAATGAATTGTTACTTCAAATGTAAATCCTGAATTGCGGTTGTTGTGCAAGTTAGTCGTAAAAACTTAATACAACAAAAATTTGATTTAGTCCTTCTGTCATTCCTCATGATCAAACGAGGAATACAACTATCAGTTGAAGCTCACTCTTATTTCCGCTTCTGCCTCGTGATGGTAAGAATTCTATGATGGTAAGAATTCAGATGCAGTGATTTCATTTGTTCTTTGAATAGCTCCAAGCATGCCAGGCTGTGCAAAGAAACCAAATTCAGCTATGTCACCATTACCTTACTACATTTGATTTACTTGGCAGGCCTCACTGAGTAAGTACCACTCAACGAAGTAAGGAAGAACAGGTCTGGTTGAGAGGACAAGCAAAAGCTTCCTTCTAGTTGGCCATTGACAGAAGGGTTGCCTATTTCTCATTGTGCTTAGAGAATCAGCCATGAAACAGCAGAAATGCTACCTGTTTTATCAAAAGTTTACAGAACCTTTAAAAGGCTGTATCAGCCTGTAGAAATATGTCTGTCTGGGTGGTTATTGTGAAATGATGTGGAAAGTGACACCATAATTAATGTAGTTCGCTGAACTTCCTTTATATAAATGCCACAAACAAGACAAAGACCAAGACCATCTTTATAGACAACTTTAAGGGCAGGATGTTGTTCATCCACTTCCTGTGTACCCACCTGTGAGTGACAGAGTAATTCCCAGAGTCATTGAGTTCAGCTGGCCAAAACTCCAGAAAATTCATTTGGGAAATAATTCTCTGTGTTTTCTGTATCAGCTTCTGCCTTCCAGCATTTTCTTTGTACCAGTTTATTGTGTATCCTTCTGTCTCAGGACGTAGCATCGACTCAGGAAAACAAAGGAAAAAGTATTCCCCTTCTAGTACATCAATGGAGGTGCGAAGGGGACACAGCTTCTCTTCAGAAAGAAAAGAAGAAGAAAAAAAAAAAAAAAAAAAAGAAGGAAAAAAAGGCTCAATACTCTTTCAGAAAATGCTATTATCCTGACTTTAAAGTGACTTGCTGTGTAGCAGGTCTTTTACACTTTAGGACTTTCTTTTAGCAGAGTAGTTTGTCAGTATTTATTTGTTCCAGCAAAATCTATTTCAGTCTAAGAACTCACTTGTCCAAGTTTTCATTCTAAGTTTTGTTTGTCTAAGTTTTAATTCTAAGCAAAATTAGAAGGCATAGAAAGATAAAAAATAGACATTTCCCTAAGATTCTTTCATGTGGGTCCATAAGTGTACAAATCCAATGAGCACAGTCTGTAGAACTTTATAAAAAAGCAGCTGTCACAAATGGAAGGGGGAAGGAAAATGTATTGACTTGATAAAGGTGGCTAATCCTCAGAAAAGATAAACTGCCATAAAAGCAGAGATCCTATGAATTAACATGTATATTTTCTTCTTAATTAAAACGAAATTGTTACATGATAAGATTTCTTAAAAACTTCATATATTTTTAGAAAATTTCCCTTGGAACAAGGTTGTATGTGAAAAATGTAGCCTCAAAGTCTGCTTTTTTAATGATTTTTTCTAAATGTACCTTTACACGTGGAAGTCATACAAAATACAGAAAAGGAAACATGGTCTAGTGCAAATATTCAAGAACAAAATAAGCCTTCAGTCTCTTTGTCCTAGAGATTCTCTCGCTTTATCAACCATTCTGACTACACTTCTGAATGTCACAAAAAGAATCATGATCACTATTTTTCTTGTTGTGGCTCTCCATATTGCCATGCTCCCATACAACATAATCAGGTGTTTCCACATAGCAACTCAGTTCTATTTATTTAATAATTTTGTTACTTTGGACCAAATTTTCCAAGTCTAGAAATTGGTCTGCAATTGGAAAACCTTAAATATTTTATTCTTAGAGAAGTATGAAAGTTTCACCACTCTGAGCAACTGTCAAGAAGCTGTCATATATTTGGCAAATATTTTAAAGGTTCTATGGTTGAAATGAGGATTTATACTTACCCGTGGCAGATTCAGTGATAAACATTACTAAAAATATCAGCAGAGTCATTTTCTTGAGTTAATTCTCACTTCTACAGAAAATAAATAAATAAATAAATTAATAAATAAAATTATTAAAAAAAAGGTGATTTCTTCTTGGTTCTGAAAGCCTAAGAAAAACAGATCCACAGATCATCACAAGTGCAATGAAATAGACCACTCTCAGCACTGAGAGCAGTGTTACTAATGCCTGTTACTGAAGAAGGCTTTCCAACTGGGAAGTTACTAATTTTTATTGTACCAGGTGTTTTTATGTGCCAGGCAACATATCTATATTTTCTTTGGCAAGTCTTATTCCAAATTCAGAAAGCAATGCACGGTCTTCTCCCTCCATTTTCATGTTCACTAGAGGCCCTTTGTACTCCTGAGTAAATTGACAATCATATAGAAGCATCTAGATCCCAAGCCAGTGAACACCTATCAGTGAGCAGGACAGTGCTTTTTCTTCTCCACAAACAGTATAACCTTTGCAGGATTGGACCTTAAAGAAACACAGCTAATAGAATCTTCCCTTACACTGCATGAGAACAGCAGAATGTGGATGGATCAGACATCTTGTTGTCTAATTTTATCCTGTTGGAAAACAACAAGGTCTACAATTTTGCCACACATTTTCACCTACAGAACAGATAAGTACCAGTTGAGAGTGCTCGTGTTTCCATCTGGGGGGGAGGGGGGAAGATAAAGAAACCCATTTTCAATTGTTCTTTCAAAGACAAACGTGAAACTTTACTAAATAAAACCAGTGTGGAGTATCTCTTCTGAGATTCCTCTGAAGAGCAGGTTAACAACCAAGTGCAAAGCCAATCCTAAAACTGTGCCTCAATTTTGCTAACAAGACAGACAGCTTAGATGCATGATAACCTGAGCTCAGCCAAGACCTTACATCTGAACATGAATATACAGATAGGACACATACTTAAAAGAGATATTTCACAGAGAGCTGTCCAAAGTAATCTCTTTTAGCATTCCCTTTCTTTGGTTTTACTACATAAAACTTGCAATTTGAGAAGACATACTTACTGTTGTAAGACACCTGCCTGAGATTTATTTATTATTTTATATTCCGGAATGACAGCAAGATGTGTAGCTCCTCTCCCTCTCTTATTCTCTCCAATTCATTACAAGTGTGCCACCATCCCATAAATCACTGTAAGAAGATGAAAGAACTGTTTCACATCCCCTTTTTCAGACTGACTGGTAGACAGACCCCAGTTTAGAAAGCAGCTAAAGAAGCAACTTTAAGGGACCATACAGTAAACTCCTCAGACCTGGTTTCAGTTCCCTTCTACACATTCTCTGTTTTCATTTCTTGAATTTATTTTTCATTTTTCACCCTAGCACATCCAGAAGAAGTACAACTGCTACAGACCATGAAACTACGATCCGCTACATAAGGATAAAATCACATATCATCAGATGTTAATTCTAAATCCCATTCCTTGTTGGCACATCACATCAGCACAATATGGATATTTCAGTGAATGCAGAGCAAAGCCCTTGATTCTTTGAATAGGGATTAAAGAACAAAGTCTTATGCAAGCTACTTAATGATAGCCATGTTTGAGATTGCTGGGTACAAATAAACAACCAAAACACACAGCCTTAGTCTTACTCTCACACTGCTATTGAACTTGATCAATTTGTTTGAAATTGTTCTACTCCAGGCTAGCAGTATTTACATTTGAGTAATATGGTTTGCAGTATTCTTTAATGAAATACCAGGAGGGGAAAAAACAAACAAACAAACAAAAATGTATAGTTTTTGGTGAAATTCAACTATTATAAAAATATTCTTCAAGGATTTGAATAAGATCTTTTATATTCAAAAAGAAATGGAGAGATAATTTAAAAGGCAAAGATTCTCTGTCTCTGAAGGAATACAAAAATATTCAATGGACAAAATGCTAAGGCAATAGCAGCGAATGAGAGTTTCAAAGACAGAAATAAAATAAGAGTTGTCTATTAGTTGTCTAAAGTGACAATAGCTTTAAGCGTGTTTTTCAAATTTCGTACATGCTTAAAGCTACAGTTGAATTTTTAATAATTAAAAGTGTTTTCTAAAAATCATTGTGCCATTGTGAATCCAAAAAAAATCTTAAAACAAACCAAATATTTTAAATTCTACAAACTGCATTAATGATATCTCACAAAGTAGACAACTGAGTGTGTTTAATGATCATTAACTTTGTTAGGAAATTCCTCATTTTCCTAGAATTATCAGAGGAGTTCTGAATGAAAGGGTGCTGATACACTTAAGTGATTTTCAGTTTGGTAAAATCACTCATTTTGATCAACACTTTTGGAAACCTTAATTTCTACCCAAAGGGTTGTGGCTTCCTTAAAAAAAAAAAAAAAAAAAAAAAAAAAAAAAAATCAGATTCTTCTGAACCTCAGACTGTTTGAACAAACATTTTGGGGTCAAGTGAGGAAGCCACTAGTCTTACATCTTTAAGGATGGCTTCTTGTCAACTTAAGTCTTTTTCAAGTATGACTTTAAATATGCCACAAGTCAAATAACATTCATGCAGAAAAGCAAAAAAGATCTAGCAAACAGTTGTCTTAACCTTAGTAGGTCTAAGCACTTTTCTGACGGGATTTCTAGTTATTGGTTAAAATGAAAATTTGCCTACATTTCAAACAACATAAGTGTTTACTTACCATGCAGGTTTTGTCAAGTTGAAAGTGGATGCAGAGGTAATCTTCCAAACTGCGGACAGTCACAACTTGTACTCATGAATCTTCTGAACCTTCATTCTTCACAGAAACAGAGCGATCACTCTCAGTAAGTGAGTCAATGCAAAGACAGCTCAGTCTGAAAAACCTCTTGAAAAAGCAAGAGCAGAATTTGTCACTTTGAACTGGTGACTGCACGGAGGAAAATGGAAAAGGTAGAAGTGAGAAATTTATTTTTACAAGTACTGATTGGAAAAGTATAGCAAAAGATGAATATTAACTTTTCTAAATGAGGCATTTGAGGGTTGACATATAAATGGTTTGGGAATCTTTTTATTAATTTATTTATATATATTTTTTCTCTTCCTAACACCTACCCCAAAGCTACCTAGGGGTGAAGGAAAGGGCCAGGGCAGCCTGGGGAGGGGGGAGACCTTGTAGTACCAGTGAGGGGCTGCATAACCTAATAAGCCATTTCCAGGGCTAAATTATACTGAGTTATTATAAGGAAGAAGCACTTCAAGGTCCCGTGGGGGGAAGGGGGAGGAAAACCGAGGGGGCCTTAGGGGTGACAAGCAGTGCTGGGGACGACGGCGGGACGATGCTGGAGCCCACCAGCGCGCACATCCCCGCGTAGTGATGCAGCCAGAGGCTCCTCCGAGGTGCGTGGGGTGGGGGGAGCAGGGGCTGCCCCTCCCAGTCCTCGCCCCCCAAACACCACCACCCTTCCCCTGCCCTCCCGTCGCCGCCCCCGGACATTACCTGGCTCTGCTGGAGCCGCTCAGCACCGCTCAGCACCGCGCCGGAGGGGTTGGAAGGGGCAGGCAGCAGTGGGGTGTTCTTCCCTCTCACGACCTTCGTGGGAGGATAGGGCACAAGAAAGTGATGGCTTTGGTATTTGTAATCGAAACACCGCTTCCTCTGCTCTTCTGCTGAACGCTGGCGGCGGGATGCCTTTCCAAGAAGCGTGATGGAAGTAGCATGGAGCTTTAGGGACGTAAGCTAAACACATATTAAGCTAAAAAAGGCAGCTTTTATCTTTTTGTTTCTGCTACGAATTCCATCCCCTCTCGCTGGCCGTATTGAGGATGGATGCTGAAAAGCTGATACCCTGCAAAGATTATTAAAAAAAAAAAGGGGGGGGGGGGGGGGGAAGAAAAAAAAAAAAAAAAAAAAGAAAGAAAGCAAACCTCACAAATTATGACCTGCAGCAAAAGAGAAAATGCAAAACACACAATCCTGTAAAAGATTTACTGACACGTAGATCTGATTCTCCTGATTTCACTGCTGTCTTTTCTGTGCCAGCATCCGCTTTTGGGGTAGAGTGATGCAAGGTTTCAAGACACAGAACATTTTATAATTCCATTATTGTGAAAGGGGTGTGGGTAGTTACCTCTAAAGAAACCCTTGTGCCACCAGCTGGCCAGTTTTAAACCATATGTTGGTCTGCTGGAACTATGTTTCTATGAAGGATTTCTGACAGCAGCGTTTCCTGTTTAAGTGCTCTTCCAGTGTAAATGAATGTTTGACACTGCTTACTTCACACAGATTTATTTGATATTTACTGCGCAATGACTCATTACACTTGTAAATGAAGTTATTTTGATAGCAGCAGGAAAGTTTTCATCCCTCAGAATTTCTTTTATTTCCAAGGGTGTTGGAACTGGATGGTTTTTAAGGCTCCTTCCAACTGAAGCCATTCTGTAGTAATGGTTCGGCTTCAGAAACTTGTCTGGTGACAGCCACACATTTTTTTTTCCCCTTTTATTTTTTCTTTTTTTTCTTCTATTTTTTATTTTTCACCCAGGACAGAATTTCCCAGTAACAGCAGGAGATGTCACTTTGGAGGTGAAATGAGCGAACTACAATAAAAAAGTAGGGATTCCACAGAGCCGGCAGTTTTCACATTTTGCTGCTGAGATGAAGCAAAGAAACCCCGGAGAGTTTCACTACCTCACCTCATTTGTTTCCCTCATCACAGATTTAAACAATATGCATATAAACACAATCAGACTGTTTGCTAATGTAAATCAGTGCAACTTCAGGAAAGTCAGCTGAGAATCTGAACCAGTGTAACTACTTTTAAAATGTGTACAGGGTGCTTCACAGAGTTTATTGTTCTTATGTGGTTGATTCTAAAACTTAGTTATATAGTGCATATATTTTAAAGATGACAGTGATTTTACATGAGTCCGAAAGCAACTTAGCAGACACCAAATAAACTGTACAGTCAAATATCATCAGTTACTTACTTTGATGAGCTAAGCCTTGATAGTGACAGTTTGGAAACAGCTATTCTGTTTTATTCACTCTTTCACAGCAATATTTTCCATGAGTTGTTCTCATATTCATTTGCTTTTATGTCCTTTTAAAATGTTCTTCAGTTTCTGAACTTTCAGCTGTATGGCAGAAAGCACCATGTTCAATTAGTCCTTTTAACTAATGTCATAGCTCGCTCTGAGATGTATGAATGTACACAGATGGAATCAAGCTTACAATTTTTAGCTCAGAATAATACAAGTTTTAATGGAGAAGTAATAGCCTTGTAATAGGGATGTAACTCAATAATGAAAACAACTGCTGCTCAGTGTGTCACCCTGCTCATGATGAAAGTGCCATGATGAAAATGGAAACACACTAATACTGAAAACAGATTTTATTTTATTTTTTTCTCTGAACCTAGGACTACCTGACCAATCAGCTGTGGAAGACCAGTTACTTCTCACAATTTTTCATATCTTACTTTTCCATCCACCATACATAACTCAGAGGTGCTAAATGAAAACCTGAACTGAGAAACTGTTTCCATCATAAACAGCGACACATCCAGTTCTTGTCATCACAGTCTGAGTGTTCTTTGAGTCTATCTAGTCTTTCTAAATCTACCTCTGATATATCTGCATACCAGCCACATTAATTCTTAGCTGATGTTATGTTCAATAATTTTTCAGCATTATCTGTACCTGATGTCAAAAAAGCGGGTTCCCAACTGATACCATGTCTGTAGGACCCTCATAAGATTTTCAGAAGCACTGGAATATTCAGGTTGCACTTTTTGCAAACTTTCCTACATATCATACCATCACATAGTAAATCAGCTTGTAAGGGACCTCTGGAGGTCACCAGGTCTGGACAATGCTCTCGGACACCTCATTATTATTAATTTTTGGGGTGGTGGTGGTGGTCCTGTGTGGAGCCAGGAGTTGGACTTGATGAACCTTGGGATTACAACCTGGTCCAACTACATTGCTCAGGCATGGGCATCTAGAGCAGGTTGCCCAGGACAGAAATATCTCCAAGAAGGGAGACACCACAACCTCCCTGAGTAACTTGTGTCAGTGCTTGGTAACCACACAATCATCTTACTTCATATTAGCAGGAACTAGTTTTCATACCATGGAAGTCAAACCAGGAGCTTCAGCAAGTTCATCAAGAGGTTCACAAAGTCAATGCTCATTCCTGACTCTTCAGTATTTCCTTGTTGCCAGCAATACACCATGCACTTGTCAAATATGAAGTATCCAGAAAGCAGTTATATGCCATAAAGACACTTTTGTTTCTTCACAGTATATTATAAGAAATTCAGCACTGGATTTTGTGCCAGATTCTGAGATGCTCTTCACAGGTATGGTTGTCAGGAAATTATAGCAGTATGCAGGTTCTGAAATTTTCACTGTGAATATTTCTAATGGCATTCTTAAATTGACTTATTTCTAGTTGGCCACACAATCTTTTGATACGTGTTCATCCACTAGATGGCACGCTGACTCTTCTCTACTACAAGAAAGCAAAATGATACCCTGATCCATTTTTTCAATGGCACCAAAAATAGGGGAGCACAGAAGAGAAGTTAAAAAGTATTAGATATCTACGTGGAAGTTCTAATTATGCCACAAAAATTATTTTTGTTCTGTGTAGTTTAAGTTTTAAGCATTTAAACTGAATCTTTTATAAGATTTTTACGGTGAAATGAAATTTTGACACAGGGCAGAATTCTCTTTTGCTATTCCATTAAAGCAAGTAGCCTGGTGTAATTTGTGTGTATCCAACACAATATTAAATAAAAAATACCAATTTTCCATTCATGTTTTCAAAAATTTAGATCTTTATTAAGCTACTTATGCTGTAAAAATATACCACCAGCCTTTTTATACTGCCTCTTTCATATTACAAATGTGAAAATAGTTATAAATAGATGTTAATTTGAGTGTGTATCTCCAATTTCTGTACTAATCACCAAAGAATATAAAGGTAATCAACAACTTCTGCATTTCTCTATCATTACTGCAGTCACATATTCACCCCTAGGCTTGGTAAAAGGTCTTTGCCACTCTCAGAATTTACCCCTTTTCTTTCTGTCAAGGCTATACTGTTCACTATTAATCACATTAAGCGTTCTCAAGCATTCTTGGTATTTTTTTTCTTTTTATTTTTTTGTCCTTTGTTGGTCATGAGGTTTGATGCAAAAAGATTGCCACCACAAGATCCATTTAGTGGGTTTGTTTTTCACCATCCTAACCACAGGTCTGAAGTCAACAACTGAAGAGAAGTCAATGAGATATCCCCATATTTCAGAATAATCAGAATAATTTCAGAATAATATTTGTAGTCCCCTTGCATTTCCTCATCATACTTTCTCCTCCACAACTCCTTTCCAAGTTCAAAATTCACCCCAGAAATTGTTTCCAAGATAGATACCTGGTTATTACCCTTTCTTTCTCATAAATGCCTACTACAAAATCTCTATTAAAAATCATCTTGTAATAGTATTGAAAGTTCATATTTTGTCTTGATCAGAAATTCCTGTGAAAAATCTTCATAGTGAAAACCAACAGGCTTTCCTGCCTTTATACATGACTTAGTATTAGTATTCCTTTTGTGAAAGTTCTTACTATCAAAACCCCTATTGAGTCTATAATAAACCAAATCTCTTACGTTGACATAAATACATTTTGTGGATCTTCCTAAAACAGTGAAGGGGAACTAGAGGGCCCTTCAGGAATGGGTCCCAGTACTGCAGATGGTTTAGTAAGGCAGTAATAAAATGCAGCATTGTATGTCTTACAGTTGTGGTGCAGTGAGTGATGACTTCACTTTCACCAGCATTTGAAAATATAATAAATCAATGAAAAGCTCTTTAGTTTGCCATTGACCTTTATTTCACATTGAAATAAAAATCTATACATGTATTTCATACATGTTCTTCCTATTCCAAATGGCCATCCATAAGTCTGAAGTTTCATATTCAATAAAAACCTACAATGTACAATAAAAACACTTGGTAACATTAGATGTTCTGCATCTAATTTTGTCTTTTCAAGTCCATCTCTGTAGCTGATCTGAAGCTCAAAAACAAACCTTCACTGACCGTATGAAAATTCCTGTTTTTAGAACCCAAAAAGATTAAATCTCCCAAGGATATATGCACTAGAACATGCTTTGATCATGCACTCCTGCACTCAGAGGGGTTTTTACTCTGACCTTTGTATCTCAGGCTACTCTCTGTCAGAACAAAGTAAAGCCAGGCATAATATCAAAGCAGGAGAAAAAAAAAAAAAAAGGATACTGACAGCTATAAAATTGCAGTCTCAATTTTTTTCAGTAGCTTAAAGGAATGCTAGCCATGTACAATATTTACAATACTTATGTAACATAAATTTTAATATGTTATTTGTATCAGGCAGTAGTAGTAACTGTACGGTCTATCATGCCTGAAAGATTTAAAATACTACTAGCTATAAGAATTTAAGTATGTGTATCTTTAATCTCAAAATCACTTTGTAATAGCTCTATAAGATAATTTCCCCTTTGTATGAGATTCATTTATGTATACATAAATGTATTTATGTATATATAAATGCATATATATGTCAGTCAATCAGTATGTATGCACTTTCCTTAACACTGTATTTTTTAAAAATGCTCTATTCACATTAGTTTCAAAAGAGCTTTTACTGAAGCATCCCTACTAAGGAAAAATAAAATTTCATAATAGAAGTATGACTGTTGGAGCAAAAACAAACACATGGTGGATAAAATGAAGAAAACTGCAACATTATACTTTCTAGTCAAGTAATATAGAAGGTGTTTATGTTTGATCAACCACATTAGAAAGGTAAAGTAAACCTGCAGAATATTCAACTATTCAGAATCAAAACTTTCAGTTATCTATCCAAGTACATATAGGAAGAGTAGAGGTAGGTTTGTTTCCAATTATATGCAAAATTTTGTACACCATCTGGAATAATTCATTTGCAGAATTCTCAGAGCTCCACAGACTCCCCTCAGCTCCAAAGGCCTTCCTCTATCAGTTTACCTGATCACTACTCAATTGAAGGACTAAACAAAAAAGTGAAAAAAAAATGCAGCCAGACATTCAAACTGCAAAATAATGTTCCTACTGAAAGCAAAAGAAGCTGCAGGTATATGGTTTGACCTGACAGCATACTAGAGCTTTCTTAGACAGAATGTTCATCCAGCATTAACTGAGTATGATGGCCTGAGTCTCAGTGGCATAAGGTACCTCACTCGTTTCCAGAACTTAGAATTGGATGACTGTGGGTGCACAGTGTGCTGTTCTTTCCATTTGACAGTACCTTGTTTCTTGATGATATATTTAAGAGATTCCTGAAGAGTCTCATACGTCTCCATCCTCTCCATTTCCAGCAAGATCACCTTTGTATTGTTTTGAATGAGGGCATTGTATAAAGCAACATGTTGATCATAAGCAAATTCTTTACAATTAAGCAGCTGGTGTGTTAGAAGAATGATCAGCCGTCTGCTCTTCTGTATCCTCTTCTCAATTGCACTGGCTTTATCTATAATGCACAAGAAAATGGTGAGACTGAAATTTCTTTTATAGACTCTTTTGTGCATAGGCATTTCATTTCCATTGCTTTTCAACCAAAAGAAACCTGTCTCACTTCAGTCAGATACAGTTTATTCATTAGAAAAAGAGCTTAAAAAACTCACAGTAATCAGTTTCCTTTCAGATGTTTTCTTTAGCTGAAATCTTAATATTTTCACACTGTTAGGGATTGTTAGGAATTTCTAATCCGCAGGTCAAGCTCAGTAGATCTGTATTACATCAAATTTGAGCTTAGTCAATAATTTGCATGTAAGGAATCATATTCTTTCAGTTTAGTGCTCTAAAAAACAATCCTTCAATACTTAGCCATGAAAAAAAAAAATAATAATTTGGATCCATTTGGGTGACTTCTAAGAGGCTTATTTTCCTGCAGAGGGAGTGCTAATACTCCTGAGCTACAGTGTGCTAATTTAGACGTTAACCCAACAGGGCTGGATCCAGACTTGCAGGGTATTTGATCATCACCATGACTAAAGGTGTTTTTCTTTCCCACTGAAAAGCTGTTAGGGACAGCTAGGGACAGCTCATTAACCACAGTTAGGACTGTGATGTTGGCTGTGTTGTACCTACGAAACTCAAGCTCTGGGCCAGCTCAGAAAGCTCCACATCTAGGATCTGCTTTTCTCAATGACCTGCTGTCCATGAGAAGAACACTGCAGACGAGTACCTATCTGGTGAAATACTTGTCCCAGTCAGCAGAGTTTCCTGTGGTCTGCGGAAGGGAAACTGGAGTTGTTTTACTGGAAGTATGTGATGCTGGGCCAAAGAATCCCAAAGTGGGAGCTGAGCTAAGGAATTTTGATGTAACAGCCATTTAATAAAGACATTCTTTATTCTTTAAAGGCACTTTTAAAAGACATTATCTATCATCTGCATATGCGACCTCTTTTCTTTGCTAGAGGTTGCCAGCCCATTGTAAAGGTCTTCTCAGTCTCAGAGAGGCCCAGCATTTGCAATTCCTGGCTCAGGAAAAGACTGTTCTTAGAGTCTTTTCCAGTAATTTGCCCATGGTTACTACAGAAGGTAGGACACTTGGCTGCACAGAACATTGGTGCAGTGAAGTATCATCATTCTTATGATCATTTTTATGTTATTTTCTCTTTTTGTGTGTGTGTGTTACAGATACAGCAGCTCTGACAGTGTTTAGTTAGATTTTGTGTCAAGGAATGTAGTTGGGGCAAGCCAATGGGACCATGAAAAGAATGGAGCAGAAACCTCTTCCTTTGCTGGGTAATACTTGCATTTACACCTCTTTCAGGCAACGGATAAGGCACAGAAAATGCCTTTAATCAGTTAAGAACAGGAAACAACAACAACAATAACAAAAAGTGAATTTAGGAAAATCAATGGAAGTCCAACAGCTGTGTAGTGCTGTTTGTTGCTTGAATTATTCTCTTTATCTTTTTTATTACTGGAAGAGCACAAGTTACAAATTACAAAGCTTTCCTCTGGAACTAAGAGTCATGAACTCTTCTTCAAATAATAATCCCATTCAAATAACGATCCCATTTTATATCCTCGCTGCATTTTGTTTTCTGGAAATACATGGAGTTTAACAGTGAAAAACAGATGATTCATCAAATAATATGATACATATTCAGGAAAGTTTACAGTAACTCAGTGGTATTTACTGATAATACTCCTGATTTACTCTGTGTTTAGCATATTTTAACTGTAAGGTTTTGGATTTGGAAATCTGATAACAAAAGAATCAAGATCAAGATCAAGGTAAACAAGAGTGAGGAGTGTATGCGTGAAGTCCATCTGCCTGGAAGCAGGGAACTTTTATGTGCTCCCCACGACAAATTCTGAACAACTTTTCCACCCAAGTGTAAATATTTGGGACTTGAAAGTGAACAAGGAAGACAAAAGCAGAAGGCTGTGAATATAAACATGAAGAGAAAAAGACAACAGTCAATGATCAAGACATTATTAGAGTTTTAGTAAAATCAAACTGAATGAGTCAAAAAAGGAGTTATTAGTTGTCCAAGGCTGGCTTGGTGGGTCTTCATACTGCCTGGGCTACAGGCATTCATTCATGCCTTTGCACAATGAAAATGTCTTTGTTTTCAACCAAGAGAATCCCTGTTAGTCCCAGTCTGCATTTCAGTTGCATGCTGTGCTCCATTTTCTCCAGGAAAGTTTAGGAATACCATCCCAAAAGAGAATATTACCTCAGCAGGTGGCATAAATTTCTGCCATTAACATCTTTGTGAGCCAATGTTAGTTCCTTATTCTGAAACTCACATGATAGCTGATAGCTATAGTCTGGATCAGCAATTCTTGCCTTTTTTTTTTTTTTTTCATTCTTGTTGCAGTGTTTTTTCTCAAGGCCAGGCAGAACTTTTGCCACTTGTCAGAAGAAGACATCAAGAATATTGGCCCAGATCTGGGCAGATGAGTCACATCTGGTCCAATGCAGATGATTTTAGAAGTGTATAACTCAGAATGGGCTATCTTTGGTTTCATGCCTGTTTTCTGATAAGAAGAGAACATGTGGTCCACAGAACACCAGAGCACAAGACAGACGATTAAGCCCTGGAGGAAAGCAGATAATATCTAGATGACAGCTAATATGAGGGTGTAGGGTTGTCCTTGTGAAAATTAACACAGATTAATTAACACAAATTCATTTTGGAAATGGGAATAGAGAACACAGATTGTCTCTTGAAGTAGCACTGGGAATTGTAAAAAATGAAAGTAGGTCATCTCTGTGAACAGAATCTGAACTTCCTGTAACTATGACATCCTTTGTCACAGGTTGAAAAACCCTGAGTGATAACAGCAAGGTTAATTCTTCAACTCTGTGGTTTTCTTCTCTTGGTATCTTGTAGGCCTACTCATGAATGGTTTGTCATGGCTTTGCCCAGACAGTGGCAATGCAGAGTTACACAACCCAAAGAGCAGGTGTATGTCTGAGAGTCACACTTCGAGTCACATTTCCTGCATCACCCAAGAAGTTGATAAACAATTTCTGTCCCCAGCCTACAACTTGCTTTTCATAGAACACCAACAAGCACAAAGTGACATTGTGTCACCCTGCCTGACACATTAGACATACAGCTGCTGATGAGATGAGCAGCCCACTCAGGAATGAAAGGGTCTACATGTAGGAACACAACTTGCTCCAACTTAACAAGTAATGCAGTGCATTATCTGAGTTGAAACTCACCTTCTCCAGGATAAGTATCTCTACCATAAATGCATAATTTATATCCACATTTATTTTCTAGAATATCTGGCATAATTTGGTGTACAAAATATTCCACAAAATTAGCTTCATTGCCGTAGCTTCTGGGGTAGATCACATATGCATCATATATCTTCCCATCTGCAAGGTAGAGCAAGAGGAAAGTGCCTTCTGTTAACATGAATTAGAGCTGTCTATTGTAAAGCTGAGTAAAATAACAACTATACAGTCTTTGAAATAGATTTAAGTAGATCTTCCTGATAATTATAATGATGTGCGTCTTTGGATACATGTTTGGAAATCAGAGACTGTGCGCATTTTGTGTTTTCCATGCTGAACTGTTATGTCTTATGCATTTGCTGCTTTGGAGAATTTGACTGTTGCATTCTGAAAGCTGTATCTTAAGGTGTATAAAGTAAGAGATCAATTAATCAATGCATACATGTATTAACATGAAATAGAGATGAGTCTGATTGTTTGTTATTTCAGTGGAATAATAGGCTGTTAAATCAGATTTTCACTGTCACTCAATATTTCATGACAAATATTTTTATTAAAAAAAAAAAAAAAGTGAAACCAGGATTTAATCCTTTGTTTCTGCAATACATCATTATAGAACCAATACATGGTTCTGTGGTGAGTGCAAAGCACTGCTAGAACTATGCTCGTTCCCCCTTATATAAATGATTTCAAGAAGCATGAGAAAGTGATGAATAAGGCTCAAGTGTCATTTGAGTTAGTAAACAACTATCAGATTTATCTGTTTCCACATGGTTTGCCCTTTCTTGTCCTTTAAACTTTCTTATGCAATGCTTACTCACCATCTTTGACTGAGTAGGGCTGAAATATCTCCCGATAAAATAGGACAATATCAATTCGGAAGAACTGATAAAGTACAACAGAGACTGCTACTATCACTAGCAGAACTAGAAATCCAACAATCATGAGGACATTAGGATGATCTGCTGCAAAGAAGAGAAATGAAGTGTTAGTTGCAGCCTTAGCTTCTCATATCTTTACATCTGCTATGGCTTTAAGGAGTTCACAACTAAGAAGACAAGACCTTTACCTTCCCTAGCTGATGTAGCCACCACAGAGGCCTGTTGAACCCCTAAAGTAGAAGTGTACTGAGCAGTATACAATTAATATCTGCGAGTGTTGCACCCAGACCAAAGCTCATTAAATACCACATCTGGGAGCAATGTTTCTAAGTATTTTGCTCAACAACAATGTTCAATCACTTTGCAAGGCAGTTGAGCCCAAGCTTGACACTAGTAAGCATCCATGCAGGGGCAAGCAGAGGCTTGGGGCATTGTTGCGCAAACAGGGTATGGAGAAACATGTGCAATTAATAAAATCTGCAAGATAAGAACAAAGTACACAAGACAAGCAGGAAAACAGAACAAGTCTGGCCTTAAAAATAAGATAAACTATGGCAGTGGCAGATGAGATTCTCCTCCTTCTTTTCCTTTGAGGGTCAAAGAGCATAAAAAAAACAATGACAAGTAAGGAAAACTGGGAAGAAAGTCATCCACTGCAGTTCCAGCTTCCCTCAAGGAAGAGCTCTTGAATCCAATCACCTCATCCTCAGAGATGAAAGCTATCAAAGATGACTGTCATCAGCTTTGTGCTATCATATGCTCACAGTATAGCGATTGTGATTATCGCTCTTCTAGGGAACAGCTATATTTCTATAGCAATCCAGTCAGATATTTTCCTGTAATTGCCTGTTTCTCCTCTCTCTTTGTGATTCACATAGCAGAAGTCAGTCTAGATGTGGGCAACCTCTAGATGACATCTGGTTCTGCTGCAGAAAAAGATGCTGGGAGATAGAAGTGAGGTCATTGTGTGCTCTCTCCAGTTTAGAAAGCTAGAAGCTTAATCCTCAGATTATTACAGACAAAAAACTGAAGAGATATTTTTGACCTATGCCCCAGACATACTGAATTCTCACAGTATTTGGTATAGAAAACACTGTGAATTCTAGATAGCCACATTTGAAATTAAAATATTAAAATATATATATATACAGCAATTACACAAAGAGGAAGCATTATTCCATTGGATGGAAGATTAACAGCAATTGCCTCATAGTAGAAATATGCTTCAAAGCAAATAAAAATACCCAAATTAATTCCGCCTGGTTTTAACACACAGACACAGAGCAGTTCCGTATACATTTTTCTCTGACAGATAAACCAGTTAAGAGAGCTCCATTTGCAGTCCACCTTCTTAATCTATTTATTCCCATCCATCATGATGATTCATTGTCTTACAGTTGTAATAATGCAACCACTTTGGTGACTTTTCTGTGATTCAGACCACTAAAAAGATTTGGATTAAAAAATATATACCTCCGGAAGAGTCAGAGTGGGTGACAAACTTTGACCCCAAAAGAAATGCAAATGGAAAAGTCCAGATAGCATATCACAAAAGTGAGTTTAAAAGTGCATAAAAGTGACAACATGATTTTTTTTTAGTACAATGTAGTAAATATAACAATTGTCTGGTGCAATAACTTGGTTCTGAGTATGGCTAGAACCATCCCTTCAGTCTTACAGGGAAGTTTGAGGTATGCTGCGATGTCAGACTACCTTGCCTCAGGAAAGAAATACTCCACTGAGTGTTGGCCACATATAAATTGAAATATAGACATTCTGGCAGTACTAATTTGGGGGTCTGGCTCTCTCACTGTAGACACCCTTTACAACATCCCAGCTGGTGGACGGTGTTCACATGTGCTGGTAGCAACTCTACCCAGACAAGCCTTATACAGGGATCAGATTTTCAGGGCTTTGCCTCCCTCTGCCTGCAAAACATACATAAAACACATGTGGCTGCAGCAACAGGCTGTTCACCAGCACCTGAGGAGCTACATGTCACAGCAGTCTGTTGGGCCAATCTCAATTTCCTCTACAAAAGAGTCAGCAAGACACAGTGGAACAAGTTGCAGATTTCATGCCGCCAGCAAGCTACCAGGTGAATGCACAGACTACCACCACCAAGAAGCAATTCCAGAGCTTCTCTTGGACTTGCCCTAAGTGAATGAAATAGGATTAAATATATAGCAGTGAAGAGTCTCATATATTGATATTTACAGGTTCCCTAGCTTCTCCAGGAGATAGTGAATAAGTCAGTACATTGAGTAGTACCTCTGGAGACAACCTTAAATTAAAGCATTAATTAATAAATCCCTGAGAAATGCCACTGAAAAGCTAGATAAACAAAGGTTTTGCAAGTACATTTTCCAGTTCCCCTAGTAGGAAATGAGACAAATCTGACATGATTTTCACTCTTCTTGTTTCTTTATTTGCCATTTAAAGGGAGAAAGAAACATCCAGCCATCAGGCACCTGGTGAAAAATACCCCCACAAGAACTATGAGATTTGCAATTGTTTAGAAAACAAATAGAAAAGAAACAGGTTCCAACAACAACTTCTGCAATTCTGAGCCTAAAACAAGCTGTTTACATTTGGTCTTGCAGTGATTAGACCAAGTCCGGAAAAAAAAAAAAAAAAAAAAAAAAAAAAAGATAAATTTCCTGTGCTTATAAAACTTGTAAAGCCTCAGACAAGAATCTCTATAGGGGTCTTTCTGGAAGATCAGTTTCAGTTCCCAGTAAGGCTGACTCAGCCTCTCATTGCTCTGGAATAAATCGACTATATTCAGGACAATGGTGACAAAGGCCAGAAGCTACTTTTGGAGGCCCTGATCAAGACTGACCAAATCCTGCTGCTTGATTTGACTTCACTGCAATATTTAGTAGCAGAAAGTTCATGAGCTGACTGTAATTTAATACTATTTATTGATATTTAAGAGCAATGGGAACACAGAACTATCAGATCACAGGAAACAATATTTGAGAGGCCAGGGAAAACAAATCATAAAAGAACATTTGAAGGCATCTCCTGACAGATTCTGTAAGAACAGCATATTTTTCTAAATTTAGTTTTCTAAGGAAAACACACTTCCAGATAGCAAAGACATAGGTCTGGATCTGGAATTCCTGGCCACATCTTTTTACTGAAGATGAGATAAAATGTTAGGTCCAGCATTAAATAACTTTGAGGAAAAACAGACCTGATGTGCAGGGATGAACTTTATCTCTTCTCAGAACTGGAATTTCAGGCATTCTCCAGAGCAGAACATTCACACCAGAAGGATTTGTGGTACCCCAGACATTTTACACTTTGCAGATGAGAATTGAGCAATGCCCAGGGGGACATGAGACAATACTTGTGCGTCAGAGCCATGAAACACAACCACCAATTATTTAACCAGCCCTGAATGAAGAAGAATCTCACCATGAGCCAGCAATGTGCACTTGCAGTCCAGAAAGCCAACCTTATCCTGGGATGCATCAGTAGCAGCATAGCCAGCAGGGTGAGGGAAGTGACTGTCCCCTTCTGCTCTGCTCTTGTGAGACCTCACCTGGAACCCTATATTCAGCTCTGGGGACACCAGCACAAGAAGGACCTCTAGAATGAGTCCAGAGAAGGGACACAAAGATGGTTGGAGGGCTGGAGCACCTCTCCTATGAAGAGAGGCTGAAACATGCTGCCCAGAGAAGCCGTGGATGACCCATGCCTGGAGGTGTTCAAGGCCAGGCTGGATGGGGCTTTGGACAGCCTGGTCTGGTGGGAGGTGTCTCTGCCCATGGCAGGGAATTAGGTGATCTTTAAAGTCCCTTCCAACCCAAACCATTCTGTGATTTCATGAAGAACTAGAAGCTAGGGGCAATTTATTTGTTAAAAAAAGGTAAACACTTGGGAGATATTCAAACAGGTTCTGAATTCCTGAGAAGACGGATTAGATGTGATGCTGAGGTAATGTTCTTGTCCTGATTGAGCTGTGCTGGTAGAAAGAGTTAAAACTTCCAGTGTTTCTCCACTTGTCATGGCTTCCCTGTCAGGGGTTAACGGTGTTGTGCCACCTCTCACCCCAACCCTGACAGCAGCGCTACTTTTGTAAGCATTTACCCACTGCAGTTATCAGTGCTCTGAGCTGGCTTGGACACCAGCACTGTGGTGCAAGGAGGTGGTATATTCCAGCATGAGAGACACCAAGCAGCTGTGGAGGGTAACAGAGTTTAGCTGCAGGCAGAGTTGCTGCCTCTTGCCAGGTGTCCAGTAAGACTAGCTACATCTTGGCCAGGAAAGGAAGAAGAAATGTAATGAAAACCTTTTGCAAATTCCTTATACTGACCATAGAGAAGTTATGGAGATGATCTCAGAGCACATCAGAGATTGTGTCTTGTGGCAGGGGGAGAATGTAAAAAATGTAAATCACCATCTCTGGGATTATAAATGGAGGCACAGGACTGAAAGATCTGGAGGAAACGAGACAGCCCTTGTCATGGGCTAATACTATAAGGTATTACTTTAATTACTAATTGCTTTAAGGTATTAAAACCATTATGAGACATAAAGGGTATTTTTTTATGAACGAGTGTTAGTAAAGGAGTCAGAAGATACCAAACAGCCTCAGGCAAAGTGGGGAGGGAAAAGACAGGAAATAATTTTGAAGGAAGGGTTTCATATTGTCCTTTCCTGGCAGTATTTAGTATTTTTGTTTGTCATGGAGACAAAAACAAACAGCTGACTCTGTCTCTGACAGAAACCCCATACTTTCTCTTCACTCCTCTCTGGCAATTAGTAATTCTTATGTAGGTGACAACTGTAAACAAATAAAATTGCTAAAATTTGTTATAAAGATACTGCTAAAAATGAGCTAGTTCTTAAAGTATTTGATTATGACTGAGAAGATCAGATTTAATTCCTGGTTTCCCTGGAAAATTTCTATGTGGTGATTTATTCATTCAGCATTTTTGAAGACGGTAAGATGGAACAGATTCAAGCAGAGGAGCTTAAATGCAGTCACCTACAGCATCTTTGTTTCCTTCTTTAACCTGTCACCTGTGCTGCTAAACACAATTTAACTAGTCCATGCAGTTTCTGCAAGTAACTTCAGTAGTAAATGCACCATCTATTGATCTCTTACTTCCCATCACAGATTTGTGCTACAAATAATAACAATGTAACCCATACTAAAAAACTTGGGGGAAAAAAAAAATCACAATACAGAGAGGAAACTTGTGTAAAAAGCACAATAACAGACAGTAGCTAGGAGACATGAGTTATGCTGTAGGAAAAACTAAGAGATGACCATAGATAAATAAATAAATAAATAAAAATAATCTAAAACAAAAAGAAACAAAAAAGAATAGTACATGTCTTTATTACACATTTACAAGATGTGAGGCACAAGACATCTATGCAGCATTTTCATTATACTCAGAGGCAAGCTATCAATGTTTTAGAAAAAATATTGCTGAACTGTATGAGGAGCAAGTAAAGAAAATTAAAGCAGTGCACAGCCATTTCTGGATTTAGCCTTGCTCACACCAACAGTGATGAGGAGTAGCAGAAGCAGGCATCTTGACAATAGCAGCAACAAGAAAGGCATAGACATCCACATAAAATAGGCTGTTGCAAAGGGTGTCACAGTCAAGAGCTTTCCTGAACATTTATGGATGACCTATGGATAAAAATAAAATAAGATTTGTCTACAGCAGAAATAAGGTTTCATGAATCACTTCACAAATATGGAATATCAAATATACTTGTTCCTTTATGCAGCCTTTGCTTCTTCTATTTTGCAGTATAGGGTCAATAAATGATTGAATTGCCTGAACTAGAGTGAACAGGAAGTGTTACTCAGTTTCCTTCCCCTTCATGGTAAGTACATGCCCACACTCATAACTTGGCACACTTCTGACGTGTGCCCAGCCTCCTGAGAGAAGCCACGCTCTCACTCACCTGGTAATATCCAACCAGAACATCCCCTCTCACCTTCCAGTAGGGAATTCTGGGCTACCCTCCTCAATGATGCTCCCTTCTCCGTTATAAATCAACTACATCCTGTCTAGTCTAGGCTGCAGCACAGGATTATGACTCTGCTTGAAGCCATAATCCTGTAGGCAGTTAGGAACAGTCAAGAGGATAGCAGGACATGTAATTGTGCAAACCCTGTGATCAAAATAAACTTGATTTTACTCATTCTCATAGAAAAGTAATCCCTAATCTTAAAGGCCGTGGGATTTCATCTCAAGGTGGTTCAGCCCATCTGAAGGGGTAATAGAGGAAACCATTGACCACCACTCCTGTCATAAGAATCAAACTTAGTGATTTGGCAACAACGCTTATTCAGGGATTTGACCATCCCTAACAAAAAATTCCCATAACTGATAAAGACAGTCCCACCATTCACTGACCTTAATTCTCCTTCTCCAGCAGAAATTACTAGAACAATGCATTTCAAAATGAAACCGAGAGAAAGCCTTCAAATTGTCACTCTCATCTCTGTGTGGCACAGAGTGAGCTCAGTGGCACTTAGAGGGAGAGGGCAGGAATATCCTAGAAAAGGTTATTCTTGTCACATGGGTGGTGCACTGTCCTGCTCTGCACATTTAATCTCTCGCTGATACCATTTTCCCTTCCCCCAAAGCAGAATTTACACCAAGGCCTTCCATAGCCTAAGGAAGCCACAAGAACTTGGCCATTAATTTGAAGATGTAGGGAGGATGAAGACTGGTTTTAATTCTAACCAACAAACTTTCTTACCAGCAGAAAATAAATCAAATTTTAAAATAAACATGCAAAATAAATTTAAAATAAAAATAAAACCACCGATGTATTTCAAATTGAGAGTTAAGTATGTAAGAAAACAAAATGAACAAATTCTACCCTTACATTGTGCTTTGAGTTGTAATGTCACTGTGGCCCTTGTATTTCCCATTTCATTCACCACTACACATGTGAAATTTGACTGCAGATCCTCCTCTTTTATTTCACTGATGTGCAAAGTTGCCTCTTTGTAATATTCTCGTGCTTGTCCTTCAAAACTAATAGAGAGAAAGAGTTGGTATTGGTTACTCTTAAGCAAAATTTGCATTAAGAAAAGGATTATTCCACATTATATGTACTTACAAATGAGTTTCTTCATGAAATCTTGAAGTATCTGTGTATATTACTGGGTTGTTATCCACATCCCATGTGACAACATCTATAGGCTGTTTTTTAATCCCCAGGCGGGCCTGACATTTCAGAGACAAAGGAGCACCTAACCAAGATGCGGAGAGCTGTAAACATTCCTCAAAGTAAAATATATATAACATATAACATTATTTTCCTCATAACATCTTTTTCTATAAATCTCCATATCACTTTTGATTTTACCTTAGCAATTTTGACATATTTCTGAGTTAACCTAGAGAAAATGTTGCATAGGAGGGACTTGAAATAGTAAATGGAGATATTAACAAAATGTCTAATACATTAACAAGGATTATAAAGGGAATTATTTATATACGTTACTGTGAAAGGAAAGTAGACTTTACTTGTGATGCTTAACACACCTAATCAACTATTGAGGAGTATGGAAAGGAAATGCTAGTTTACATACAGACATATGAAAATAGCATAATTTAATTTCAGCATACAGTATTTCACTTGTCTTGTTTGCTGATTCTTATCTTGGATTTTATTCAAACTGGACAAGACTAGAGCAAACTAGTCCAACCAAAACTAAAACAGGAAATGTCCTATTATGTATTTACCATCAGGAAACATTTATTCCAGAAAAAAAAAAAAAAAAAGAGTCACCGTTGCACTGGAAGAAAATATAACTAAAACTACTTTTATTTATTTTATTTATTTATTTTATTTATTTTTAAAACTATTAAAATTATTTCCATGTTAATCTGCATCAAAGCAGGGTTTAGATAAGGTTAATAAATCTTATAATTTACATCCTGAATTGGTAACAAGGATCATGGAGAAGTCCTTTCAGTTCTGCAAAGAGGATATAATAGACCCAGTACAGAAAGTATTTTCTAGATGCTAATCAAATTTACTTTACTTTTAATCTTGCATTGCAAGATTACATACTGTCCGAGAAGGTTAGGCAGAGCACAGAGAATATTAAAGACTAGCCATCTGGTGCACTAATTCTGAGTGACAAAAAAACTGGAGGAAAGAAGAAAAAAAAAAAGAACAGGAATACAAGCCTACATGAAAAGGAGCCTGAGCCCAGGTCCCCCAAGGTACATGCTATTAGAGCAGTCTTGCTGTAGGACAAGTGCTGGAGGGCAGAAACTGTGGAACTGTAATTGTGATCCCAGCTCCCAGTGGCCCAGATTCATCCTATCTCCCCTGGGAGACAGGCTTCTTAGGCAACCTATTAATGTTTCAGACGGGCAGAGTCACTTTCTGGAGAAGCCCATCTTTCTCCATTGACTATACAAAGAAAGAACCTAGATGGCCCTTGCTCCTACCACAAGTTACAAGGGGTGAAGAATCCAAACCATGGAGAACATCCCCAGTCCTAAACAAATGGGAGACAGGGCACATGTTCTGCACCAAGAGCTGTTCAGCCTACTATTTGCTTGTTCAGTCCCTGGTTCTTTCACCCCTCAATCAGAGCAATCTGCTCAGTGCCAGCCACCATGGCAGGACCAATGACTAGTCCCTTGTTCTCATTCATTCATCAACAGAGATGCAGCTGCTATGTCCAGACCAGAATCACAAGTAAAGAGTATCTCTAGTTGCTCTGTCTTTCTCTCTTACCATCATTCTTTCTTAAGGATACCATCAAGCATCTATCCTCTCTTAAGGATACCATCAATTTCAAAGGGTTTAGTTAAGGTCCTCTTTGAAGTGCATGGAAGCTGTCACACTTTCAGCTGAGATGTGATAATTGACCATGTGAGTTATCCTAGTTTATCCCAGTGAAAGTAGAATAAACTATTTAAGTCCTGAAATTGCTGCTTAATGCCTAAGCGTTATCCTATCAGTTATTCCTAACTTCACATCTCTGCCTTGGGGTGCATGAAATCTGGTTAAAATTACAATGGGGAAAAAAAAAAAAAAGTAATGAACATTTCCATCATTAATTCTCCAAGATCCCCATGTTCATTAGGTCATCACAAACTGTTTTAAAAGCAATTTAAGGTCTGTACTTACCAAGCTCTACTTCTATCACATCTTTTTCTTTTGGAAACAAAATTTGAGCAGGTAGAGACAGGTGTTTTGCTTAAGAAATTAAAGAGAGAAGGAAGTATAGATTAGAAAGTTTTAAAATTTAATTTTGTAAAATAATGACTATCATTTGTACTGATAGTGCTTTAGCATCTTGAAGTAGATTTGCAAACATTACAACAGTGCTTCACATTCCTGTCAGTGTTATCTGATTTTATTCCTATGACCAGATATTTTTGGTGAGACAGTACAAGTCGATAGTCTAAATATTTTCTGCCTGTTTGATTTTTACATTTCTACATAAAGAGCAAGGAAAAGTTTCAGTTTCTCAAATACTGTTTTTAGATGCTGAGTGGGAAAAAGAAAAAAAAAAAGCTAATATTGGGATTTGTGTGTTTTCTCAGTTGCTAATTTTGTTTTTAAATGAAATTCCTTCAGGCATTTGAGAAATGACTCCTATCCATGATATAGAATATACACTTCTGTGCAATATATGACATACAGTCCCACTTCCCCTGATGCCTGCCTCTGTTGACTTCTGTTCCCAACGTTGAGCACATCCGGCTCCCTACACACTGGTGCTGCACACAACCACTCCCTCTTACATCTGTCTTCCCTCACACTGAACATCCCTTGCCACTAGCTTTTAGGAGTGCTTCTTTTCTTCTGATATTCTTACGTTCCATCTCCAGTAATAATTGATTGATGCAGGTCCCAATAATTGATGCAGGTCCCAAACTACATCCAGATGCTTCAGTTAGGCATCTTTTTCCCGTGTTGTTTTTTTGCTTCTTTTCTTACCATTCATACTGTTGCATACATCACACTCCAAACACATGGCTTGCTATCCTTTCCCTCATTATAAGCTTTTCCTTCTCAAGGCACCTCTGTAAATCCCATAAAATTATTTCCCTAAAAAATCTGTAAGAACACATTTAGCACCATTTTCCCAGGCTGCCAGAAAAGCCATTCTCTTTACTTATCCTAACCATGTCTAAGTTTCTTTAGCTGGATCTGAACTTGGAGAAATGCAGCAATTTCCTAGCTTGCTGTCAATGCTAAGCATTTAGATGCTGGCATTCAGAGGCAGAATATCCCCTTGGACAGCATGGATCTGCAAGGCAACAGGGATTTACATCATAAACCAATATTAACAACATGTAACAGCTTTACTCATCCAGCATAATAATTTTAAAGGCTAATAAGAAGTCAAGAATGTTGCTGTTAAGTATTTTGAATGGTAAAAAAAGCAGACTCAACAGACCACTCTGAGATTTCACATGTTAAGTTGCAATCTTTTCTTTCAGAATTATTTAAAAAGTCAGATTATCTTTGAAATGAAATAATCTGTCTGGATGCAACAAAGATTTGTGTAATTTTAGGTGGCTTTGTGCCAAATAAATAATAGCTATTTCTGTTATAAGCCAAGCAGAACAAAATTCTTGACTGGTTAGAAAAGTTTTAATAAAGTACATTCAAACAAAAATGGAATGTTAGTCAGAGTTCATCATGTAGACCAACAGGGAAGACATGGAGAAAAGATGTGGCGCCTCCTAAACTACCATATTAGCTATTGGCTCAGATCTCTTCTATCCAACTCAGAATAATTGGAACAAACTCTGCTACTGAGATCTGGATACAGAAGCAAAAACTAATAAAGGCTTCTACACTCCAGATCAGTATCTTTCCCATAAAGTTGGGCACCTTCCAACAACAAACAGTTGTGATGTCGGTCTGCAAATGAACATTATTTAGTTTCACCAAAAAAAATTATTTATATATATATATATATTGATCTTACTGCAGAATGAAAACACATTTTTAAGTCTTGTAAGCTGATGCAGTCTGGCACTGCTGATTGCTGGCATGCTCTTCCCTGACTGCCATCAAAATTCAAGGCCTCCCTGAGGACATTGAATCCTAGAAACACCCCTAGGTCCACACAACTCTGCTATGATGGACACTTTCAAATTAACAAAGACATTAATCACGGAGCTCCATTAATTTTCCATCTATATATGTCCCTCATTTTATCTCAGTCAACAGAAATCTAAAAGTTTTTTTCTTTTCTTTTCTTTTTTTTTTATTTTTTCTCCAGTCCAACTATAAAATAAATGCTAGATAATCAAGATGGGGCAGTGGGTATTGAGTTGTATGCCATCACCATATCAGTGATCCAGTGATCACCAGATTGTCACTAGCTAAGGTCCTTCTTCCTGCCAAACAAATATAAAGTGGAGCTTTGTGGTAACCCACAAAAAAGACCCTTCACCTCAAAAATATGAGCCCTGCCAACTGAAGCAGGAAACCAGAGCCCTCAGAAAATGTTACCAAGAAAAGAAACATGGACAGGTCTGACTGTATCTCCAGCTTTCTCCTTTGGAATTCCCTCTCACAAAATTCATCTAAAAAAAAAAAAAAGTTGAGCTAAAGTTTCATTAAGAAGATATAACTAACCAACCAAAGATCTTTTTTTTTTTTTTTTTTTTTTTTTTTTTTTTTTTGGTAATATTGTACAAGGAGTTTCATTTCCTTTAAGGAGATGATAATCTTTTCTACTTTAGCAAGCTAGAAAATGATTGTCTTACCTTCACTTATAAAGATCCTTGTAGCTGACACATTGAACACATTTCCTCTGTGAGTGTAGGTAAAATGGCAAGTATAATAACCATCATCCTCCTTTGTCAAGTCACTAATAAAAATATATTTATCTTTCTTCAAATATCTCTCCCCATGAAGAGGTCTGCAATCCTGGAAAAGACAGCTTTCTTTATTTGGCTGCAAATAACTTCTCACAGTAATCTGATCTACAGCTGGCACCATCAGGACTTTCTTTACCTTATACCACTGGATCATAGTAGCATTCTTATAATTGTCAAATGTAGGACAAACAATTTCTCCTCTTCTAGTGTTGTTTGGATAAAGTATCCGGCTTGGGAAACATATTCCTTCCTTGTATGGATGCACCTTCACACTCATGTTGAACTCTTTTGTGCTATTATTCGGGCTTTAAGAAATGAATGAAGGTATTTTAATTTAATTTTAATTATTATTATATGGAATAGAATGAATATTTGTAACATGTGAGTCTTGTTTTAAAAGCACATGGGTGGTTACTATATTTCAATTGCATACTGATTTTTAATGGGCCTGTTATAAAAATAACAATTGCAGAATGAAAGTTAAATAAATTTCCATACACCATAAAAATTGCATAATTTGCACAGATAATAATCAAAATGTATTTTTAAAATACTTATGCTTTTTTTTTCCCCAAATCTTAAGTTTTTATCTTTTTAATATTCTACTTACTAATGTGTAACACAAGTATAGTTTCCAGAATCTTCTACAGAATTTGGCAGAAACCAAAGAAATCTTCCTAATGAAAATATTCGTGATCCCTCTTCTTCTTCAGGAATTATTTTCTTAGTGTCTGTGTGATACCAGGTGACTTTCACAGCTGAATTTCTTCGGGGACATTTTACAACTAAAGCCTCACCTTCCATTGCATCATCTGCAAATGAACAAAATATTAAAATCTCAGATGAATTAAACCTTATTCATATTGAAGACTGAGGAGACCTTGGCATTTCTGGATCAGTAGGCCATTCAAATGCCTCTAATACCATCCCCAGGCTTTCAGAGATAATGAAAAGCAAATGAATTCCCAGTAGATTTTTTTCAAGAAACAAAACAAAACAAAATGTTCATCTTCAGTTATGAAGACTATGAAGACATGCAAAAATAGTGTGTGGGACAGAAAACAAACAAACAAACAAAAACACCTGGGTTCAAAGCAGACATATAGTTAAAAAAAAAAAAAAAAAGTTTTAAATTGGAAAGTATGATTGGTTGAAATGAACTCATGCAAATCTTCTCTTGAAATCCTGTATTTATTCAAAGCAGAGTTCTAAACATGGATCTTTCACAAAGAAAAGTATTGGTTTTAATAGTGTTTTATAAACTTAGTTTTCCATACTCTGCTAATAATATTTATTTACATAACAGAGAGGATTTTTTGCTATACCTTTTCAATGCAGAAAAAGGATAAAAACAACAAAAAACAGAAGAGCTTCTTTCTTAAAATCATAAAAATGTGAAGAAAAAAAAAAATGCAACAGACTGAAAGGAAGAATCAGATGAAAAGTTGAAGACACCAGAGAGGAACGAGAGGAGTAAGCAGAGGAGTAAACAGCTTGGGAATAAAGAAATAAAAATTAAAAAGAAAAAAAAAAAAGAAAGAAAGAAAAAAGTTGGGCATAAGGAACTAATTTTTTATTAAAGAAACTGCATGTATTTTTGAATAAACTTTTGAATACTGAAACTGGTCCAGAGAAATTTGAAACAGGCAATTTTGACAGCTATTTAAGTGCCCTGCTACCTGAACTGTAAACTGACTTCTGAACATAGAAACTCTAGTCTGAAGGTCAAATGCAATTTTGGAGAAGGGAAACATGAGAAAATTGGCAAGGATAGAAACTGGGCATATCAGTACAGGAGCTACAGTAAATGAGGGAGCAAGAAAATGAGATGATGTAACCGAATAGCTAATCAAAACAGAGAATCTCTATCAAAAATGACACTTTGGGGGAGCACTGCCTGGCTTTAGATGCATGCATAGATCAGGTCACGGGTGAGTCCTTCATTCTTCCTTCCCATTCTCTCTGAAGTGGTCTTTCTCCATTGACATTACATATAGACTCATTTACTCAGACACCTAAATTATCCACATCGGGTATAGTCCATCATTGTAACAGCATTCCCACCCACAAGTCCTGCCTTGCCCCACCAAAGGAGGAACATAGTGGAAGTACAGCACTCTTCAGGAAAAAATAAAAGAAAGGAAACAAAGATAAAACGGGAGGCCTTATGTAAACTCAGTGACATCTGCGAAAATTTTCTTGGTTAATTCTTCAGCAGAATTCAATCTCTTAATAGATCTAGTTTGTTCTAAAAATTATTATTCATATTGTAAAATTGACAATATGGGGAAATATTTAATATTTAAGATAAATATCTTAAGTATAAGATTGTATCTTACATTGTTTTTCAGAAAAATATGCAGTGCAACTGGAGACCAGGTACAATGTGAGTGCTATATAATGTTGTTTCACTGGTAGGAAATGATTGCAGGGCCACTAGAACTGTGCAACAAAGTGCATGTGTTAAACCTGCTCAGTGTGATTTAAGCATGCTCTGAGAGACTTTGCCCAGCTGGGGCCAGGAATATCAGCTACTCTAAATCTAAGAAGCCTTTTCCTTCTGCTTGCAGACATGCCAAAGAGCAAAAGTAGAACCTATACTTAATGTCAGAGAAATGGACACTACTCTGTGCATTTTAATATAGGGAGAAAACAACATGTAGAGCTAACTTTTAAGCTGTGATCAATGGTTTGAGATAAACTAGCTAATTTTAGGTTAAAAATATTAATTCTGTACCATCTTAAACACTTATGCAGAATAAAATTAATTAGAAAATAAATTTTAAATGCAACTCACATGATTCTGATGTCACGGAAACCAAGAGGAAGGTAGATAGGAATATCAAATGTACATACCACACCATATTTCTAAACCAAAGGAAAAAAATAAAATAAAGATATCTCAGAATATGCTCTCACTACATCGGTTATGCTATTACCATGTTGCTGATGTACATCTAATAGCAGATAACAGCATCATGCAGAGATAAGCTGAGTCATGTGGGCTGTTCTGTGCAGAACACGTGTGTGTGCCTGTAATAGCAATTCTACAGCTTTGAGGTGATGCTCTTTGTGCTACAGTCAATGCAACAACTGATGTTCCATCGAAACTACTGTTATGACTTAGTTTGATTTGTGTAAGATAGTTTGATTTTGTGCAAGAACAGAAACAGACGAGCACCATCAGCAAGAACAGAAACAGACGAGCACCATCAGCAATGCAAACCTGAAGGGGAAGTGAAGAAATGGACTGGAAAGGTAGGTAAAGGAATATATATTATCCTCACATAATAGTAGTAGGGCAGATCCTGTGCCTCACTGATGTTTTTATTTGTGTTTATTTGACATACACCTCCTATAATTAGGTGTATGCAACTAGCAGCTGGCAGTGTGGCTCAGGAACCCTCCAGAAAAACACTTTATCACAGAAATTGGTTATTGGTTTGTGGACATTATTTTTGACCTAATCTGTGAATATCCCAGGAAACAGCAGACATGCAATCCAGAGCTATTAAGCAGTCATAAGAATTCTACTTACCATTAATAAAGATTTCACTTGAATGTTATCTGTAACTGCAGATTACAGAGTGGTGGCTATTGCTATCACAGATAATGAAGGAGTGGGTGCAACAGATGGCAGATAAGTTTTAAAGAGAAAGCAAGTTAGCAGTGAGTTATAATTTATCCCACGGACAGAAAGCACAGGAACACCAGTGAAAAAATAGGCAAAAAAAAACACAGGCAGCGTAAGTACTGTCGTCACATTAACTGCAAGGAATTTTTATTTTGGTGCCAAAGATTTCCAGACTAAACAAACACTGGCCTACATTTGTGCCAAGTCTGAAATTCAGAACAAGCTTAATTTTGAGCTTTCAGAAATGCCATTGTTTTTATATTGATGTGGGAAACTTCTTCTGTTTTAAAGTTTAATTACACCCAGGGATTTATTCTTAAACTCTAAAAAAAAATGTAGAGTTGGAAGAGAAAAGCATGAGTGTTTCAGAGTAGGTGTTTTGCAGGGATACTAACAAATTACTGGAAATATGAGGTTTAGACCGAAAATGCATCATCCCAGCGAGGTTGTTGCCATGCCTGTTATAGGAAGTCTGTGACCATCCAGGATCTCCTAGAAACAGTTTGTGTGAGGAGCTGCTCATTCTCTTTAGAGCTGCAGAAAAGCACCACATACAAGCACCTGCAGTTCATTGACTTCTTTAATTTTAAGGAAATCTTAGGCCAAATTCATAGATATTTAGAAGTTACTTTTTAACACAACAGCTCAGGAGTCCAGCTGGAGGGCTGTAGCTGGTGGTATCCCCATGGGGTCAGTACTGGGCCCAGTCTTATTCAGTTTACACATCAAGGACCTGGATGAAGGGACAGAGCACCCTCAGCAAGTTTGCTGATGGCACAAAGCTGGAAGGACTTGCTGAGGTTGTGCTGCCATTCAGAGGGGCCTGGACAGGCCAGAGGGCTGGGCTGAGAGGAACCTCATGAAGTTCAACAAAAGCAAGGGCAGGGTTCAGTACCTAGGGAGGAATAACCTCATGCACCAGTACAGGCTGGGGGCTGTCCTGCTGGTCCTGGTGGACAGCAGGTGAACCATGAGCCAGAAATGAGCCCTTGTGGCCGAGAAGACCAATGGTGTCCTGGTGTGCATTAGGAAGAGCGTTGCCAGTAGGTCGAGTGATCTTGCCCTACTCAGCCCTGGTGAGGCCTCATTTGGAGTATTGTGTGCAGTTCTGGACTCCCCAGTACAAGACGAACATGGAGCTACTGGAATGAGTCCAGAGGAGGGCTACAACGGTGAATATGGAACTGGAGCACCAGTCGTATGAGGACAGGCTGAGAGGGCTGGGACTGTTTAGCTTGGAGAAGAGAATATTGAGAGGGGATCTCATCAACACATATAAATATCTGAAGAGAGGGTGTCAAGAGGATGGGCCAGACTCTTTTCAGTAGTGCCCAGCAACAGGACAAGAGACAACAGACACATACTGAAGCACAGGAAGCTCCAACTGAGTATGAGAAAAAACTTCTTTACTGTGTGGATGACAGAGCACTGGAACAGGCCACCCAGAGCGGCTGTGGAGTCTCCTTCACTAGAATTATTCAAAACCTGCCTGGATGCCATCCTGTGCAATGTGCTCTAGGTGACCCTCTTTGGCAGGAGGTTGGACCAGATGATCTCCAGAGGTCCCTTCCAACATCAACTATTCTGTGAGTCTGCGTGATTCTGTGAATGCATGTGGCATGCCAAATACATGATTGTGTATATGCATACGCAACCTTGATATGCAAAACCTAGCTGCAGCAGGGCTAACTCATACAGCTGAGATTGGATACATCCATATCAACTGAGTCTCCACAGTGAAGTTTGCAAACGGACCCTAAGAATCAGCTAAGTGAAAAACTGAGGTGAGTAATAACTAGAGTTTATTATTATTAGATTATTTGAGTATTGGTACTAATATAGGCATGGGAAAAGGTACTAATATAGGCATGAATATCCCTGCAGCTCTGCTGAGAGTTTTTTCCCTCCAAGTGTTTTGTTCTTTTCCATTAACTTGTTTGTCCCAGACGAAGTATACTGGTAGTATTAACTGTCTGAATACTTTTTAGAGTTATTTTAAGCAAGCACATATTTAAGCAAGATGACAAAAAAGTGAGTTGGGTGATTTTTAAGGAAAATCAGTTTCTCAGTTGGAGACTGTCTGAAGGATTCTTTCTCATTTGATATTTTATTTCATATTTGACCCAAACTAATAAAACTATTGGAGATCCTTTCGATCCATTTATTGCCAGTGCTGTTTCCAGTCCTAGAAACTGAAGGTTGGCAATTAAAAAAGTTTCAAGGATCTGTGCTTCCTTTGTTTTGAGAGACAACTTTGTACAGAGATGAAGAAAGCCAATTACTTACCCTCACCAACTCTTTGAACAAGTGCCAGAACACAGGGTAAGAAATAGTATTTGCCTATGGTTGTACTTGTTGGTTGTTGTCTTTAGCCTTCTGTTTCTTGAAAATGTATGACTTCAAGAAACCTTACACATATTGGGCCACCAACCTGCACCAAAACAATGCAAAATAGTTGTGCTGAAAGAACACATTCTTCCCCCATAATTTTGATGATCGTTTTACTAATTTCTCTCCCATTTTTAAGCAGCTATGTTTTGCTATGTTTGACATCAGTTTAAATAGAGTTTGTGTATGCAAATATGGGCAACATATGGGGCTCTACTTAAAGACAACTGTTGCTTGAAAATAAATAAATAAATAAAAACTTCAGGCAATTAAAAGAACAATGCAATTCTGTTTGCATTTCCCACTTCGGTCAGCTGTAAGCTACCCAATTACCTCAACAAAAACTGAGGCAGAAGTTGCAGTTCTAGACAGTACCTGGCAAGACAGGGACTGATTCACTAGTGCTTCAAGCTTGTGGCATTACCCTTTGCGAAGCAAAATGAAAGCGTCCACTCATCTGTGATATTAGGACCAAATAAAAAGGCAAACAGCACAAGACAAAAGCACTGACACCTTACATCCCACAAACAAAAGTGCTTCCTGCAGCTCAATGCACTGTGAGACAAAGGCCATGACTTCTGAAAAAACTTATGAGAAGATGTCTCCTTCTCTCTGTTTTTGCTTATTTGTATAATTTGTAACTTATTTATATATACGTTTGTCTATAGTAAAATCTGCATTTTCAGGTTTTCAGTGTACAGTAAATTTAGATTGCTAATATTCAGAGATAAAAAGGAAAGGATGTATTTTCCATAAATTATTTCCTTCCATATAGTTCACAGTACCTGTATGTAATAAGCTTAATTCACTCCATTAAGGAAAACTTCAGTCTGAGGTTGAAAAAGCACTAGATCCAAATACAAGGGTTTGCCATAATTACGTTAAGTCAAAATCTAACCCCTAAAGATCCAATATCAAAGGAGGATGAAAGAACTGGGAACTACCTTGTTATGTTAAAGAATTACTAGTCTCTAAGGCTTAACTCCTTGCTTCTCCAAAGGCAATTGTATTAATAGCATTCTTTTTTCCCAAAGGTGTGTTTAGCAACTAACTGTACTGCTGTTCATAAAACTGAACAAACATTATAAAAGTAGCATACCAACAAAATTTGAAAATGTTATTGTAATTTCTACTTTAAGAAGCTTAAGAGATTTCGTAATGTAAAAATACCATGAAATAGCAGGTGTGTGAGATAGGTTTACATAGACATAGAATTTGCTCATTCTCCCTTTGAAAGTTATTTTCAGTCTCTTATTATAACAGAAAATCCAGTCTGACTGAAAATGAGCTATGAAAATAGAAACAGTAACACTAAAATTATTCCATAACAGTCATGACAGTTGACGCCTACAATAATTACAGTTATTAATGCAAAATTTAGGAATTTTAATATTAAAGTATGACAATGCTAGAAATAATATATACATTATTTTTATAAAATATTTTGAAGCAAAACTTACGTAAATATACTGAACTGCATAATGAATTTTTTATGTTGTTGAGTAATTGGCAAAAATATCTGTCAGATATTCAGATATACTGAAGACAAATCCATTTCCATACACTTCATTATAGATAAGATTTTAGGTTGGTCCCCAGATGATTTGTATATCACAAGTGTATCTCCAATTTTAATCTAACATTTCTTTCTTGAGATAGAGAGACATGTAAGTGAACTGAAACAAAGTTTCTTATAAAATAATAGATAGTACTTCCAACAGCTTCACTTATTTTTGGCTAAATGATAAAATAAAGATTTGACTTACCATTTGGAAAATTCAGACAGCAGAGAAGTAGTTCACCCTGAGACTGGATCCTTCGCTTGTACCAGAGACTACTGGGACCTCTTTTTAACCGGCTTCTGCAACGCATATCTGGAGGAGCATGATTTACAGCTTCATTTAGTCGCCTCCCACTGAACAGAACAGAATATGCAAATGACCGTAGTGACTCTAGGTACCTATCAGATATGGCATCTTCTAGTTACAGTTAATCAGATCTCTTCTACTGAGAGCACGGGTTTTGCATTAATCACAAATTATGCCATTTTAGTGTGATTGTACTAAAAGCCTGCTTCCTAATTAGGGGTTTTCTTACATAGTTGAGGGGAACAAACGAGGAGCATTCAGTCGACAGAGGGTGCTTTAAAACCGATTTGCTTTGAAAACAAGTGGTATCTCTGATAGGGCTGGTCAGGGAGCAGTTTCTGCAGAACAGCTGTACACATCACTGGAGCACCAGGAATGATTTTTAGACGGGAAACTGCTTCACAGAAGGTAAACTGATAAAAGAAGGCCCCTGTGAAAACAATTCTCTGCACCACAATGACTAAATTAAGTCAGTGAAGGAAAGAAGGCTGGAAGAGCAGGGCAGTTTCACTAGAATTCCAGGAGAAAATCTGGGAGAGCAAGCAGGAGCAGAAGTCCCCACAGGGATGGAAGTGGCTCAGTGCACTGTGACAGCCATGAGCAGGTACTCAGGAGGCAGTATGGACTACCTAGTGTCAGAAAGGACATTTTTTAGGAGCACTGTGCAAGACTGCTGATGCCTTCCAAGCATCAGCACTAAACCTGGGCCCATCAGACCAAAGGTCCCAAGCTGTCCCCTTATCTGTGTCTGCTAGTCTAAAGGGGTGATTTCAGTAACAATTCAGCCATATTCCAAGGGATGAATCAGCTTTGTTCATCTTGTCAGAATAAAATAAAAAAGACGTTTCGAGAATCAATGCTTCATTCTTTCTTGAACCAAACAAGAGGATTTCATACCACAGTCATTCAAACACTTTTTTTTTTTTTCCTTGACAGAGTCGCTGATAGTCTTTATAACTTCCAGTGTTTCTGGGAATCTGCTGTGAGCTACAGTCACTAGCATTGTCAGCAACTCCATATTAATATACAAAGATGTAGCAATTATATGCCAGTAGGCAAGTGTCTTGCCACTGCCATCCATACCCATGCTTTCCCCTGATCTTGGCATGTCACTTCCTATGAAGTGATCTAGAGGCTGCACTTTCCATATGACACAGAAAATGCAAAGTGTCATATGGACATTCTGCAACAATTAAATCCCACAGTGCTTTGGTCAACCAGTCAGTGTCTGTTAAGATCGATAGCTTGAAAAGCTGACAAACCACTTCCTGCTAAGATTCGTGGAGTTTAATCAGCATCAAGGCCTTCCCTGTTTCCTCGTGCCATTCCTTAGAGACTCAGGCAGAAAATACGCAGTAAATTATCTGCATTCAGTGTATATTCAGCCTCCTCTCACCATGACATGTCAGGTCACTCTAGGATAAAGTTAAATACCTTCAGCTGAAGATATCTTCCATTGCCTGAATGTAGAATTAGATCTGTAATAAAGTGAAATCAGAGGTGCTCACAATATTGCTCCAGACCTCAGAAGAGTCCTTTATCCCATAGACCATTCTTCAAGCCCAGTTCATTCCCAGATGATGATGCAGGTGTGGAACTGAGCTCATGGCTATAGATTAAAGTTAGCAGCTGAGCAAAAGCCATCCTGCAGCTTTTGTAAGAAATCACAATCAATGTTGAATGCTTTGCTATTTTTGATCCAGTGTCCTGTTTTTGGTTGGATAGGGTAAATTTTTTTCCCCGGTAGCTTCTATGGTGCTGTGTTTTGGATTTGTGATGACAATATTGCTGATAACACTGATTTGCTGACATTTTAGTTGATGCAGAGCAGTGCTTACACAGAGCCAAGGGTTGTTCAGCTTCTCGTGCTGCCCTGCCACCCAGGAAGCTGGGTGTGCACCAAGAGCTGGGGGGGGCACAGCCAGAACAGCTAGCCCAGGCTGACCAAAGGGATATCCTGTACCACATGGTGTCATGCTCAGCAAGAAAACTACATGGAGTTGGCTGCATGGGGGGTAGTTGCCATTGCTCGGGGACTGGCTGAACATCAGTCAGCTGATTGTGAACAATTGTGTTGTGCATCACTTGTTTTGTTTTCTGTTTCGTATTGTTTTTCCCTTCCTTCTTATTAAACTGCCTTTATCTCAACCCACAAATTTTCACATTTTTTCATTTCTCTCCCCTGAGGCCAGTGGGTGGTGAGTGAACAGCTGTGTGATAATTAGCTGCCTGCCAGGTTAAACCACAACCCCCAGCTTGGAAAAAAAAAAAAAAATCTGTTCAGTATAAATGTGGAAAAATGTGTTTACAAAAAAAAAGGAAAAATTCCTTTAAGGAGTTACGTGCATCATACCCCTTTGGTAGACTGTATGCATAGCAGTCCAATGAGCAAGAGAATCATCAGTCCAAAAAAAAAAAAATCAAGAAGTAGTGGGCTTAAACTGAAGCAGGGAATAGTTAGGTAAGACAGAGGAGGAAAAAAAAAAAAAAAAAAAGCAAAAAAAAAGCACAGCACTGCTGGAATAGCTTGCTGAGAACCTTGTGGAGTTGCCACCAGACTTTCCATAAAGATAAATCTGTGACTGATAACAAGATGCAGTAGACGGCCCCACCAGTCTCTACCAACACTAGTCAATGGCCTTGTGACTCAGCTGGCTATGATCCAATGGCTGTTTTGATGTTGCATGGCTGTATGAACTTAACTCCGTTGTGCTAGCAAAATTACTCCTGAGCTGTGAAAAGTACACAAGTTAAAGCCATGCTAGATAAGAAAAGTGAAAATATAGTTCAAATGATGTTATTGTGATGATAATAGTTAGGAGCTCAAGAGTTCAAGACAAAAAAAAAATGATGACATGAGAAAAAATCCTGAGATAAAAAGCCAAGATAGGTAAACAGCAACTCAGCAACACCAAGATCCACTCTGCTCCAAAAAAGTCAAAAAAGTGTGCTTAGCTTACAGATGTGATACTCTAATACTTGTCTGTATAAGCCAGGAAATAATTGGTGTGTATTTTTTTTACAGCCTGCTTGCAGACTGTCATTGCCCACCGTAGAGGACATCTGGACAGAAGCGACCCTGGCAGGGAAGGTTATACTGCATAGAGTTCTTGAGGATGAGTCAGAAAGCATTGGTGGAGTCATCAAATGGCAGACTGGCAGGGGAAGCTGCTGTTATGTGTGCCCATACCCACAGTAGGTCTCATGTTTTTTAGTTGATGGAGATCCACCCTACTGAGGGTGCAGACTTTCTTTTTCCTGTGCATTTTGGCACCTTGCCCGGGGCTTGCATGTGCATGTGGTAGTTTCACACTGATGGGCATCTGAACTGCACCACATTGCTTCTCAAAAGATCAGGGGGAGAAAATAAGATAAAAAAAGGGTTCAAGGTTTGAGATAAGTACAGGGAGATCACTCAACAATTGCTTTCATAGGTAAAACAAACTTGGCATAGGCAGATTAATGAAATCTATTACCTATTGGTCACAAGCTAGAGCAGTGAGAAACTGAAAACAAACAAAACAAAACAAAACAAAACAAACAAACAAAAAAAACTTCCCTGCATCCACCCTCTTCTACCTCCTCCCCCTGAGTGACACAGGGCATGGGAATGAGCAATGGGGGTTATGGTCAGTCCCTAATACTTGGTCTCCACCACTCCTTCACAGTCACTCCCTGCCCCTGCTCCCCATGGGGTCCCTCCCACGGGATGCCGTCCTTCCCAAACTGGGCCTGTGGGGGCTGCTCACAGGCAGCAGCTCTTCAAGATCCACTCCCACATGGCTCCGTCCCATGGGGTCCATCCATTCCCCAGGAGCAAACTGCTCCAGCACGGGTCCCCCACGGGTAGGCGGCAGCTCCCCCCAGACCCCTGCTCCTGCGGGGGCTCTCCATGGGCTGCAGCCTCCTCCAGGCCACATCCACCTGCTCTACCGGGGGCTCCTCCACCCATGGGGGGGCTGCAGCGTGGAGATCTGCTCCATGTGGGACCCATGGGCTGCAGGGGGACAGCCTGCTCCACCAGGGGCCTCTCCCTGCACAGGCCGCAGGGGAACTGCTGCTGCCTGCCTGGAGCACCTCCTGCCCTCCTGCTGCACTCACCTGGGGTCTGCAGGGCTGCTTCTCACTCCTCTCTCCCAGCTGCTGTTGCACAGCAGGTTTTCCTTCAATCTGCTGTCCCCGCGGCCCACCCAGTGTTGCTCCCTGGCTCGGCTCTGGCCGGCAGCAGGTCCCCTTTGGAGCTAGATGGAGCTGGTTCTGATCTGACATGGGGCAGCTGCTGGGTTCTGCTCACGGAGGACACTCCAGAACCCCCACCGCTGCCAAAGCCTTGTCACACAAACCCAACGCAGTTCACCACATTCTTTCTGCAAAAAGGGAAGTAAGACTCAGAAAAAATTTCAAGGGTTGTAGATATTCTGATGAGGCTGGACTCATCTTTCCCCAAGGTAAGAGTTGTCCCTGGTCTTTATCATTAATCATTCAGTTCTATCATGACACTGAGTCAGGGGGCTACTTTGGGTGACTGATAGACCACGTGGTTATTGCATAGCAGGGTCCCACGCAACAGTAAATGAGGACACGCATGTGGACAGAAAAGGCTTAATGGCAATTTAAATGTTACAGAGCCAATAGCATTTTCATCATACTCATCGATCTCCTCCATCCCACTAAGGCACAGCTATTAAGTTTCTTATCAGGCTTTCAGCTCTCCTGTAATTGCTAAATAGTGCATTAAAGTTCAGAGGATACAAAATGGAGGTGAGAGTATCTTGAAAGAGAGAATTGTCCAAGAATTGTGTGCCTTTTTTTTTTTTTTAATGTGGTTGGCACATATTTGCCTCTGGTTTGCACGTTGATATGTTACTTGGGAAGTCTTTTGATCACCAACAGTTTCTATAAAATCTTGACAATGGTAGTTATGGCTGTCAGGCTAGGGATGATATTGTTCAAACAAAAATCTTAACACCATTACCTTTGCATCTTAAAACCAGATTCCCTTTACAACAAAGTTCTCAATTTCTGTGTTCCATGCCTTGTCCCAGACAGAAAGC